GACGTGAGGCTTTATTTATTGGTTAGAACATGTATAGCCTAACATCATCTCTCAAGGTCCATCCAACTCAAAAGTGAAGGCATAAGATAATCATACCAAAAAAAAAAAAAAAAAAAAAAAAAAAAAAAAAAAAAAGATTCTTAGTAGTTCAATTCAAAAGCCAAATTGAGATCAATCTAAATAAGAAAGAAAAAAATAGTGAAAAAGAATAATCCCCAATACTCTCTCAAGAAATGGCAATTCGGCCCAAATATCTCACAATGGTAGTCTCCACTATTTCTCCACAATCATCCAAGTATAGCTACCTTATCAATAAAAATACTTGAAGCATGACTAAGTGAAGTGCAATAATTATTATGCATAAACTTTCATGGCAACTTTGGATAAAGAAATATGATCAAACATTACATATACATCACTATTAGTAAAAGAAAGTAAAAGTTTTAACCCAAAAAAAATTAAAAATTTATGTTTTTTTTTTCAAAAGTTAAAGGAGTTTTGTGATTTTGCAAACAAATATGCATGAATTTATGGGTCCCAATTCCTTAAAAATAAAGAAATTTCTTTAAAAGGAAGAGGACACACATGGAATAGCTCCTAGAAATCTCTGATCACGAATAGGCAAGACGACATGCTTAAACGGTTTATAATTTAATTGCACGCAAGTTTGTAGGTATTTGTTTTCTGGCAGATGTTAGAGAAAAGTCATCAGTGTATGGACTAATCGAACTACTTTTCACCCATTTTGATTTAGTCCTTTGATGGTAGAGTAAAGTTTCCCATTGGCTTGAGAACCATTCGTGATCAACAAGTCAACTTTCTTTGATGTGCAAGCGTGCAACTGTTAGCAGTTAAAAACCCTAACAAACTTATGAAAATTTGCACCCCAAGTTACTAACTTTAAACAAATGATTGTCAATTTGGGTGAGGAATATCTCCTATGTAAGTTCTTTTCTTACCTCAGACTGGTGAGGACTTCACAATTTCTCACAGTAAACTAGTAGTTCTGGCCCAAATGAATATTAAAAATAAATCAAACTGTTTTAAAAAGAAACTGCCTATTACACAATTTAAAACAAAGGGAACTGCCACGTTTGAAAGGACAACAGAAAATTTGGTCTTCGATTTCTGCTTGGATTGGAGCCTGTGACTTGGGCTGGATTTGATGTGTTTACGCTGGATTCAAACGTTAGCACCTTCAACTGATAAGGTTTAGCTGGAAATAGATACCAATGTTGAGATTAGTAGAGCTTTAATCTATTCTAGCCATGGGGAGACTTGCTGGATGGGCAGAATTGAGATTTCTTTAGTATGGACGGGGCTGGAAGTGGCTAGATTGATGATTGCCGACCTGGAGCTGCATTATAGAACATGTTCTACTTGATTATGAATCGTCCAAAAACTATTCTGGCAATTCTGATAGATCAAGGCATCTCTGTAAATTTGTTGAGGTTTTCATATTATGAAAAACCTGAGTTCTACTTGATTTGGTTATGCTGAACCAAATTTGTAACGATAGAAATCTTGTTTCCTTTGTGAACTACTTCTTTAAGTTGAGTTGAAGCCAGACACCTGAGTTCTAATTGATTTGTCTCTTATAAATTAAAGAGCTTGGTTGCTCCAGAGTCTTTTGAGATCGAAGGATCTTGTTTTGAGTTTGTCAATGTGACTTGATAGTTTTTATTTTGATTGATTTTTTTGGCCGTCCTCAACCTTGTTCAACTCCTCTCATATTTATAGAAAATCTGTATTAGTGTTTAATCTTTAGTATCTGGAGAGTAGATCTTTTGAAAGGATTTTTTTTCTTTTTTCATCGCAAGATAAGGGGGAAGTTATTAGTTTGACAAAAAACCAACCAACAAACAACCCATCAACAGTCAATTTCTATGATGGTCCATTTGCATTTCTGACGAACAACTTTCCTGTCTCTATGTTTATTTTTTAGTAAATTTGGCTTACACCCTTCAAATTCAATTTGCCATACCTAAAACCCTTCACTTTTTATTCCTATAAATAATACCCAATTTGTATAAGTAAAAACCCATGACTAGGATCCAACTCAGCAAGTTACCTAATTAAGCATAAAATCTGATTTATTGTACTTTTCAGATTCCAAAAATACCCCCAACTAAGCCGTTATTGCATTTTGTATATTAATGTAGGAATCAATATGGAAACAGTTTTAAATTGGATTGTATATAATGACAGATGTTGAATTTGGAAAGATCTCCAAATGGTTGTAATGGATGTAGGAATTAATTTTGGAACATTTAGAATAAAAAAAAACAATAAATTCAAATTTGGGTAATTGGTTTGTTTAATAAAATGTTTATGTTATTTCCCCTTTTAGTAAATTTAGGTTTTAGCTATAAAAAAAATTCCACTTTTGGAAAAAGCCAAAACTTTTTCAAAAAAGACAGAAAAACCTCTCAACTTTCAAATCAAAGACATGCAAATGTAAAGGATTCTTTAGGAAATTCAAAAATAAATAAGGGCAATTTTGTCCATTTTGGCTTCTTTTACAAAATTTCTCTCTCCTTTGTGTTTTTCCAAAGTCTCCCTTTTCTTTTTATGAATTATACATGACTAATAATCCACTTTATAATTGTTTATGAATAAAACTATACATACTAATTGTGTTGAAAAAATAATGTACCTATTTGTTTTATGAAAAATATAATTTACCTAGTATGAAAAGTGTACATAATTATCTATTCCAATATACCTACATTAATTTTAATGTACTTACAATTAGGATTTAGGTATTATATGTCATCCAATGTACCTACTATTTGAATAATATACCTACTATGAATAAAGTACCTATTATTTATCTAAATAATGTACCAATTTTTTTCTATAAATAATATAGCCTTTTTTCTCTGAATAAAGTACCTATTATTTGTTTTATTAAATGTAATTTTTTTAAATGAACCTATTTTCTCTCTCCAAATAACTTACCAATTTTTTTCCTCTAATAATGTACCTATCTTTCCTCTCCAAATAATGTACCTATATTTTATATAAATTATTGTGTACCTATTTTTAATTATGAAAAATATACGCAATTACAAAGTAACTGACTTTTTTTTTGGGGGTAAATAATATACCTATATTTTATATGTATATATTTATATTATATTTTTCATAGGTACATTATTGGATATGTAATTTACAGATTTTTTTGTTTGTTTGCAATTTTAGGGGGCGAGATGTGAGAGGGAATGACAACTAAAAGAAATGGGGTGATTGATATGCTATTAATAGGGAGTATGTTAATTACAATTATGGCAGTTAATGAAATGCTTGAAATAAATTATAAATAAAATATGAAGTTTAGTGGCAATGATGTAAAAACATAGAAATACTACGACCTCTTATATCCTACTGGTCATTTAAATTTGAAATTGGGTTTTACACATAGATTTATAGAGTGATGGGTATATGTCTAGGAAATAGAAAATGTATGGATCTATATTGGACAAGCCCTTTATTTTTTGTAACCACAACCTGCTCTGATGTAGAGCCCACACGAGCATAGAAAGGAAACATGGCCTTCCTTTTCTGGCATTTAAATGGTTATGGGGAGTGTTCTTTTGATTATCCCCTTTTACTAATTCCCCATCACTTCCTCTGCACAGTTGAAAACTTTGACTTTCAGAGTCATGTGGGCTTTTTGAGAGAAAATATCTTCCTAAAAAATCTGCTGACTTCAACTCTGGAATTTAGATCGATGGTGATGATCAATTTTTTGAGCTTTTGGAGAGATTAGAAGCTGGGCCTATTCTTTAAACCAATTAAAAAACTGATTTGTCCACATTAAATCACCATTAATGGCAATTAATCTTTAATCTGTGAATTTAATCCTTGCAAATTGTTTTACAACAGTCTTGGGCCTTAAAAACCATCTGGGCTGATCTCTGATTTTAACAAACAAAGCTCAAACTCCTGTTTTTTACATGGGCCAATAATAAATTGGGCTGGCGCGTGTATTTTAGGTCCAAACAACTACAAAAGAATCTTCTTTGTCAGGTCCTAGGAGACAAAAACTTCAACTTGATTACTCTTGATCAAGGTCTAAAATATCGGGAGTTTTGGAAATATCGGTGGTCCAAAAACACAGATATATCGATGGAAATATCGAGGAAATATCGATATCGATAAAAATTGAATAAAAATCACGGAAATTGTGAGAAGAACTTGGAAATTTTTATTGAAACTTTAGAGGATGTTTACTTAGTCAATTGTCTATTATTTTATCACAAAAAATTGGAAGGAAATGCATGACATAGTGGGTTTGAGTGATTTAAGTTGATTATGCAGCGACTTGACAAACACTGTGACTTTAGAAAATATGTAGTAATTAGTGAAAGAAAATTAAACACACCATAATTTTTTAGTTATAATAATTCACGTCAATATATTACACTTGATACATATGATTAAATATATGAGCTTAACCAAAAAACAAAGATAAAATGTATGAGTAACTTAGTACCACATAGAAAGAATTCCTATTAAAATTCAAACTTAGTATCACATATAATGAACAATATTAAAACTCGAAGTGAATAATAATAAAACTCCATAATATATAACAACAACAAAATACTACTCCATTATAAAATAATAAATAACATTAAATATATGCTTAAATTTATTCTTAGGGAATTTTTTTAATATGGAAATTTATCTTAGATAATATTAGCTTGCAGACATTTTTAAAGACCTTATAAATATTACAAGCTGAAGATATGGACACAAACTCAGCCGCATCGAGTTGGATAAGGCGCTGTGGTTGATTGAGAAAGGGAGGGGTTCGAATCCCTCAGTGTGCAAGAGCGAGACTTTTCAACATTTTTCATGCATTTTTGAGACATAAAAGGATTCTCTTAACTCTTGATGATGTGAATCAGTTGGACCAGTAAAACAATTCAGCAGGAGACGTTAACATATGAGGTGAAGACATTAGATTCCACGATGCACTTGAGCTTTTCAGTATGATGTCCTTCAAAAGAAAGGAGCCTCCAAATGATTATTTGTTACTCGCAAGGCGTGCTATTATAGCCTGTGCCCAATACCTTCCATTGGCTCTCTCAATGCTAGGTTCACATCTACGTAATCAGTAGTTAGTATTGGAATTCTACATTACATAGTTATGAAGCTCGTCCATTTGAAGAAATTCAGAACATACTTAGAACAAGTTATGGTGGTTTGACAAATCGTGCGCAACAAGTTTTCCTTGACATTGCATTCTTTTTCAAGGGTAAAGATATGGACTATGTGATTCAAGTACTAAAATGTCACAAGCTTGAATCTCCTGAGAATTGTGTTCAAGAGCTCGTAGAGAATGCCTGTAGAGTTAAACTCAAAATCCAAACACGGGTGAGAAGAGATGCTGGAAAGCGTAATTTGTATATTGATAAAGTTGAACTTAAATAGAACGTTACATCACCAGACTATGCTAAATTCAAGGACATGACTCCTACTAACTTAATCCATATTACTGACACAACTAACAAACTACTCCACTACTGGGAGACTCCTCAAGACTTGGTAAACATAACAACGTGCAACATGACTTCCTACAGAATAGGATAATCAGTTTATTTAATTAAAAAAACAACTGCTGCAACTAGATAAAATCTTAACACCCTCCCTTAAACTAAATGTTCCTTGAACAATCAGTTTAGAGAGAGACCTTCAACGTGCACTATAGCTTCTGTCTTCAAGCAATATCCTTCATAGAGCAAACTCCTAACAATTTCCTTAACTTCGAGAACGCTGGTAATTTGAGAGGCTTGGTTAGAATATCAGCCAGTTGATCTTCACTTTCTGTAGTAGATTAAATCAATTGTTTCATCCTTTGTGAGGTCGCGCAGGAAATGGTAGCGAACATCAATGTGTTTGCTTTCGCCATGTAAAATTGGATTCTTGGACAACTTGATTGCTGAATTGTTATCACAATAGACAGGAGTTGGATCTTCTTGCAAACCACGTAATTCTTAAAGTATCCTCCTCAACCAAATAGCTTGACAGCTGCAAGCTGCTGCTGCAATAAACTCAGCTTCGGTGGTTGATAGAGTGACAAACTGTTGTGTTTTGGATGACCATCAAATAGCTCCTGCTCCCATTATAAATGCATAACCTGAGGTGCTTCTCCTATCATCTGGGTCTCCTGCATAGTCACTATCAATGAAGCCAAACGAACCTGATTTAGCTTCTTTCTTGTATAATATTCCAAAATCAATTGTGCCCTTTAGGTAACGAAAAATTCTTTTTGTTGCAGCCAAATGAGGCACTTCCGGACACTCCATATATCTGCTAATGAGACTCACTGCGTGTTGTATGTCTGGTCTAGTTGCTGTCAGATACATCAGACTTCCTACAATCTGTTTGTAGAGAGTTTGATCAACCTTCTTCTCCCCAGAATTATTCACTAGTTTCAAGCCAATTTCAGTTGGCGTAGAAACTGAATTGCAATCCTTCATCTCAAACCTGTCTAAGATCTCTTGAACATATTTCTTCTGTGAAATAAATATTCCGGCACTAGATTGTACTACTTCTAGACCAAGAAAATAGTGCATCAATCCAAGATCAGACATATCAAACTCATGCATCATGGATTTCTTAAAATCATTAAACATGGCCACATCATTAACTGTATAGATCAGATCGTCCACATACAAGCACACGATGAGTATCTGCCCTTCCTCTCCAGATTTTGTAAAGAGTGTATGCTCATATGGACATTTTTGAAAGGCTTAATTATGTACATACCCCCTGTGCTTTCCAACTTATCTCAGATTACCACCTGTGGTGGAAAACGTCTCAAAGTACCCCCCAACGTGCAAAAAACTGTCTCACGTTACCCTTTCCGTCAGTTTTTTGAAGTTCCGTTACGAATGTTACTGTTCATCTCCCCCAAAATTCCAGAACAGTAGCCCCTCCCCTTTGTTACTGTTCATCGCTTATTTACCCTCCAAAACTCAGAAATTTCTCCTAACCAACACAACTAGCAGCAAGAACAACTCGAGAGGTTGAAAAATCATACCTGGATCGAAGAAAATGGTGCTCGGAATCGCCTGAACGAGCAATGGAGATTTTGGGTAAAAACCGGCCAATTTCTTGCTTTTTTCGGTGATCCAGACGACGGTTGGCAGCGGCTGAGATGTGAGGGTGGTAGAGGACAACGTGCTGGTTCTTTTGATATCCATGTCGTCGCTTGGGGTGGCCGGAGGAGGCGATGGCAGCCCAAAAACTGGTGCGATGAACAGTAACAAATGGGAGGAGCTGCTGTTCTGGAATTTTGGGGGAGATGAACAGTAACGTTCGTAACGGAACTTCAAAAAAACTGACGGAAAGGGTAATGTGAGACAGTTTTTTGCACGTTGGGGGGTACTTTGAGACGTTTTCCACCACAGGTGGTAATCTGAGATAAGTTGGAAAGCACAGGGGGCATGTACATAATTAAGCCTTTTTGAAATCCTTCTCTTGCAAAATATGCCTCTATGCGGCTGTACCAGGCTCTGGGAGCTTGCTTTAGCCCATATAAAGCTTTTTTAAGCCTGTAAACTTGTTTTTCCTTCCCTAGCTGAACATAGCCTGCTGGCTGCTTAACATAAACCTGTTCTTGCAACTCACCATGTAAAAACGCAGACTTCACATCCAGCTGGAAGATAGGATAAGAGTTCTGTGCTGCCATTGAAATCACCAATCGGATTGTGTCATGCCTTGCCACTGGTGCAAAGACTTCTGTGTAGTCAACGCCGTACTCTTGCTTGTAACCTTTCGCCACCAAGCGTGCTTTGTGCTTATGAATCTCACCCTTCTCATTCAACTTTGTCTTAAAGACCCATTTGACACCAATCGTCTTGTGCCCTTGTGGAAGCTCTGTCAACTCCCAAGTATTGTTCTTCTCAATAGATTTGATTTCCTCATCCATGGCTTTTTGCCACTTTGGTTCTCTTACAGCATCAAAAAATAACACAGGATCATAATCTGCAAACAAAGCAAAGTGAACAAGTGGATCATCATCACTTCCTTCACTTCCACTAACGGAATCAAACACCCATTCAGAATCTATCATCCATGCAGGTCGCTTCCTTAAACGTTGGGGTCATGCACTAGATGAACTTGCAGACTGGGCTCCAATTGGTGGAACAACTGGTGCTGGAACAACTAAAGAAGTTGGTGCTGGAACAACTGACGAAGTTGGTGCCGGAATGCATTGTTGCGGATGTTGTTGTTCCACGTTGTCATCAAAATTGACTAGCATGTTTTGTTGCTACAGAGAAACATCATCACTCCAATTCCATGTCTTCTCTTCATCAAATACAACATCTCGGCTAATAATAATCTTTTTGGACAAGGGATTGAATAACTTATACCCCTTGGAAACTTCACTTGTGCCAAGAAAGACACATTTTTCACCTTTGTCATCAAGCTTCTTCATTTTCTCGTCTGGAATACGTGCATATGCAATGCAGCCAAAAACTTTGAAGTAACCAACTGCTGGTTTACGGCCGCTCCATGCCTCTTCAGGTGTCAAATCACGAACAACAAAAGTTGGACTTCTGTTTAGTATGTGAATGCCCCAGTTTACAGCTTCCGGCCAGAAACTCTTTGGAATGCAACTCTTTGTCTGCATACTGCGTACCATATTTAAAATGGTATGATTCTTCCTCTCCGCCACACCGTTCTGCTGTGGTGTATAAGCTACCGTAAGTTGTCGGCGAACCCCATGTATAGTAAAGAAATTTTCAAAGGCTTTTGAATTGTATTCTCCACCACGATTAGTTCGAAGAACCTTGATAGTCTTCTCAACAGCTGCCTTAAAGTGTTTGAATGCATTTAAGGCTTCTGATTTCTCCTGTAAGAAATAAACCCATGTTTTTCTGCTGTAATCATTAATGAACGTTATAAAGTACCTTTTTCCGGCGTTGGAAGCTGGAGTTATTGGCCCACAAATATCTGAATGGACCAGCTCAAGAGGTCTTCTAGCCCGCCATGCTTTTCCCTTCGGAAAGGTTTCCCTAGGCTGTTTTCCAACTTCACAAACTTCAGTTGGACATGTTATCCGAGGAAGGTCAGTCACCATCTCCTTATCATGTAGCGTCTTCAAACCTCTAAAATTCAAATGACCATAGCGTAAATGCCACAGCCACGCTGGATCATTGACCTTGGCAGAGTAACATGTAGGACCATCACTTTGAATATGTAATGGAAACATTCGATTTGTCGTCATGTAAGCCTTAGCAATTAAGCCCCTCTTTTGGTCATGAATTTGACAAGCTCCTCCTGTAATCTTGATCTCATATCCTTTTTCATGCAGTTGTCCCAAGCTCAGCAAATTGCTCTTCAAACTCGGAACAAAGAAAACACTAGAGATAATATGGACAGTGTTATCTTTAGCCCAAATTTTGATATCTCCTTTTCCCAAAACTGAAACTTTGCTATCATCTCCAAATCTCACTGTAGTTGTGAAACTTTCATCTAAGGTAGAGAAAATTGACTTTTCTCAACACATGTGATTACTGCAACCTGTATCCAAGTACCACACATTCTTTTGTGGTTTTTCCATGGTTTGACACACCATTAGAATAGCCCCATCATCTTCTTTCTCTTTTTCTGCAAATTCGCCCTTGCACCTTTGCTTTATTCATATTTGTGTAACATTCATATCTGTAGTGACCATAATTGCCACACCTGACACACTCGACATTTGATTTGTCGACATTCGAATCATGATTGCTTGAATGCCTTCGGCCTCTGCTACTGTTGCCTCCAGAATTATAATAGCCTCTGCTGCTACTGCTGGAATCATGAGTGTCTTTGCTGCCGGAATCATCATTGGATTTGTTCCCATCTCTGCTACCTCGACCTCTTCCATGGCTGCCGCCTTTACCACGTCCTCGTCCACGACCACCACGATCTCTTGCTGCCGGAGAATCACTATTTGTTGAAACTTTCAAGTCATGTTCCTCAGATGTACTCTGATTGATCTTCTGCTCATGAACAAGCAAGGAACTCTGCAGCTCGTCAATTGAAAGCTTCTCAACGTCATTTGACTCCTCAATGGAGCACACAACATAATCAAACTTTGTAGTCATAGATCGCAGGATCTTTTCTACAATGGTCACGTCTTCCATCTTCTCGCCATGGGTACTCATTTTGTTTGCAATTGCCATTGCTTTTGAAAAATAATCATTGACAGACTCTCCTTGTTTCATCTGAAGAGTCTCAAAATCTTTCCTCAGTGCTTGCAGCATTGAGCGCTTCACCTTTGTTGAGCCCTGGTACTTCTTCTTCATGGAATCCCAAATTTGCTTGGAAGTGTCTTTTTGGAGAATGGTCTCCAAAATGGAATGATCAATAGCTTGGAATAAGTAATTTTTCGCCTTCAAATCTTTCAGCTTGGATTCATCCAATTTCTTTTGTTGTAGCTCCGTCAACACCACTCCACTTTCTGGCTCTACTATACCGGTTTCCACGAGAGTCCAGTATTCTTTAGACCTCAGGAAATTCTCCATCAACATGCTCCAATGATCATAATGACCATCAAAGCATGGTATGGCCGGCTGCACATAGTTGTCTGTAACCTTGTCAGACGCCATAGTAACTTACTGCCGTAAGTGCAATAATAGCTTACTGCTTTTGTGGGAACTTTACGTCAGGCCCCATTAGGGAGCTCTGATACCAGATGTAGAGTTAAACTCAAAATCCAAACATGGGTGAGAAGAGATGCTGGAAAGTGTAATTTGTATATTGATAAAGTTGAACTTAAATAGAACGTTACATCACCAGACTATGCTAAATTCAATAAGGACATGACTCCTACTAACTTAATCCATTACTGACACAATTAACAAACTGCTCCACTACTGGGAGACTCCTAAAGACTTGGTAAACATAACAATGTGCAACATGACTTCCTACAGAATAGGATAATCAGTTTATTTAATTAAAAAACAACTGCTGTAACTAGATAAAATCTTAACAATGCCATCATAACTATTGAAGACAATAGGATTTTGATGCACGAGTTACTTGAACAAATGGGTAAGGATATAGTTCATGAAAAGTCTCCCAATGAGCCTGGTAGACGCCACAAATTGTGTTGTTATGAGGATGTGCACGAGGTTCTAACTGAAAATACGGTACGTAGAATATGCTTATGTGTCTACACATTCTTATATTCGGTTGAGAAAAAGGCTTCAAGTAACTTTTTGTATAGATTTCATATCAAAGTCTGAAGAAAATAGAATTCTAAGCAGTACTTGTATTTTTATGTATATATGACGGCTTTAATACTACAGGGGACGAATGAAGTTAAAGGCATCGCAGTAAATTTTCCTGAAGATGATGATGACATACCTTTGAATGCAAACAGCTTCTCAGGCATGAAAAACCTTGAGGCCCCGTTTGGTGGGCTGGACTGGACTGGACTGGACTTTTCCAATTAAAATGGATTATAGTCCTAGCCGTTGTTTGGTGAATCTAAATTGCATGTTGGACTGGTTGTGACTTCTTTTTTTTTCTCCGGATAAGAATCCATCATATGAGGGTTTTGTAAACCCAAGCTGAACCATGGGTTTCGAAGCCTCCGCCTCCTCCTTCACATCTCATCGCCTCTGCTCTACGTCTTCACACCTCATCGACTCTGCCCTACGTCTTCACATCTCATCGACTTTGCCCTACGTCTTCGCCCCAAGCTGAACCACAAGTTTTTGTCATTCAATCTTTAGAAAACCGAGATTGTGCAGAAGTTTCGCATTCAGAAATCAAACCCAAGTGAGTATTTTTTTTGTTCATTATGCTAATATTCTGCATTATCTTTTTAGGTTTTGATTTGGGTTTTTCTAGGGTCATTGATTAACTATTTTCTAGGGTCTTTGATTTGGCGTTTTGGGGTGTGGGTTTTCTAGGGTCCTTGCTCAATCTTCAGGATCAGTACGTTATTTTTTCTCCATCTTTTCTGTTTTACAAATACCTTTTTTCTTTTCTTTTCTTTTTCTTTTATTTGTTAAGTTTAATTGCTTAGGCTTCTTTGCTGAATTTGGCATCAGATAGACCCCTTTTATGATTTGTGGTTCTGGGTTCAATTTCTGAAAAGCTTATTGTGTTGAAGAAAGGAAATGGTGTAGTTATTTATTTATGTTCAAGCAGAAACTAGATTGACAAAGAATCTAAATAGGCTTAAGTGCCATTAGTTGTGTCAAAATTTCTAGCATTTAGTAAACTGGACATTGCCAATTTAACAATCTTTAATTTGAGTAACACTAACATATATAGTATTGATCTGGTTTAATAGTATTGATGGTTTGATCATCATTCCATTAAGCTCAATAAGGAGTTCCTTAAAATGGAAGTAAATCTTTCCAAGGTTAATTGTTGTAGTTCTTGGATTTTAGTGTGGGAGCCATGATTCTCAACTGAACCCGCTCTCATTGATATGATTTGGAGAAGAGACAGATTGAGAAAGAAGGGGTTTCATTTCCCTGATATTGTTCACAATCTTCTCTTATTACTTTTATATTCCTTGTAAGATGAGGTGGCTTCATGTAATCACTGAATCATATATGCAATCTTGTACTTGCATGCTGGGACTATTTTGTTTCGTTTTCATGTTGTTTTACTATGAGGAGAGGCCTGATAATTGCTGAAAATATGAGTATCATTTCCAATATAGTTCACAGCTTCCTCTTCTGGCATTCCAAATTCTCATTGTATAGGCATTACTTATCTGAAGTTTAACACTTACATTGCCTGCAGATTTGGGTGCCGTCAAATCCTAGAGGAGCAGAAAGACTACCACCAGGAATTCTTGCAGCTGAGTCAGACTTCTACTTTCGCAGATTATGGGGCAAGCCCAGTGAGGTGTGTATTTTGCTGTTACTTATGCAATCAACATAGTTACAATTTGGACTTTCCACAACGCCTGGAATGGTCCAATATATACTGGAGATAATGCAGAATCAATGGTGTTAATGGATTCCATTAGCATTTGGTGTTCAGGGAACCATTTTTTGATATGGAGTTCTCTATTATCCTGATACCATTGCCGCATCCGACCAATGGTCTACAGGGAGGGCTAATTTGGCTACTGAGATGTGTTGAGGCCCAAAAATCCAAGGGGCTAAGCCCAAATTAACCCTTAGCCCAATATGGGTGATTGGATGCAAAATAAGCTCAATCGGGATAAAAGAAAATTTATAAGAGCCGCCAACACAAGCTACAAGCTAGAAATCATGCTAAACAAGCACGTGCAGAAGGAACCAAGAACATACCGATATTACTAAATCATGCTCACATGCTCATTCGGTGCTACTTGGCCCAACTATAGCCTATCACAGCATAATAAAACCCAAAGCACGAGCATAGAAATCATGCGCATTCTAATACTGAGCTACGTCACGAGCTTAAGTGGACCCTAAGCTACAAAATTAACCGGGGCTTACTAAGAAGGTTGTGGTATGGAAGGAAACAAGCAATCACGGGGCCCATTGAGGGTTCAAGGAACGTAGGTTTCAAAGTCACTTGGGGGCTTTGGAACTCAAGCCCGTTCCTAGAACCCAAGCATATGGGTTGGCATGAAAGAGAAGAGAAAAATTGCCCCATGCTCTAGGAAGACACCAAAAACCCACCAACATGCTTAGCCCAACCCACATCAATAGAATTAAAAGCCCTTTCCAGCAGTTTGACGAAAATTCACTAGAAATAATTGGCCAGTAGCCCAAAAGTCACGCACAAAGCCCAGTCCAGCAGCTTGTACAAAAGCTGTCATCATGTTCCACCCCTGATAAGACTCCAAGCAAGTCAGACAAAGGGTCAAGGCAAGAACCAGCAGAAATACCCCTCAGATAAAAGGCTCCACCTATCTCCTTCCCCATTACAAGCTCTGTTTTGAAAACACTGAGAGAAAGCAAAGTGGCGCCTCACCCTTGTGGGGAGGTCCAGCTGCGTCAAACTTGTTGGAACCACAATGGTTCCTTTCCCATATGCCTTGATAAGAGAATTGCACGAAAATAGGACTAAGTAGGAGCTGCCAAGAGAAAAGGGAAAGGAAGACCAGACAAAATTAGAGCTCTTAATGCCTATAAAAGGAGACTTTTGCTACCCAGAAAAATCAACCATCCAGAGCCTGACCAAGCTTTGTCAAGCAACCTGGAATCTACTCAAGCCACCCAATCCTCTTTCTCCGTTGTTTTCTTCTTTCCCTGAGATAAAACCTTGCTAAGTTTTCCTTCGTTCTCAGTTTAGATTTGATCCTCTGTAAGAAATTCATGCTGTTCTCTCTCTATCAAACTGCCAAACTCGTGAAAGCTTAGCTCCCATGCCACATGCTCCTCAGGCTAAGTCATTAGCGAAATCAGCACGCTTATTTGGGTGTTAGTAAAGTGATCCTGAGAGTGTTCTTTTAAAATCCCATCAGATTTTCTAAAAACTCTCTTGGGAGCTTGGTTTCGAACTCAAGCATTTGGGGGATTTTACTCGTTTTCTTCTTACAGCAGCCCAGACCCATTCGTCAGGCTACTGGAACAAAAAACCCCCTACAAGATGTTTAATGAGTGGATGGCAAATAGAGCAACATAACATAAGTATTTGTTGATCATTTGAATGTACTTAAAAGAATTTTCGTGTTATTATTAATTTTGTGAAGTTTTGGACTATTTTTATGGTTTCTTCATGTGGTTTCTTATTTTTAATTTTGTGTACAAGTTTTTTTTAATTAAATTTAATTATTTCTGATATTAAATAATTTTAATAAACATTAAAATAAATTTTATTTGAAGTCCAATGCTGTCCAGTCCATACTTGTACCAAACAATGGACTGGACTTTAGTCCAGTGCAGCCTAGTCCAACTTAATGTGCCAAACAACTTATTAAAGTCCAACCCAATCCAAGCCAAACCAGTCCAATACTCAAAGCTCAATCCTAACTAGTCCAGTCCAGCCCACCAAACGGGGCCTAAAATTATAAACAATCGTGGGACTCTTTCTGGAGATACCCTTAATTATCTCTCGAATAAGTTGAGAGTGATTGAGTGGAACAATTGCCACTTGCAATATTTGCCATCAAATTTCCATCCAACATCTGACAACTGGGGGAGGGGTTTAAGGTACTTTTAAGTTATATTCATCTATTATTATTTCCAAGAGTTTTGGTAAAGAAAAAACTTGGGTTAATCGTTTTCTTAGCCCCCCAACTTAGACCGGATTTGCATTTGAGTACCTCAATTTCCAAAATGGTACCTGTGGTCCTTTAACTTTAGTTCCGTTTAGACAACTAGTCCCACCATTACTTCTGTCAAGTTTTTCGTTAAATTTAAGGGTAGATGGGTCTTTTCAGGTTGGTACGGGAGGGAACTCATGAACCGAGCCAAGAAACACAGCCACGGATATAGGCTGATCATCCGCCGTCGTCGTGGATCCAAGAAAGGTGTTGAACGAAGTCTTGGGGTGGTTCTGGTGGAGCCACAGTACGGCCGTGTCGAAATTTGTGTCACAAAAACGGATAGAGTCGACGCTGAAGATGAGCTTGAGGGTGGTAAGGGGATTGTGGGACCAAGCCAAGGGAAGAAGTTGCTTCAGATAATTAAGGCAGGGTGGATTAATATACCTCCAAGGTCTATTTCAGAGGGAAGGCAAGTTGTAGAATGAGGATAATAAAACCAACTGAAAAGACCCATCTACCCTTAAATTTAACGAAAAAATTGACAGAAGTAACAGTGGGACTAGTTGTCCAAACGACACTAAAGTTAAAGGACCATAGGTACCATTTTGGAAACTGAGGTACTCAAATGCAAATTCGGTCCAAGTTGGGGGACTAATAAAACGATTAACCCAAGGAGGATAATAAAACCAGCTGAAAAGACCCATCTACCCTTAAATTTAACAAAAAAATTGACAGAAGTAACGGTGGGACTAATTGTCCAAACAAAACTAAAGTTAAAGGACCACATGTACCATTTTGGAAATTGAGGTACTCAAATGCAAATTCGGTCCAAGTTGGGGGACTAATAAAACGATTAACCCAAAAAACTTTTGTATATTAAAACCATACAAAAAGGCATAGTATGTAAAAACAAGATGATGAAAAAGATGGTGGTTGGGTTAAGAGTGGGCCAGGGTGCTGGCATGGAACCCAAGCAGCAGGCAAACCGGAGCGCCATCTGCTGCTCTGATAAGCCAGCGTTCTCTACAACAACAAAGACGTGATATGCACACTCATTGTCAGTGAGCTAAAGACCTACCTAATTACAAGCAAAGTGGCCTTGCACATTTTGCAAAGCCACCCCTCCCACTCTCCTCATTCTGCTGCTACAAGGGTTGAAAGACCACACACAATCGCGCCCAAACCCAAAAGCATCCCAGGCCAAATTCGAGCTCTCATATGACACCAGTCATTCAACGACCTTTCACTCTACCCCTTCGTGCCATCCTTATTACCCCCACGTCGGGTCACAAGCCACCGTGACCAGGCTCGGCAATTGAGTCTCTTGGAACTTATAATATAAAGACCACCACATAAGCGTAATTTGTCGATGTGGGACAAAATGTGAGAATCCTACAAATGCTCGGTGAATTGTTTTTTTTACCCCCCTTGAAAGAGAGTGGGTTTGTGGTATGGATTAAGGTGGGGGCCCCAATTACTCCTTTGCCTATTGCTCTGGAACATGTTGTTGGTGATGATGTTTTTCTTCAATATTTTTGGCTTCGTTTTATGCATCATATTTTTCATCTTTGGTTTTGCTGGATATAATAATTTCCAGTAGAAATGATAAGCTTTTTTTCTTTTTTTCTCATTTGCTGGAATTGGAATTGGAAGACCACTATAGGGCCTATTTTGAGATTGCTGTAATTTTTTAAAAAAGTTGCTTCTACTGTGCTTTGAAAATAATTAGCTGTAAAGTAAAGTAGCTCCATGTTTGGTAAATAATATTTTTAAAGTGCTGTTAGTACATAAAGCAGTGTCAAAATCGTTTGGTAAATTTTAATATATAATTGTTGTAACTGTGAATAATGATTAAAAGAGGTGAAGGTGAAGGTGGAGCTAGTGGTTGTGGTAGTGGTGGTGGTAGAGATTACGGTTGTGGAGGTGGAGGTGGAGGTGGTGGTAGCAAGGGCAGCGTGGTGGAGGTGGTGGAGGAGGCAGTGGTTGTATTTGATGGCAGCAGAGGATGAGGAGGAGGAGGATGTGGTGGTGGCGGTGGAGGTGGTTTCATTTTTTAAAATGAATTATTGTATTTTGGGAATTAAAAAAATTCATTAAAGACTCATCTCTGCTTTTTTTGAAAGCATCTTTGAAAAGTAATGTAGAGCCTGCTATTAAAAGCTACTGTCAAAAGGCCACTACTTTTAAAATAATCGGGACATTTTAATTTTACCAAACACCTTGAACTGCTTAACTTAAGTAAAAATTGTTCTCAAAAAAAAAAAAAAAAAAAAAAAAAAAAAAAAAAAAAAAAAAAAAAAAACAAAAAGGCCCCCCCAAAAAAAGGCCTAGCCCTTGAGCTTTGTCTTTCCTTAGTTTAGAAGTCTCTGTGGCTTAAACCTTGGAGTTTGTTTAATTTACCTTTGCCGTGGAAATGAAAGAGGAATGGGAAAATGAAAAATAGGAATGCTAGCTTATTTCAACTGGTCTTTTTTCTCCTTTCCCTTCTTTTCTTTGTTATGTTTAATTAAAAACTATGGATATTCATGTCGTATTGTGTACCCTGAAAAAAGCAACAAAAGCCCTAGAACAGATTTTATAAAAATGTGAATTGCGAGCCTACCACTATTAGCAATTAATAAATTCTAATAGATGAAAATATAAATAAATAAGAGAACTTGCACACCAAGTAAATGACTATAATCAAAAGAATGTGAATTGAATTTGAAACGGTAAACGAAATCAATGAGGTTTTTATTTTATTTTTAAAGCTTTAGGACAAATAAGGACTTCATAATTTAATACAATGGAAAGGGCAATAAAAGTAAATAAAACAGTGAAAATGAATGAAAGCAAATAAACAGATCGACCATAGCTACAAGTTGCCACCCCCTTGTATCAATTCTGGTTCAAAGCATAACTAAGGAATAGGTGGCAAACGAGTAAGGATTAGAACTGTATGGTTCTAATGGATCAGAATGGGACAAGAGTGCAACTAGAATGGCCTTTTGGTAATCGATACCAAGGAGGCTTGGCAGAGAAAATAGCAAAGAGACGAGTGTCTTTGACTGAAAGCTTTGGCTTTAGTGTAAAGTTTGTTGTTGAAAAATTGTGTGTCAAGAGATGGTCTTCGTATCTTTTGTATAGTGGAGTGACCCTAACCTTCAAAGGAAGTAAACTCCTATTAGGTCACAGGCATGACTTGGCCCAATATGTCTTTAATCTTGATTGTGTAAAAACTGGGCCCAAACAGTATAAACTAGTCCAAGACATGCCGACTTTCTGACAACCTCCATATTTTTGTGAGAGACCTTTACATATTTTATTGGTTTGTGTAGGGGCTTTTTCTTCCGGCAGTTGTAAATGGGTTGGGCTACCGTAAAGAGCAAATGGATGAAATTATTCCCTGTGTCTGAGTTCGAAGATCGAGCCCCAAAAATGCTTCGAAAGGACAGAGATGCCTTAAGAAACACCTTGGTTACCTCCAACAAAAAAAAAAAAAAAAAAAAAAAAAAAAAAACAGCTTATACAGATAGATTTTTAGCTTGGCATGGAGAGGCTTGTGGCATGGAAGCAAAATTGACATGAGTTTAGCATTGAAGAGAAAGTTATGCGTTCTTGGGGGAAAAAGGGGGTGTTAAGGTAAGAGAAGAAGGGTCTGCAGGAAGGTTTGGCTGAGAATGAAGGAAAGAGAGAGGAATGGGTGGCTTGAGTGTTTTTCCGGCAACTTGATAGAGGCACTGTCAAGTGTTAGAACAGTATGCTAGAAGAGGGAAAATGGGGGAAAATGATGAATAGAGCACGAATTTGTTGGGTTTTGCAGGTGAGAGGAGAAGCTTGCTCTCTGGGTAGTTTCCGGCTGCTTGACGAAAACTTTGTCAAGCTTCGGAACAGTTTACCAAAAGGGAAAATAGGGAGAGATGGAAGGATGGGCCTCAAAATTGCAGAGGTTTCAGAGGTGAGAGATAAAGCATGTTCTCTAGATGTGGGTTGAGATGATGGGTAGGAATTGCCTCTTTTTTATAGGTGTAGGGGACTTTTTCTTCCTGCAGCTAATGGGCTGGGCTGCTGCAAAAGGCAGACTGAGGAGATTGCCCCTTTTTGTTTAGGTTCGAAAATTAAGCCCCACAATACTTCGAAAGGGCAGCAAAACCTTAGGAGATATTTTGGATAATCTTCACCAACGAGAATAATGGTGACTTGCAGATAGTTTTGGCATGCTTACAGATGGTCTTTTTAGCTCAGCATGAGTGGCATGTGGCATGGGAGCAAAACCAACATGAGTTTAGCATTAAGAGAGGGATTAGGCTTGGTTTAAGAGAAAAGAAAGTGTTTAAGTAAGGAATGAGGTGTTTTGTGAGGAATTTGACTAGGGAAAGAGGAAAAAGAAAGGCAGAGTTCTTCTGGCAGCTGCCAGAAAAAAAAACAAATTGGAGAAGAAGATGAACAGTGCACGAGTTTGTTGAGTTTTTGCAAGTTAGAGAGAAAGCTTGCTCTCTGCAGGTTGTGGGGTTGTCTCTGTTGGGTAGGGGAAGGCTCAATTTATAGCTGCTGGAAATCACCATTTTTTAAGAAACCCTAATGGCTTCTACTTATTTTGGCTAAGTTTTTTCTTCCTTTCTCCTCCTCTTCTCTGACTTCCCTTTCTTGGCAAAGATTGCTTCTGTCTATTTACATGAATTCAGGGGATTTGGGGGCTCAACATCCTCCTTTCCCGCAGCTGTGCAGTGGGAGCTTCCACTCTTGGTTTGCTGTTTTTTCTTCTTTCCTTTCCTCTGTTTTAACCAAATCTGGCGAAGGAAAGGAAGTGAAGATGCATACTGGTCCAAGGGATGCTTCTGACAGCATGCGGGATAGTACTCATCGATTCTTTGGATGTCTCTGGCTTGGGACTTGTTTCCAGCAACTTTGCTTAAGGAGTCTGCCAACCTCTCTTCACGTGTCCTCTGTTTTCTTCAAACAAAAGCTGAGGTTTTTGTGGACTATTTTAGGATTTTTATATGGGCCAAGGTGATTTTCTAAGCAAAGGGTTTTTATTAAACATTGGGCTTCTTAGTTTGGGCTTTATTTTGGTTGGGTTGTTTTGCTTGGGTATTGGGCTATTTTTTTTTCTCTTGTGCTTACCCATATGTTTGGGCCTAAGAAATGGGCTTGAGCCTCGAGCCTCCCAAGTAACCCGAGACTTTTCATTTCCCGGCCCATCAATGGGCCTCATGTTGATTTATTACCATCCGTGCCACAACCCACTCAAGCAAGCCCCGGGTTTTTTGAGTGGCTTGGGCCCACCTAGGCTTGTAGCGTGGTTGGGTGCGAGATAACAGCATGGCATGTTGCTCGGCATATTTTAATTTATCGCCCTTGGGAAGGATTGTTTTAATTTTAGCATGAGTTAATCATATTTTTATCGCGAATCATAGCATGATAATTTATTTATTTAGCGCGGCATGTGGATTATAACTCGCATGTGATAGACTTTTTTTTTTTTCCTTTATGGAATATTTTATTGGGCTGATAATTGCTCGGGCCCAATCCATGGATTTTTGGGCCTCAACATTAGCCCCCTTAATTATAAGGGCCATGAACAGGTGCTGGAATGGGCCAAATAATTAAAACCCAACCCAAAAAATCAAATTTGTATTTGTATAGAACTCTTCTTCTTCCCGCGTGCAAAATGACGGCGTGCCATGATTAGCCCCACCAGTTACTTGCGGTTTCCCAACACCAACTGCCTTCTTCTTCTTTTTTATTATTTTCTTCCCTTTTCTTTCTCTTTTCTTGCACCAGACACCAATTTCTTCAATTTCTTTCTCTTTTCACACTCCAGACCAAAACTTCCTTCTAGCTCTCCTCCCTTTGTTTTCCTTTGCTCCCCCATGAATTCAAATCTAGTGAAAGAGTGAAGTCAGGCCGAAATTATTCACCTCCAGCCGCTGAGAAGAAGACCCAAGTCGAACTCAACCCCGTCGTCCCGTCTTCGTTCAAAAGAGTCTGTTTGTTACTGCTGGAAGGGTTTCCTTTGCGCGGGTTTCTCCTTCAAATCCCCGATTTTTCTCCCCTTCGTGGTGCATTCAAGGCCATCCCTTGGGATTTTTAAGGAGGTATGACTTTCCTCTTGCTTCCCCTTGAATTTGGTTGGGTTCCTTACACCCATGGGTATTTCCCCTCTTTTGGCAGTCAACCACCAAACCCTTCTTTTGACCTATTTTGTTTTTGCAGCAATGTGGATGCTTATAGCGTGGGTGCTAGCAAGGAAGTGTCCGCACCAATCTCCTTTTTGAATTGTTAGGGCTGCTGGAAAGGTACCCATTTTTCTGTAGGAGGAAACCGTTGGCTTAGGTTTCTCCCCTTTTCTTTCCTTACTTTTATCCTGCACGGGTTCTCTTTTTATATATGAAAAAGGCGATTCTTGGCATGATGTGCTTTCTCCTTTGTTTATTTCTGTGCAGGTATACACGTTTCAGGCATAGGTGATACAGGTGCTGGAAACCCTTGACATCTCTGCTGCTAGAACCTTCAAACCCTTCAGTCTTCTAACTTAGATTTTGGTAAATAACTCTGCCAACTCTGGGTATTTTAGAATAGGTGTAGACTGATGCTTGGCCTAGGCTTTCTTTCCTTGAGGACGCATGTTCGATCAATTGTGGATTTTTCCTTTTTACGTGTGTCGCTTGTGGAGAACAATTTTTTGATAGAGTGGATGTTTTGTACTGCCTGGTTGAATATTTATTTACTTTTCATTTGGAGAAGGGACTTGCTTATCCTGTCACAGAGCAAAACTTTTGTTTGCCATAAGCTTGAATTTTAAATTGCATGTTTGCTCAGACGACCGTAACTAGCCGTGCTCGATACATATCTTATGTGTGCTAATTCCATCTTGCTTCTTCCCGCTTTTCTATATGCAGGTACCTATTATGGCATCCGGTAATCCACCATTTATCATAAGGGATCATCTTTATTCCATAGATGACAGGTTGAAGAGAGGGAGACCACCTCCTCTGCTTAAGGGTGCCGATGAGGATATAATCATTGATGAAGAACCAGCGCCAGAAGCTACTCCAGTGATCGACCCCGCATCTATATCAAGGTGCTGCATAGAAAGGGGTCTGTTTCTAGCAGTTCCTTTGTTCTTTCAATATCCCTGCAGCACCAGCAAGGGTTGGTCGGAGTGGGTTGACCATGAACTGAAGAACCCGTCTACCCGTGATATCCTAAGCGGGGCAGGTGTGTTGGAAGCCATCTTTGCTTCTAAGGCTTGCGACATCCATATTGAAGCCAAGACGCTTCGACACTTGGTTAGACGGTGGAGTACCGAGACACACACTTTTATTTGTTCGTGGGGAGAGTTCACTCCCACGCTTGAGGATGTAGCCAATATTTTCCCGCTCCCACTTTGCGGCAGTCAAGATCCTTTCCACATTGCATTAACCCCGGAAGATGGGCTAAAGCTTGAGACTTTACGGAAGGGTGCTCCGACTTCTCCTAGTACTTCTCTAAGATTCATAATTTGATTCAATTTTTTGGGAACAGTGACCGAGATGAGCCGTGTCGCCTTGCTGCGTTTGTGTCATTGTGGCTCGGGAGGTTCCTCTTTTGTGATTTTTCCCAAGACTGCTTGCATGGGAGAGTGTTTCCGTTGGCTTTGGCAATAGCACGGGGTAGCATGATCCCTTTAGCCCCCATGTTCTTGGGGCACTTACATTGCTTGCTTGACCAGATTCAATTTCTTGAGAAGGGGGCGGCCGGAACCATGGTGTGGAGACTTTTGCAAACTCCAGTTTCCTGCAAATCTTTTTATGGGAACGCTTCAAAGGGATAGAGGTATCTCCACTTCCTTATTCAAAGGCTGAGTCACTGGTTGCTTCGGACGAGAATTCCTACATGCCGGGTAGTCTTCCTCTGATCTGTAGATGGTCCCGTCGCATGCAACGGAAGGGCCAAAACTTTTTAGAGATGCTGGACGATGTTGAGAAATTCATCTTCCGCCCATACTGTGTTTTATCGGAGGGATTCAGCAATACACCTTTTTATGCAGATTCTGTTGTCTTGGTCGAGGCCCTAGCCACGTCAGCACAAGGTTGCCCACTGCGTAGGGAGGCATTACTAAGCGTTGCATGTCTTCCTTTGCCCACGTTTGGTGATGATCACTCAGAGGTTCCTGTGCGTTATTCTCCTTATCGGGTTAGACGACAGCTCGGATTTGACCAGGGAGTGCCTTCTTGTCCTAGCTATGGAGATTCTCTGGCATTACACAAGATTTTCTAGACCAAGGACAGCGTGCCGGGAGACGGCAGACCTCTTGCTTTAGCCCTGGCTAACCGGCAGCGCGTTGGCAGTCTCTCAAAGGCCTATCAAAATTATTGGAACCGTTGCTTCGCCTCATTTAGCCGATTCCATGCTGCCCATTGTGATAGATTGATTCCCACCATCATTCATCATGCCCACTTAGTGTCGGAAGAGAAAGCCATTTCCCTGAGCGAGAAGCGAAATCTGCCTTTTACTTCCAAAAGCGGAGAGATTGTTGGTGACTTTCGAAGCTAAAGCGGAAATTGGAGAAATCGGGTTCTCACAGCACCGGGAAAATGCTGTATATGGGAAACGGAAGCGAGAGGAAAGCTGCAGCGTCGAGAAAAGGCAAGCTGTAAAAGGGCCGAAAAAGTTCATCCCCAAGGTAGCAGCAAGTGGTCCTCCTAGCGCAAGAAAAGTTGCCTCGCCAGAGCCTTTACCATTGCAGCAGCCGTAGCCCCCGGCAGTAGCAAGCGAACGGCACCAAGGGCTTCGTCTCCTCGCAGTAAGTATTGTCATTTGTTTGCTCTCTTTGTTTCCCACTTTTTATATACATGTAAGTATACCTTTTATCTTATTTTACAGGTACTTCCCAAAGTAAAGGCAAGGGTAAGGAGTTTTCCCGTGATCCCGAAGCATCGAAGCATGCGTATTCTCGAAACACGGTTTGCCAATACCCGCAAGAACAAAGGTGAAGACTCGGGACCCAAAGTAGTGGTAACGGTTGATGATAATAGTGATGATGGTAGCGATGACAGTGGTGTTGTGGGGACTGAGATTAACATCCACGAGCAAGAGAGCACTCACGATACAAGTGTCATGGATGAGGACCTTGATGAAGGCCAGTACTATAGTCGCGATGAAGACACATATCCGGACTTTGGCACTAACTTGGAGGAGCTCGACGCCTCAGATACACCCCCTGCTTTGGCTAGTAATCGTGGACAGCGTGTCGACATTGAACTGGTATTGAATGTCCCTCTTGCTTGTTCTACTTGGCATATTGACATTGCATACTGCCCGTTGTGTCCCATAGTTCATACTTTTTTTTTTTCCTGCAGGTCGTGCCCACCATTGAAGACACGATAGGTGCTTCATCGGAAGCTGGTTTTTGCCTTTCCCGCTACTGTTGCTGATGCTATCCTGAGCCTTCCGGCAGTGCAACCTCCTTCTTCTCTTAACCTGTGCACTCCTGACATGGCTGCCGACCCCTCTCCGCCACTTCTAGCAGTTCCTCCTCCTATTTCTCCAATCCCGAGCGCACCTGACATGGCTGCGGCACCTCTCCGGCACTTCCAGCAGTTCTTCCCCCTATTTCTCCAATCCCGAGCACACCTGTCATCGCTTCCGGCACCGCTCCACCTCTTCCAGCAGTACTTCCCCCTACTTCTCCAATCCCGAGCACACCTGACATAGCTTCCGGCATCGCTCCACCTCTTCCAGCAGTACATCCCTTTGTTGAGATTATTGACAATAGTCATAAGAATGGTGATGCTTTTATCGCAGGTTCCTCAAAAGGGCATTCATTCGAGAAAGGCATGTCTTGGCAAGATTGGGAAAACTCCTACACGGCATTCAAAGCCTTTTTTTGATGGTGGTGTCACCATTCTTAGATCCATTGATGAACTTCTTCCGCTTTGCCACAGATTCGATGGTTATGTGACATTCCAAGGTGCCCTCGTGTATCCAGAGACAGTTGAAGCCTTGAAAAGGTTTATGGACAAATACGGAAGTTTGATGGAAGCCACAGATGTCACCTCCTCTTTCTCAAGGTGCACTGCCCTTCGAGCCCTTGGCCTAGTACTTCACGGGATGGACACCATGCAACTCCTTGATATTACGGATCACAAACTACTCTATTGGCGAGATGCAATATGTGAGGCCGTGATTCTGGGCTTTCGCGTGGAATTTCTTCTCAAACTTGTGAAGAACTTAGCACGTGCCGTCTTTGGAGCATGAGCCATTCGTAGTATGCAATTATCGCATGACTCTGACGAAGTAAAAGCTGCTGTAGATGCCTTGAATATTAAACAACAGGAGTTAGAGAACCAGCGCCGGGAGATGCATGCCCTTCTTCTTGCTAAGGGTATTTCTGTTGATAGCGCTGAGTGCGTGACGGAGGCAGCGGCCAGAGTATCTCCTGGGGCTTCCTTTGTTCTTTTCGGACATTCCCCATAGCTTAAAGGTACTCAGCTCATTCATCATTTTTTTTATATCACGTTACATATTCCAACAGCAGCTATTTTTGACACACATTTCTTTTTTTCTTTTGTTCTTTTTCCTTGCAGATTGCCCATCCTTAGCTTGGTAACCATTTAGCTTGGCACATGATCCTGCTTTCTTTGTGACTTAAGGGCGCGTGAACCTTCAGCATATGCAGTTTTATTTTGCTTTGTTTGTAGTTGTTTTTTTTTTTTTTTTTTTTGTGACTCTAACGACTATGTCGTTATGCCTTTGTAATTTTGATATTAAACTACTAAAGCTTGTATGAATTTCCGAATGCTTGAGGCATGTTGCATATTTCCTGTGTATATATATATATATGTACTGCTTTGTTGGCCAAAGTTGTCTTTATGGACTGCTTGAAATTTTCTGATAGGTTGGATATCATTGAAAACAAGGTATATGCTGTCGAAATTTTTTTTTAAAGAAGCAAAATTTTCGAAAGTTTCTCTTGCATGGCTTATCTAGATTCTAAGCTTGACAAAATAGCTTCCCACCCTTCGCAAAGGGTCGAGCCAATATGTGCATGATTTCTACTTGGGCTCTATAAAGCTTCCAGGTGTTGTATCGTGTTGTTCCAGCATCTCAAAATTGCATGTCTCTTTGCAACATGCCTTATGCTATTTTTTTTGCTTAAGCGTGATGCTTGGGGACCCCATCTAAGTGGCTTTGCCCGGCATGTTTTACTACTAAGTGGCATGTTTATATATATATATATAGAGAAAATTTGAGAAAGGGTTAATAATAGTAAAGTTTTTGGAGACACAATATATTTTTTTCAAAATATTCTTTCATTCTCATTGCAAAAGCCCTTGCTACCATAATGGTGCATCATACAAAAGTGTCTTTTTTTCAAAACGTGAAAATAAGACAGAAGGAGTTTATTTTTTTTTGACAGAGAGAAAATACAAAAGTACTAGGCATAAAGTTAACTTAGCAGTAGTAGAGCTTGAGCCACTTCCCATTGACGGGGTCTGTCAGCGTGCCTTCTTTGACAGAGACCAAGCGATAATAGCCGCTGCTGTGAACCTCTTTGACTGCAAATGGGCCTTCCCATTGTGGCGCAAACTTGGAAGGTCCCGACACCTGTCTTCTCACATGCTCCACAACTTTTAGCACGAGGTCTCCTTGCTTGAAGGCGCGAGGCTTGACTGTCCTGTTATAGGCTTGAGCTACAGTTCTGTGGTACAACGCTGTCCTCTTTTCGGCCTCCGCCCTTTTTTCATCCAAAGCTTCAAGGTCCAGCAGGCGCCATTCCGAGCATGACTTTGTATCCCATTCGAGGTCGTTAACAGCTGCTATTCTGGCAGTGGGAATGGTAATCTCTACTGGTGAAATGGCATCGGACCCGTACACAAGTGAATAGGGCGAGAAACCTATGGCACTTCTTGAAGAGGTGCGGTAAGCCCATAAAGCATCCGGCAGGTGAACACTCCAACCTCCTTCATACTCATAGACCATTTTGCTTAGGATCCTCAATAAAGTCTTGTTCGTGGCTTCCGCTTGACCATTTCCTTGTGGATAATAAGGCGTGGAGCGACGATGCTTGACACCATAACCACTAAGCGTCGAGCTTACTTGCTTATTGACAAATGGGGTGCCATTGTCGGTGACAATCTATATGGGATTCCAAATCTGCATACGATATTCACGGATGAAATTTGCAACGGCAGCCCCCGTGGCCTTCCGAAGAAGAACTGCCTCAACCCACTTTGTGAAATATTCGGTGGTTGTGAGGATCCATATGTAGCCGTCGGATGGTGGATGGATAGTCCCGATCAAGTCAAGCCCCCAAGTATGAAAGGGCCAAGGAGTGCGCATGTCCTGCAGCAGCGTGGGAGGCTTGTGACTTAAGTTGGCGTGAACTTGGCATGTGTGGCACCTCTTCACAAAGTTGTATGCATCATTCTTCATGTAGGCCAATAATACCCAACACTCAGCAGCTGCTGGTAAAGCCTCTTCATTCCTTGGTGCTCACCACATTCTCCAGCATGAATCTCTTGCATGGCTTGCTGTGCCTCTGACTTTCCGAAGCATTTTAATGGCTCACCATTAAACCCTTACGGTAAAGAGTTGACCCATCTATGAAGTATCTTTCATTGTCCTTTTGAGCTTACGTGGCATGCTTGGGATCGGTTGGCAAGACTCCGTTGATGAAGGATGCCAAGTATGGAGCCCTCCAATCCTCTGCAAATGAGACGGTTCCTCGGTGGAGGGTATCCTTGCACACTTGGGACAATTGGCTTGTATTTCAGCTGCTTGTTTCCTCATTTCTGGCCAGTAATAACCCTTGCGCTGCAGGCGCCGATACAAGCTGATTATTGGCTCCAAATTGCAAGTAAACCTCATGTACCTCTTGAAGCTTCTCCTGCGCTTCCGTTGTCCCTATGCAGCGGGTCAAAATACCTCCTGGAAGGCGTCTGTACAGTTCCCCAAAGATGATCGCATAATCCTTCAATTCTTTGATGTCGCTTCCTTTGCCTGTTTTTCTTTCACAAGCTTCCTCCAGTCATCCTCTTCTAGCTGCTCCTCTTGAGCCATTACTTCAACAACTGGCGTGTCCTTCTTGATTACTGCAATATTGGGCTGTTCTTCAATAAATGAGAGCCTCGACCCCAAAGTGGCCAACGCATCAGCATATCTATTAGTGACTCCGGGATATGTTCCAACACAACCTGTTTGAAAGAACGAACAAGCCTTTCAGCAGCTGTACGATATGGTGCCAATGCTGGTTCCTTCACGGCGAAATTTCCTTGTAATTGACTCAGCACCAAGTTTGAATCCCCAATAATTTTAATTCTTTTGAAACCCATTTCCCTTGCTGTAGACATCCCTGCAATAAAAGCTTCGTACTCTACCGTATTATTTGTGCATGGGAAATTTAGCTTAAACGAGAGGGTCGTGGATTGCCCCTCGGGATTGACAAGCACCACACCTGCCCCTCCACCCTTCGATGTAGAAGACCTATCGAAGTAGAGGGTCCATGGTTCTGCCTCTGTGACTACAGCAACCATTTCCGGCAGCTCCCCCAGAACTTCCTTAGAGATTGTTGATTCTTCAACTAAGGGAAATAGAGCCAACATGTCAATCACGGCCTGCCCTTTGATGGCTTTTGGGGTGGTGCAGGTGATATCAAACTCGGACAGTTGTAGCAGCCAACGTGCAAGGCGTCCGGATAACACCGACCTTGTAAGCAAATATATTACGGGATCGGACTTCACCATGAGATGTAGCTTTGTGAGCAAGGAAGTAATGCCGCAAGCGCTGTGCAGCATAGACAAGAGCAAGGCACAAGAGTTCAGTCTTTGGATATCTTACTTCGGCTCCCCTTAGTTGCCTACTTACGTAATAAATGAGACTTTCTTCCCGTCATGATCATCTTGAGCAAGCAAAGCCCCCACTGCTGTGTTTGTTGCAGCCAAATAAAGCTTGAGAGGAAGCCCCGGAATAGGTGCTTTCATAGTGGGCAGCTTGGTGATTATTTGTTGCACCTTCTTGTAAGCTTCTTGGCACTTCTCACTCATTCATACGGCTTGCCTTTCTTGAGCAATGGAGTAAAAGCACTCATGATGGTAGCAAGACCTGGGATAAAGCGCGATATACTATAATCTTCCCATAAAGCTTTTCAATTCTTTTGGGTTTCTAGGCGGTGCAAGAGAATTTATGGCTTAGTCTTTTCAGGATCCACGTCTATGCCACGCCGTGTAACTTGAAACCCCAAGAATTTACCGGATGAAACCCCGAACGCACACTTCTTTGGATTCATCTTCAACCGTACAGCCGACACCTTTCCAGCACTCTTCCTCAAAGCTTCTTGATGGCCTTCTCTGGTTTTGGACTTCACCACAAGGTCATGCACATAATCTTCGACTTATTTTCCCATCATGTCGTGAAACACCGCTGTTATGGCTCTTGGTAGGTGGCGCCAGCATTTTTAAGGCCGAATGGCATGACTGTATAATAAAAATTCCCATATGGTGTTCGAAAGGCTGTCTTTTCAGCATCTTTGGGTGACATCTTGATCTGATTGTAGCCACTAAACCCATCCAGGAATGACAACAATCCTTGACCTAGGTTGAATCAATCAAGATGTCCATGTTAGGCAGCGGGAATTCATCCTTTTGGCAAGCCGGTTGAGATCTCGATAGTCCGTGCATACTCTAATTGCCCCGTCTTTTTCTTCACAGGCACAATATTTGCTAACCAGTTGGATGCTGATTGGCTTGATGAATCCGGCAGCTAACACTTTTCAATTTCCACCTTAATTTGCTCTCAACTTCATGATGAAAATTCCTTCTTGGCTGACGAGAGGTTTTGTACCAAGCTCAATATTCAAAGTATGACTTATCAATGTTCCAGCTGCTCGGCTACTGCTGCCGATCCATCTTGCATATGTCTTGGTGCTGCCATTGGTTCTTGGAAAACACAAGGCATGGTGCTTTGTTGTCGGAACTCCCACAGCTATTTGTTTGCATTACTTTCCCTCCATACTCGGGGCTTTCCCATAAGACACGGTCAAAGCCCCCACCCCGTCATAAGCGGTACACGGTACGTCCATCGGCCAGCGTCACCTTTGAGCATTGGGGATGATCATAGGCATGGTTGTTGACTTCTGTGCCTCTTTCTCTCTCGATCAACAATGGTGATGAGCTCCTCATTGCTTAAATCACGAATTTCAGTCCACAAAGGAAGGTAGGTCCTGAAATCCTTGGATGGGATTGCTCCCAGCACCTGTGCATTCAGTGTAGAATTCCGCCTCGGAGTAGTGAGCTTCATCTTTGTTGAACGGTGCTTGGTTTCCAGGTATGCGTAGCGGCCTCAGCCCAATCCTTCCTTTTACGCATTGATGATAGGTAGAGACCACAAGCTTATGCTTGTTGAGCCATGGCCTTCCAAGCAAGCGTGGTAAGCCACATCCACATCCACAACATAGAACTTAGTAAGTGACCGAATTGGCCCAACCTTCAAATTTACTTGTAGATGCCCGACTGTGACCTCACTCTTATTCCCGAAACCACTGATGTTTGTTTGTGATTGGACAATTTGGACAATGGGATACCAGCTGCCGTAAGCACAGACAGAGGTATATGTTGACAGAGGATCCCGTGTCTACCAAAGCTCTCCATATGAACATCATTGATTTGTCCCTCCAAGTAAAGCGGCCTCCTATGGTCCGGGTATGGAACTTCCATGTCTTCGTCCGTGAAGACAATAGCATTGTCATTTCCTAAGAATGACCCTTGTGGTTGAGCTGTAAAGCAATGAGAGTTAGACTCTGCAGAGATATTCATCAGAGCTACAGCAGCTACTTCTCTTGCTTGAGGCCCGAAGCCAAGTTGGTCAAAGAGTGATTTGAACTTCGGGTTTCTTTGAAGGACTTGTGAAGCTGTGGGCCCCTGTTTCATACTTAATAACGTTCCATCATGCTTGTTTTAGCTTCCATGAGATTATGAAGTGTCACAGCAGCTGCCTCCTGCTGCTCCGATAAAGCCCCCGAGTAGCATTCTTCCGGCATGTCCAAAACAACAAAATTTCGCTGTCTGAGTTGTTACCCCCATCCATCAGCGAGTGGCCATGGTGTGTTGTAACTTGAAGGCCTCGAATATTTACACTGATATGCCTTCTCCATGTTTCCGCAAGGTTCCCATATAGCTTCCGGCAGCTTTGGGTCGTTCCTCCAAGGGTGGCACAATTCATCATCATCAAGCAAAATCATCAGAGCATGTAATGACAGCGGCTACCTCCTTTCCCTTCGTTTTGGCAAGGGGTCTTCATCAATCGTTTGCTTCCTAGAGGGAAGTTCAAGGACTCCCTCATGTATTTTGGCATGTAAAATCCTCCTCAGACTCTGACAGGCAGTGGTTGGATGGCCCACAAATTGATGATAACAGCAGTACCTAGGATCATTCTTTTCCTCTCGAGTTGGAATTTGTAGGGTCTAACAGGTTTGATTACGCCATCAGCAATCATCGTGTCAAGGATAACATGAAATTCTTCAACTTTGCATGGTAGTGGTGGATACGTCTCCCTATCCTTCCGTTTGCATGAATTGTAGTCGTTGGATGGCTTGTCATCTATTGCTAATGTCTGATGCGCTTCCTTCTTCTCATTCCTCCAAGTCCTTTGTCTGGTAGCTTGACTGACATGCTTGTCTTCCTCACAGCTTCCAGCAGCCGAGAAAATTGACTAATGCCAATATTCTCCAAATACACTCTATAAATCCACCACGATATTGCTGATGCAGATTTCAACAAGCGCTCATCATCTTTCTCATCATAGCAATCCAATGCCAAGTCCCGGAACCTACGTACAAAGTCCACGGGATCCTCACCATGCTTTTGGCGAGTTGTTTGAGTTGAGTGGTGGTGACTCGTTCTTCATGCTGGAAATACTTCTTACAAAACCTGCTTGCCAAGCTTCCCAAGAGGAATAGAGCCTGGTGCCAAACGTTGATATACCATGTGTAAGCACGATCGTGAGGACTCTTTGAAAATTCTCTAAGTCGAAGATTATGATCACCAGCATAGGTCCCAAGCATCGATGAAGCGATTGACATGGCTCCTTCGGGCTACCCTCCTCCATCAAAGAGGACAAAGGTTGGTGCTTCATAGCCTTTAGGATAGTGGCTGCTGGAGTAGCTTGTGGATACGGCGACGGAGAAGCCGACGTCCAATCTTCCTGACTTCGACCTCGCTCCTTTTCCAGCATCGCGACAACGGCCTCCTGAGTGACAAAAGATGGTCCTTTTTGCTCAACTCCTTTCCGCAGCAGCAGATTCCTCTGTGGGTGCTTTCGTTCACTTCACTTGGCTTGGAGCCGAATTTTTGAGGGCGTTTATCATCTATGCCATCTCCCTCTGTGTCTCCCCATAGCACAATGCGGCAACAAAGATCTGTGCGGGTAAAGTTCCCTACACTTGCACATTCTGCTGCCCTATAAGAGGGCCTTGACTCTGAGGCACATGGCTTGGGCCCATCCTGAGTCATGGTGGTGCTTCTTGGTCTTCTCTTCTTGGAGGCAGCGTGAAGAGAATGGCTTAATCCCCAAGTGAAGGTCGCCAAATTTAACGTAGGGGACTTTTTCTTCCTACAGCTAATGCGCTGGGCCTGCTGCAAGAAGGCAAACTGAGGAGATTGCCCTTTTGGTTTAGGTTCGAAAATTAAGACCCAAAATACTCGAAAGGGCCAGCAAAACCTTAGGAGTATTTTGGATAATCTTCTCCTTTTTTTTTTTTTTTTTTTTTTTTTTTTTTTTTTTTTTTTTTTTTTTTTTTTTTTTTTTTTTTTTTTTTTTTTTTTTTTTTTTTTTTTTTTTTTTTTTTTTTTTTTTTTTTTTTTTTTTTTTTTTTTTTTTTTTTTTTTTTTTTTTTTTTTTTTTTTTTTTTTTTTTTTTTTTTTTTTTTTTTTTTTTTTTTTTTTTTTTTTTTTTTTTTTTTTTTTTTTTTTTTTTTTTTTTTTTTTTTTTTTTTTTTTTTTTTTTTTTTTTTTTTTTTTTTTTTTTTTTTTTTTTTTTTTTTTTTTTTTTTTTTTTTTTTTTTTTTTTTTTTTTTTTTTTTTTTTTTTTTTTTTTTTTTTTTTTTTTTTTTTTTTTTTTTTTTTTTTTTTTTTTTTTTTTGGGACAGCATGCGGGATAGTACTCATCGATTCTTTGGATGTCTCTGGCTTGGGACTTGTTTCCAGCAACTTTGCTTAAGGAGTCTGCCAACCTCTCTTCACGTGTCCTCTGTTTTCTTCAAACAAAAGCTGAGGTTTTTGTGGACTATTTTAGGATTTTTATGTGGTTACCCATATGTTTGGGCCTAAGAAATGGGCTTGAGCCTTGAGGCTCCCAAGTAACCCGAGACTTTTCATTTCCTGGCCCATCAATGGGCCTCATGTTGATTTATTACCATCGGTGCCACAACCCACTCAAGCAAGCCCCAGGTTTTTTGAGTGGCTTGGGCCCACCTAGGCTTGTAGCGTGGTTGGGTGCGAGATAACGGCATGGCATGTTGCTCGGCTTATTTTAATTTATCGCCCTTGGGAAGGATTGTTTTAATTTTAGCATGAGTTAATCATATTTTTATCGCGAATCATAGCATGATAATTTATTTATTTAGCGCGGCATGTGGATTATAACTCGCATGTGATAGACCTTTTTTTTTTTTTTTTTTTTTTTTTTTTTTTAATATTGTATTGGGCTGATAATTGCTCGGGCTGATATTGCTGCTCTTTTTCCATGGATTTGTGGGGCCTCAACAATAGGCGTTGTAAGCTACCCTTTCCTAGAAACCCTAATGGTTTCTATACAATTTGGCCAAGTCTTTCCCTTCCTTTTTCCCCTCATCCCTTCAATCATCCTATTTTTGTGAAATTCACTTTACCCATTTGCACAAAATCAGGGATTTTTGGGAGCTCAATGCTCTTCCCGCAGCCACTTTAGTGGAAAACTCCTATTTTCAGCCATCTTTCTTCCTTCTTTTCTCCCCTCTTCTTTAGCGGGGGGTATGTAAAATGGTTTGTACATGGTTGTGTGGTTTGCTCAAGTATCCTTTGGTTTTTTTAGATGGCTTGTGTTGGGATTTGCCTTTGGCCATGTGCCGGAGATTCCCAACGGCCTGCAGATGTGAGTGGCCTTTAGCTTTGGTTGTGGTCTTATCTCCAGTTAAGTGCTGGAAGCTGCAGATATTTTCCTTGACTGCTTGGATCTTTCTAAGGTGATGGGCTAGTTCACTAAAGGGATGGGCTATCTTTTCTAAGGTAATGGACTATTTTCTCTCCTTTATACTTACCCACATATTTGGGCTCAAGAAATGAGCTTAAGTTTCGGGGCTCCCAAGCAGCCCAAAACTTCCATTTCTCGGCTCATCAATGGGCCTCATGAAAACTCGTAACCATCCATATCACAACCCGCTCAACAAGCCCCAGGCATTCGAGTGGCTTGGGCCCACTTAAGCTTGCAGCGTGGTGTGTTGCTTATTCGCTTGGCGTGGCATGTGTGCAAGCGTATATGATGAACTTTGGCTTACCCAAATTGGGTTTCTTCCCAAGTTAGGTGTTGTACTGGGCCGGGAATTTATTCGGGCCTAACCGTGGATTTTTTGGGCCTCAACAGTTTGTTTTGTAATTTTTTGTCATGGCCACGTTTCTAACAACCTCCAATTAATTGGATTAATGGGTTAAAGAAAAAATTAATGAAAGAGTTAATTATTATGTTGAATCATAAGAAATGGGCTTAACTATTGATTTGCTCCTTGAACTTGAACCCAATTTTCGTTTTACCTCTTATATTTTTTTTTTCCGCCAATTTCTCCAATGCCGTCTAAATCCTCAACATTTCATCCAATTTTTAGTAGCCTCGCCAACAAACATCAATTTATTGCACAAAGACAGAACAAATAAATTATTGGAAAGTGAAAGAGAAGAGGAAAGGGCAACAGTGCCCGCTCTGGTCACAAGATAAGCAACGCCATTTGCATTAGCAAAACTGGTGCGGCGGCAAAGAGAGGTGCTTAGAAAATCATTTTGATCAAACGTCATATGGTTAGTCACTCTAGAATCGATAATCCGGCCAAGAGCACGACTTGAGGTAGAAGTATGAAATACAAAGCCACAGTTACCTGAGTCGCCCAAAATCTAGGAGTCATTAGAAGATGTTGAGGGGAGGGTGGATCTGGCCTGAGGAGCCAATGATAATTGAGATTCAGTGGTGACAAAAGCTGCATGACCAGATCCAAGCACAACTTTTCAACCTTTGTGTCCTTCCCACCAATCGGGATACTCGTGTAGTTTGTAACAAATTTCTCGAGTGTGTTTAGGAATTCCACAGTGAGTACATCCCGTCCCGTATGTTGCAGCCTTAGGTTGAGGAGGTTGGGTAGTTGGGCAGGCAAATGAGCCAACAGCCATGGCGTAAGAGTACATCTGAAGGGGCACGTCTGTAGAAAAAGGTGGCTAGCCGGGCTGATCGGTTTAGGCATGGCCAACTAGCCGGTGAGTTCCCTTGGCCTCCAACCAGCCGCGATCGATGCCTGAGTATCCATTACGATAGCTTGTCGGAGATCTTCCCATTGGACAAAAGCATATGCCTACTCAACAGTGAGAAACAGAGACATTTGAAGAACATCTATGAGGGCCTTGTCAAGTCGGTCATCCAAGCAATCCAAGAAGATATAAACACGGACTTCTTGGAGATTGCCGTTGCGCTCCTTGATATCAGAGTCACACTTCATCTGATTCGGACGATGGAATGGAAGCCGATTTCTTGCCATAAGCTTTAAAGATCATTGTAGTTGGTTTCAATGGAGCCACCTCCTTGTCGCATCTGGTAAGTGCGTCGTTTAAGGTCATGCACTTGAGAGGGGTCAGTGCTATTAAAGTAGGTCGTGGCAATCACATCTCATGCTGCCTTTGCAGTTGGAAAGCAAATAAAGGTGCTAATCAGGTGAGGCTCTAAAGAATTGATTAGTCAACCTTTCACAACTGCATTCTCAATGCGCCAGCGGTGGAAACATTGCTCAGTCGGAGTAGGGGTGGAAGTTCGTATGTGAAGTTTCCCAACTTGGCTTTGTCGATGACTTACAACTTGACGACTAGGGACCAAAAGGGGTAGTTTGAGCCATCCAATTTGATGCCAATCGACAGAAGCTTCAGAGGTAACAGTCGGAGTCGGGTTTGGGATCTGTACGTCGGCCGTGTTCAGGGTCAGGTTCGAATTCGAGGTTGAGTTCGGGTACGAATTCTAGTTTCGGTTATGTATCTTCAAGAACTAAGTTATCTGAGAGGCTAGTTCGAATGACAAGAAGAAGCAGAATCAGTGGTGCTACCTTCATGGTGGAGGAAAATATCTTCATCCCTCATGATAGTAGTGATGTGTAACATAAAGGACTAATAATGTCATAACAAAAACATAAAAGACCAAAGGTGATAATTTGGCAAACCTCAAAACATATCCCAAACTCTACCAACAATAATTTTTTTTCTTTCTCACTTTGTTAATTTTGATTTGAATTTTTTTAGGTTAAAATGTTCAATAAAATAAATCATGAAGGTATTAACAAAAATTACCTCAAGAAAAATCAACCAAAAAAAAATAGTCAAACAATTTAATAAAGTTGCATACTCAAATTTTGAGTCTGAAGGGTTGAAAGGAAAAAAATTGTAGTCTGGTCAATACGTGAATAGTTGTATTTTAGAGGGTGGAAATTAAGTTTAGCCCATTTATGGTTGGAGATGACCTTATGTAACGTTGTGAAATAATATATGACTCTAAAGTATCAGTCTGTATTAACATTGTGAGTTTGGATTGGTTGTGTAAGCACTGGAAGTAAAGTTAAAGAATTTTTTGTATATTTTGTGAATTACGAGCTTCACGTCTTGGATTGTATATTTTGTTAATTAAGCAGGTTATCCTGGAGAAATTATACAATACTACTGTTGAAAGGACCCGACCCAAATTCCACTTTGGAATCCGAGCCGAACCCTGTGCATGAGCGACATCTGGCAAGTGCCGAGCACAAATGACCTATTGCCCTTCTTGTTAAGAACTCAGTTTTCTAGCAACTTAACTGGACTACCTTTTACTACCTAACCTCTTGGCTGCGCCTTGTAACCTCAGGCTGCCTATGTACCCTTACTGAGGGATCAAGCCACACGTAGTTCTTTCCTCTTTTCCTGACTTTACCTAGATCAACGTATCTGGAAATGACTACGATCCAACTGTTCAAACGTATCGAACCCGAAAATCGCACAATAAGCAGGATCCGTTCGGGGTTCAAACATTATCCAAATTGTGATCCGCGAAATCCTATGCACTTGTGGGGACCAAGGGATCGTTCTAGGACTGAAAGTGGTCCCCACCCTGCTGCCCACGCGCCGCCACACGCGCCGACAGCGCATGGGTGGCTTGATCAAATTCCGGCGGCAGGAAAAACTCCAAATCATTGACCCAAACTCCTACCTTAGGTGTAACACCTTATTTGGAACAACTTTTATTCTTGGACCTACCCCAAAAACTTGCCGGAAGTGGCCGAAATCGAAGGCCGAAAATCGGCCAAACCCTTATCGCTTAAATACCTCCGAAAACTCTGAAATTCCTCATAAATAACACAGCCAGTAGCTAGAACACCTCAAGAGGATTAGAAACCATACCTGGATCGCAAGATTTGGTGCTCGAAATCGTTCGAATGAAGCTAGAGAAAATCAGTCAAAAATCGGCCGTTTCTATGGCAGTTTTCGGCGATCTCCGCCGATTTTAGTGGCTAAGATCAATCGGGAAGGAAAGAGAAGGGGGTGGCTGTCCGTTTGGGTCCGATCTCGTGGCCAACCATGGCCTGTGGTCGCACCAAAGAGAGAGAGATGGCTTTAAAAATCTGACCTGTTACTATTTTGCCCCTCAACGTATTTTGACCGTATCTCCCTCAATACAACTCGGATTTGAGCCCACTATGTGTCTACAGGCTCATCTCGCTACGCTCTACGCAACAGTATAACTGAAATCCCCAACTTCCTTCCCGAATAAAAAGTTAACTTTTAAACCATTAAAATATTCTAGGGATATAATGGTCTTTTAGTAGAATAAATTAATAATTCACTATTAATTTAGGATCGGGTTGTTACAACTGTAGCACCAGCTGGCGTGGCTGATTGGTACTACAGTCCAACAAGATTCAGCCATGTGTACAGCTTATACAGTCAGCAACAAACTTAATAGACTGCCGTTAACCCTTAAACCACCATCAATGCAAACTAGAAATATCCAAGGCCAAATTCTCTGTGGGTTTCGCTGCCTGAGAATTTGACCCAAACTCGCCGCCAAAATTAAGTGCTCACCGATCCCTATCGCAGACTCGGGAGTTTATCAAGTCACTTGCGCCAATTGCTACTGATTTCGGGTCTGAGTTGATGCAGTTCTTGGGTTCCAGCGCCTCCGCCATTGTCTCCAATGAGGTCTCTTCGAGATTTTTATCATTTTCTCCCATAAGCAATGGCTGAAATTTTTTAAAACAACTGTGGCGGTGGCTACAGAGCTGAAAATCTTGCCGTTGAATATCCTCTTTAAAATTGACCCCTTCTGCCTCCCACATCAAGCTCAAAGCCTTTGCCTTTTTGGGTAATGACCCAATTTCAAATAATTTTGTTGCACAGCAATTGGTCAAAGAATATTATTGCATAGAAATTTGTTGATCTAATCTTAGATCTGAAATATTGACGCGATCATGGTCTAAAAGCCAGCGTTGGGAGGACTTCAAGCCTTTGGGTGGGCATCCCCATCACAGAGCATTCATTTTGTTTTTTTAACGTCGGCATTAACGGCAAAACTTTATGGTTCTGTTGCATGTCTAAGCTGTACACATGGCTTAATCTTATTGGACCGTAATACCAATTAGCAACGCCAACTGGTGCTACAGTAGTATTGTATAATTTCTCATTATCCTGATGTTGAAAATTCAGGATGTTACAGGATGTTTCATGGAGACTAAGGACGATTGTGAACAACATTCATTATCTTATTCCAACGTTTGAAGCCATCAACTTTTTGCATGTGTTTGGTCACAATCTTAGGATAGACACATTGGATCCGCTCTATCCTCCCAGCGGCATCTTCGGTGTTGACTTAGCATTTGTGGAACTCTGCCCCTAAGAGCTTTTCTTTGTATGCCTTATTTTCCCATTTAAAAACTTAATAATAATAATAATAATAATAATAATAACAGAATACATTCTTAGATATACATTCCTATTATACACAAATTTATAGCCAAATTCGTATTATTAGTATTATTAGACAGCTCCACAATACGAAAATATAAATAGAGATAGAACATTGCTTGCCTCGTTCCCCGGAAAAAGATACTCCTTCTAATAAATCACAATTTGACACATGTGCAAAAATAATGCATAAAAGACACACAAAGAAAAAAATTATACACATATATCACATTGTGATTGAAGCAATGTAGAAGTTGCTAAGGAGGAAATTTTTTCCCATAAAGATAAGCATCAAATTTGGAAATCATAATCCCCTTCAAATTAAAAAAATATGTAAAAAGTATGTCAATCAAGGCCATAACAAAATTACCTAATTGTGTGCATGTCTCAACTAGTTTTTCCTTTTCCCGTAAAAGTCAAAAGCAAAATTATTTATAATATAAACAATACATATAATATATTAGAAAGTCATTTAAGGTAAAGTAAAACTAAGAAAACAAATAATAAGTAAATAAAAGTAAAATAAAGTTGCTTAGCAACAGTTTTCTGGGAAAGTCAAAGCTTTTGGAGAAAGTAGTGCTTGGGCTTCGATCTTTGGACACTTACTTTTCTAATTATGAATGACTCAAAGCCCATTTGGCTTGAAAAAAAGTCCTTTTATTAGGCCACTTTTATTACTCCAAACATTTGTATTTCTTGGAACAAATCAAAGTTGTGCCCTTCTCTATAATGGTTCGATTTTGTAGACAATGAAATTTTGGTGTAATAAATCCCATTGGACGAGAAAATAATTAGGGTTTGGTGGATTAAATTGTGGGCCCCATAATTCGCCCATATGGCATGTGACTCATCAAAATTGGATTAGTTGTCAAAAAGTGACACGTGGCGACATCCGACGGAGTGCATCAAACGGTTCAAGATGAAGACAAAATTAAGGGAAAGAATCTTCTGTGGTTGACTTTGATTTAAATCAAATTAGGTCAATCAATTGAAGATAATCTGGTTAAATTGCCATATTATGGGAATTGATTTAAATCAAATCAAAATCCCACAAAACAAGGTTTTAAATGGGGAAAGTTATCTAGGTTAAGCATCCTACAAGGGCCTATAAATAGGAGGCCTCAAGACGAAAGAAAGGAGAAAAAAAAACCTAGCATTGAGAAGAAGCAGAAAACTCCCTGCATTCTTCACCTACACTTTGGAAGAGCCACCAAGCACAACAAATACGTGCCGGTTCCTCCACCCTAGAAAATCCCAAACACCAAACAAGCCTTGTGCTACCCGTTTGATCAAGATCAAGTCTCTACGACCCTTGCATCAAACACAAATTTTCTTTATACATTTTGGAGATCGAATCAGAGGATTCAATACAGAGATTGTAACCCTAAATTTCATAAATACAAATATTATTTTGTACACGTGTTCTTGTCTCATTTGTTGCAGGAAATTCGTGTTTACAAATTTGGCACGCCCGGTGGGACCATCTCTACCTCTCATCTCTTTCTCCAGTTCCAAAATCAACCAACACGCCAAACACGATGGCCTCTAAGAAGATTTAAACCGTTCCTGTGGCGAAAGGGAAAAGCGTGAGCGCTTCCTTCTCAAGCGGAGATTTTGCTGGGGTCGTCACCCAGAGCAAGGCCAAGGCGATATCCGCAACTCCACAGGTCACTTCCATACCGACTTAAGCCAAGGCGAAAGACATGAACCGAAGGCGTGAACCGGTTATCAATCTGGCCTCCTTGGGGGCAAAGAAGAATACCTCCCGGGCGGATGAGAGAAATTCTCGGAATGAAGAAAGGAGTTTTTCGGGCTCGAAGAATTCAAGAGAACGTTCCCTCTCGCTTGTTTCAGACGCTGACTCGAGCACAGGCTCATACCATGGATCCCCGCCTAACGACCAACAAAAGAAGATTGCCTCGGCGTCCATAGATGAGTCTTATTCTATGGCCATGCAGGTTTTGGTGACGGGAGCATTGTCTATTGAAGAACAGCTGGCCCATATGAGCGAAGCGGTCATGAAACTGACGAAGATGGTCGAAGAGAAGGATGCGCAGATTGCTTCTCTCATCAACAAGTGGGAAGCACATCAGGATAAAGAGCCTGGTCAAGATGCAAACAAGAAAGGACCACATCATGAGGCTGAATCTAGCGAGAAAGGATTGGGTCATGAAACAGAGTCGGGTGAGAAGTCGCACGAAAAAATTGACGCCGCCTCGGTGGGTTATTTGTCGGTTCAACAACTTCAGGACATGATCACGAACACCATCAGAGTTCAATACGGAGCACCTTCTCGAGACACGCTCATGTATTCTAAGCCATACACCAAGAGGATAGACAACTTGCGGATGCCGACGGGATATCAACCTCCCAAGTTCCAACAATTCGACGGAAAGGGCAATCCAAAACAACACATTTCACACTTCGTCGAAACATGCAACAATGCTGGAACGGAGGGCGACCACTTGGTGAAGCAATTTGTTCGGTCGCTGAAGGGAAATGCATTTGATTGGTATGTAGACTTGGAGTCCGAGTCTCTTGACAGTTGGGACCAAATGGAGCGAGAATTCTTGAACAGATTCTATAGTACTCGTCGCACCGTGAGTATGATGGAACTCACGAATACCAATCAATGGAAAGATGAACCTGTCGTTGATTACATCAATCAATGGCGTTCATTAAGCTTGGATTGCAAAGATAGGCTTTTGGAGATATCAGCAGTTGAGATGTGCATTCAAGGGATGCATTGGGGGTTACTCTACATCCTACAAGGGATTAAACCCCGCACGTTTGAGGAGCTAGCCACTCGTGCCCATGATATGGAGTTAAGCACCGTCAGCCACGGAGGAAAGCATGAGCCCGTCATCGAGCATAAAAAGGAGAAAGTCTTTGGACAAAAGACAGATAAGCCGGTCATGAAGCCTACCAAGGAAGCAATGACAATCAACACTGTCCCGGTCAAAATCTCCACCCGAGATAAGAAGAGGAAAGTCAAAAGGACCTGAGAGGTAGATAAACGTCGGCACACCTTGAAGGAATTGGAGGAGAAAACGTACCCTTTTCCTGATTCTGATGTCGCAGGTATGCTTGAGGATTTGCTGGAAAAGAAGGTGATCGAATTGCCGGAATGTAAGCGGCCTAAGGAGATGAACCGGGTCAACGACCCTAAATTTTGCAAATACCACAGAATTGTCAGCCATCCAGTAGAAAAGTGCTTCGTGTTGAAGGAGCTAATTATGAACTTAGCTAGGCAAGGAAGGATCGAGTTGGATGTTGACGAAATTGCAGAGGTGAATGTTGCCACAATTGTGTTCGGATCCTTTGATCCGGTGTCGTTGCCCGTATTGTCAAAAAGATCGGAGTTTCAATCTACAAGGGGCATTGCTGGAAAAGAAGGTGATCGAATTGCCGGAATGTAAGCAGCCTAAGGAGATGAACCGGGTCAACGACCCTAAATTTTGCAAATACCACAGAATTGTCAGCCATCCAGTAGAAAAGTGCTTCGTGTTGAAGGAGCTAATTATGAACTTAGCTAGGCAAGGAAGGATCGAGTTGGATGTTGACGAAATTACAGAGGTGAACGTTGCCACAATTGTGTTCGGATCCTTTGATCTGGTGCCGTTGCCCGTATTGTCAAAAAGATCGGAGTTTCAATCTACAAGGGGCATACACCAGAAGACTGGTCTATGTACAAAAGAAGTGGTGGGCGAACCAAACAATCAATGTGGTGATGGCTTTGTGGGTAACTCGTCTTTTGATGACAATAAAGGATGGACGCTCGTTACTCGGCGGAAGTCTCGTACGAAGCGCATTCCTCAACGACAAAATGCTCAATCAAAGAAGGAGCGGTGAAAGAGAGGCTCGCACCAACATTCTAAGAACAAAACCAGACGGATGGTGAGGAGAGACTCCGAACAAGAAGATGGACCATTAATCCAAGGGCCACGAACTCCAGTTATGCTAGGAGAATACTTTCCCAAAATGTTCTTCGTAAGAGGGCCAACAGAGACAGTCCATATGACAACTTGCTATCAGGTAGATGACGAAGATGCCTCGGAAAGAAGATATGAAACTCATGAAGAGCAAAAGGTCTCAACACAGGCAAAAAATCCACCAGCGCATTCAAATATTGAAGAAGCGGTGGAACTCCCTGAAGCCATACGTGTAGCATTGGTAAAGGCATTAATGGATCTCGATATCCAACCAAATAAGATAAGAAAGACCGGAGAATTAGAGCTTGAGCCTCAAGACCATGCTATTTGCTGCGCGACGTGCGCTTCCATCACATTCACCGATGAAGACCTCTTGTTAGGATCTAAACCACATAATCGTCCGCTTTTCGTGTCAGGGTATGTGCGAGAACAAAAACTTAGTCGCATGCTTGTGGACGGAGGTTCAACAGTAAACATCATGCCTAAATCCACGATGATGAAGTTAGGCATCACCATGGATGAATTGTCTCGCAGTCGTCTCATGATTCAAGGCTTCAATCAAGAAGGACAAAGAGCTATGGGCATGATCAGAATTGAGCTCGTGATAGGCGATTTAAAGTCAAACACCCTATTTCACGTGATTGATGCTAAGACCTCCTACAATCTCCTATTAGGAAGGCCATGGGTGCATGAAAATGGGATAGTGCTTTCACCCTTACATCAATGTTTCAAATTTTACAGAGGAGGAGTAAAGAAAATCTTGGGTGACGTTAAACCATTTACTGAAGCCGAGTCTTACTTCGCGGACGCCAAATTTTACATGGATGAAGACGTGGTATCTGAAGTTATTCCCGTGGAGGTTAACTCGACAGGAAAAGCCATGCCAAGAAGAGAAGATCATTCAAAGTGCCCTCCCGCTGCAGAGAATGTTTCGAAGAAGTCAAAAAGCACTTTGTCCGGACAAATGGGATCATCACCGACAGATTCACGGAAGGTGTCTACTCCCATCCTCCGCTATGTCTCATCATCCCGACGGAAGGAAGGACAATCCCAATTTGGAGAAGAAGGAGTCGACAACCATACCTTTACCAAAGTTGAATAATTTAGACGTTTCGAAATCTTTGGTACCAGGGTTCGTCAGACCATCACAAGAGGCAACAAGACACGAATCTCTTCCGGTCATAAGAACAAAAGAAGGTTTTGACCCTAATGCTTATAAGCTCATGTCAAAGGCAGGTTATGACTTCGGCTTATCTTCATCGATGGGAGAGCTTAATCCATATGTCACAGGAGAAAGGAAGCATGGCCTTAGAGAAACCCAAAAGAAGTTGAAGGAGCAAGGTTACACAATTGACTCAGCTAGAGCAGGCCTAGGTTTTACTCCTGTCGCACCTGTCAAGATCTCTGCTAGAAGAAAAGAAAAGAAAGCAGAAGCTCAACATATTAGTGTCGAAGCGGTTGAGGAGGAAGAAGAACCAAAGGCTGTTAAGAGAGCCTCAGTGTTCGACCGTTCAGCCAAGCCTACCTAGCGGACCTCAGTTTTCAGCCACATCAAAGAATCAACATCACGACCTTCTGTGTTCAAAAGGATAACTGGGCATGATAGCCAAATGGGAATTCAATCAGCCCCACGCAGATCAGCGCTAAAAAGACTTGGGGTTCCAAGCAAGTTGTCTGAAGGGAAAAATTAGAAAGAATTGAAAACTCACTACTACAAAAAAGGAAAAACACGACGGTAAATCACCGTCGTGTATTTTTTTTTTTTTTTTTTTTTTTTTTTTTTTTTTTTTTTTTTTTTTTTTTTTTTTTTTTTTTTTTTTTTTTTTTTTTTTTTTTTTTTTTTTTTTTTTTTTTTTTTTTTTTTTTTTTTTTTTTTTTTTTTTTTTTTTTTTTTTTTTTTTTTTTTTTTTTTTTTTTTTTTTTTTTTTTTTTTTTTTTTTTTTTTTTTTTTTTTTTTTTTTTTTTTTTTTTTTTTTTTTTTTTTTTTTTTTTTTTTTTTTTTTTTTTTTTTTTTTTTTTTTTTTTTTTTTTTTTTTTTTTTTTTTTTTTTTTTTTTTTTTTTTTTTTTTTTTTTTTTTTTTTTTTTTTTTTTTTTTTTTTTTTTTTTTTTTTTTTTTTTTTTTTTTTTTTTTTTTTTTTTTTAAAAATGGGTCGTGGAATCCACCGACATCTTTTCCATAACCAAACCACGACGGTGAATAACCGTCGTTGTTAAAACAAAAAACGTCATCAAAAAATAAAAACCGACGTCTTTGTGCTGCAAAAAGACATAAAAAAACAGTCGAGGATGAGAATAGACGACCAACTCCAACAAAAAAAACGTCGTTAAAAAGGAAACAGATGACATATATTAACAGAACATGGCCGCAAGATAAACATACAACGACGAGAACTAAAACTTAACGCCGTTAAATAAATATTTAACGACAAATATAAATACGACGTCTTTACAATCATAATAGACGACGTTATTGACACCTACTACGTCACAACATTTCCACAACCGTCGTAAAATAAATTTTCCACTTCGATTTTTCTATGAATTATGACGTGGAAATAGATGTCAGGTTCATTACTTACGACGCATGTATTTACAGAGACGACGTTGAAATGAATAAACAACGTCGGTTCCAAATAAATGAGAGCCGTATTACAGAATTTATACGTCATATTTTGAAAATAAACGACGTGGAAAAAATGATGGGGTCATTAATTACGACACAGTAATTTATAAGGACGACGTTGTCGTCTATATACAACGTCGTTACCATGAAAAAGACCGTCGTGTTTAATAATTTATACGTCTTCATTAAAAAATTAACGTCGTCTAATTCATAAATCTTAACGTCGACAAATTTAATGGACTTCAAATACCGTCGTGAATTCATCCTTTTCCACTTCGTTTATGAAAGAACATGCGACGTGGTAAATTCATGACGACGTCGTCTTTTGTAACGTTCAGGTTAAAGTTCTCGTCTTTTAGACGTCGGTATTATGGGATTGGAGTCGTGTTATTTTGAATTACATGGCGGTTCTTTATGCTTGTCCGACGTGTTATCCTGGATAACTGTTTCACAATAGCGTCGTGGTTCTTCATTGTTACGTTGCTTTAAGACGTCGGTAAATATATTGCGGTCGTTGAATGCTCCAAAACGTCGTTATTTATTAGAACAGACGTTTGTTTTTCACATTTTTATCAAAACCGTCGTGTTTGTAATCTGGAACCAGTAATTTTTGTACTGATTGTTTTGTGGCCAAAACCTGTATAATGAAAGTGAAGAAATCACATTACAATATATTACAAAATTAATGTCATACACTGCCAATTACATAAAGCATCATTCAACCCATATATCTTCACACCCATCTCGAATATTTTGACTCCCTAACTCAACCACCACTTCATCAAATGTGTCAACATTTGGCATCCCCCTAGTAAATGGCTCACACTCAATTCTCACATCACCTAAGACATCATCACCAATAACATCATTATATTCTCTATTAGGCATTGATAACACTACCGACCAACCACGATGCATCGGGTCGTCAACAAAAAATACTTGTTTGACTTGAGAAGCCAAAACAAATTGGTCATTCCTATGTCCAATTTTACTCAAATCTACAAGGGTAAATCCAAGTTCGTCCACTACAAGACCAGAAGTATTATCAATCCAATCACACCTAAAGACTGGGATTGTAAACTTTTGGTAGTCAAGGTCCCAAATTTCTTGAATGACACCATAGAAACCCTATTTGAGAGAATTGGGTTTTTATCCTTGGCACTAGCAACTTGGGCATAGTATGTGCAAGTAAATAAACTCCACTATTTTTGAGTTGTCCGCACATCATCTTGTGCCTTGATGTTGAATTTAATACCTTTAATGAGATAGCTCCTATATAATGGCACTGCCATGTTTGGACCAGCTGCTAGCCACCTTAAATTTTCTGATACGCCATGATTGTCCCTCATTAAGTTCACTTTGAACCTGCAAATTAATCATAACTTAATTCAATCTAACATAGAAAGAAGAAAATTAAAAGTCCAATATGTTATTCAATAACATATACCTTGAAGCGTAGCCATTGAATGAAAGTGCTATTGTGCTTATCCTGCACCACTTTGTTCTCTTTCTAAATTTTGGATAAGCGGTCTGGATGTGGATTCATATGTTGCCTACATGACACACAAAATTCAAGATTACGGTCCCAAACATATAAGATAAACATAGAAATAATTTAAAATGGAAACTTAAAGAAAAAACTCATACGTACTCGATATAAGGTAGGACTTCCTCCGTATTCTCCAAGACATATAGATGTGCTTGGTTCAACGGTCCCGATCAACTACCTCACTGTGCAACCTGATAATGCTTTGAAACTCCCATCTTTTGGCTTGAAGGCACTCCAACTGTACAACATCGATAAAATGCTCGGTACAAAACTTACGCTTTCTTCAGCTATTATACCGCTCAGTAATGCAACCGGGCGAGTACGATTCTGAACATACCCCTTTAGCACTTTCATATATCTTTCAAACGGATACATCCATCTAAAATATACTGGCCCACACAGACGAACTTCTCTGACAAGATGTACTACTAGATGAACCATGATATCAAAGAATGAAGGGGGAAAGTACTCTCAAGGCCAAACCAAAGTAACTACTACATCTTCTTCCAACTTATCTAGCTTGGAAACATCAACAGTCTTTGCACATATAGCATTGAAGAAGAAGCACAAACGAGTTATTGCATACCTTGCAGGCTTCTCCAAAAACAGAACGAATTGCCACAGGGAGCAATTGTTGCATTAAGGTATGACAATCATGTGATTTAAGGCCAAGAAGTCTTGAATCTTGTAAAGATACAAGATTTTTTATATTTGAAGAATAACCTTCAGGGACCTTCATACCATAGAAAGAATTGCAAACCTCTCTCTTCTCTGCTCTTGACAAATTCCAAGGCCCGGGAGGCAAACGAGTACGTCTTTCTCCATACTCGGGTTGCAAATCAGTTTTGACCCCCATGTTCAATAAATCTAATCGAGCAGCAATCCCATCTTTATTTTTTCCAGGGATCTCCAGCAATGTACCAATGATACTATCGCAAACGTTCTTCTCAATGTGCATAACATCTAGGACATGCCTCACAGGAAGGTATTTCCAATACTCGAGATCAAAGAATATTGATTTCTTCTTCCAACAAACTCTGTCACCATCTTCAACCATATGCAGCACTTCTTCTCCGGTTAATGGCTCAGGAGGCGTGCCATATTCAGGTTTCCCATTAAAAGCTGCACGTTGCCTCCTATATGGATGATTGATCGGTAACCATTTTCTATGCCCAATGTAACAAATTTTGTGGCCATTTTTCAACCTGTGACTAGGTGTATCATCGCCGCATATTGGACAAGCTTTATATCCTTTAACAACACAACCAGATAAGTTTCCATAGGCGGGGAAATCATTAATTGTCCACATTAATGCAGCTCTGAGTGTAAAGTATTCTCCATTATGTGCATCATACACTCCTCCAATCCCATCCCACAAAGATTTTAAATCATCAATCAAAGGCTCCAAGTAGACGTCTATATCATTTCCGGGCTGTTTAGGACCGGAAATCAATAAGGTCAACATCATGAACTTTCGTTTCATGCACAGCCATGGAGGGAGATTATATGTAACTAAGATAACTGGCCAGCAACTATATCTGCTACTTAGAGAACTGTGGGGATTGAATCCATCAGATGAAAGAGCCAATCTCAAGTTTCTCGGCTCATTACCAAACTCGGGCCATTTATCATCAAGAAGTTTCCAAGACGGGGAATCCGCTGGATGAGACATATAACCGTCAATTGATTTTCTAGCAGCATGCCAAGTCAAACTCTTAGCGGTCTCATGTGATCGAAACATCCTTTTAAACCTTGGAATTGGAGGAAAATACCACACCACCTTCGCTGGCACACCCTCTTTCAAGATTGAATCTTTGCCTTCCTTCCACCTTGAGATACCACAATTAGGACAATGAGTTAAATCCTCATACTCCTTCCTATACAAGATGCAATCATTGGGGCATGCGTGCATTTTCTCATAACTCAGCCCCAATGCACACAAAGTCTTTTTTGCCTCATACATAGAGGCCGGTATTGTATTTCCTTCTGGAAGCAAATCGCCTTGAAGTATCAATAATTCTGTAAAACAGACATCACTCATCCCATATTTTGCCTTCAAATTATACAACTTCACTAATGCCGATAACTTCGTGTACTTTCTACAACCAGGGTACAATGGTTGATCTCCATCCCCAATCACATTGGCAAACTCATAAGGATCAGATCCAAAATCACCAAAATCATTATCATCCATCTCTATTTCTTCAGACACAAAACTGTACCTACTATGGTCATCATCTTCTTCAACATTTCTACTAGCATTAGTAGCTGCTTCCCAAGGTTCTCCGTGAAATGTCCAATTCTTATAGCTTTGGTCAACTCCATTAAAGTATAAGTGATCCCTTATAATTCCAACCCCAAACAATTTCAAATTAACACATTTAACACATGGACAACGGATATGTGTGGTAGTTAGAAGATTTTCTACAGAAAAGTTCAAAAATGCTTCCACCCCTAACTCATATGCCTTCGATCTTCTATCCGAGTGCATCCATGACTTATCCATCTCCGACACTATACCCTATTATATATAATAAAGTGAAAAGACAAGCAATGACCATCACTATAGCAGATTATATAAAGTCTAATAGCAAGTAATATACAACAGAGACGACGGTTTTTAAACAAAAACAGACGTATTTGACATATATAGACGACGGATTTTACGTCGTCTAATTGTAACCACGACGGTAGTTAAATAACACCGTCGTGTATAAGTAATAAAAACGACGGTTTAAAGTAAAAACCGTCGTCGTATGCCTGAAAACGCGTCGATATCCAGTTTATTTTCAAGATCCCAAAACCCTATTAAGAACACAACATAGACATGAAACCAAGCAAGAAACCAACATATACATGAAACCAACATATACTAAGCATGAAAACAATAAATCCATTCCCAATTCAACATGACAGAGAGTGATTAAAAGATCCGACAAAATGAAATCCATTCCATATTCAACATAACAGAGAGTGATCAAGAAAACATTAAACAGAAAATCCATGAACCCATACCTCCAACAACATTATTAACAGATCGCAAAACATATACCTAAAACCCTTTAACAAAACACGTAATATATCATTCAATGAATTTACAAGGGGAAGAGAGGGTTTGTACTTACAGGTTGGCAGAGCTCACAGATTATGACCAAATTGGATTTGACACAGCCTGGCCCAACTTTGAATTAGAGATGAAGTGAGAGAGCGAAATGTTATGTTGCGCGAAATCAGAAAATTTTAGGGTTCAGGGTTAGAAGTATAAAAATAAGAGCCAAATCTGAAAATTTTAGGTCCCGCGAATATTTTAAGAAAGCGCGCTTTTTAAAACATCGACCGAAAATACAAGCGTCGTTAAAATTGAACATTAAAGATGACGCTTATTACATTAAGGACGTCGTGGTAAAACTATGTACCACGCAAAATCAAAAAAGGCGTTAAAACTATGAAAAACCACGGCGGGGTTAAGTAACTAACGACGTTGTAAACAATAATAAACGACTAACAGGTAAACAAAACGTCGTTTAAAAAAGAAACCACGTCGGATTTTTCACCATACGACGTAAACTCAATATTCCACGACTCAATCACCGTCGTTAAAAGTAATACCCTAAACTTTAAAACCATAAATTATATATGTGTAAAATTTAATTTTATAAAATTGTTTATGGTTTTACATCCTAATAAATAACAAGCATAAACCCTAAACCCCAAAAATTATACTTTATCCATAAACCCTAATAAATAACAACCCTAAACCCCAAACCCTAAACCCTAAACCCTAAACCATCAAACTATATAAGTGATGCTATGACTCATAAAAACAATTTTATTTTGGTTGGTCATTTTAAACTTTCATTACACAAACTGCATTTTTTTGGGGTTTAGGGGGAAGAAAATATATCAATGACTTCATAGGAGTTGAAGTTGAATTTTTTGAATTTATTTTAAATTTATTTTTAAAATTTTGAATTAAAAATAATAAAATATTCTTATATCAACAACAAACCACGGCGGGGTTAAGTAACTAACGACGTTGTAAACAATAATAAACGACTAACAGGTAAACAAAACGTCGTTTAAAAAAGAAACCACGTCGTATTTTTCACCATACGACGTAAACTCAATATTCCACGACTCAATCACCGTCGTTAAAAGTAATACCCTAAACTTTAAAACCATAAATTATATATTTGTAAAATTTAATTTTATAAAATTGTTTATGGTTTTACATCCTAATAAATAACAAGCATAAACCCTAAACCCCAAAAATTATACTTTATCCATAAACCCTAATAAATAACAACCCTAAACCCCAAACCCTAAAACCTAAACCCTAAACCATCAAACTATATAAGTGATGCTATGACTCATAAAAACAATTTTATTTTGGTTGGTCATTTTAAACTTTCATTACACAAACTGCATTTTTTTGGGGTTTAGGGGGAAGAAAATATATCAATGACTTCATAGGAGTTGAAGTTGAATTTTTTGAATTTATTTTAAATTTATTTTTAAAATTTTGAATTAAAAATAATAAAATATTCTTATATCAACAACAAACCACGGCGGGGTTAAGTAACTAACGACGTTGTAAACAATAATAAACGACTAACAGGTAAACAAAACGTCGTTTAAAAAAGAAACCACGTCGTATTTTTCACCATACGACGTAAACTCAATATTCCACGACTCAATCACCGTCGTTAAAAGTAATACCCTAAACTTTAAAACCATAAATTATATATGTGTAAAATATGAAAACCTCAGCAAATTGTTTTTTCTTTTATAATATGAAAACCTCAGCAAATTGTTTTTTCTTTTATAATATGAAAACCTCTGCAAATTTTCAGGGAAAAAAAGGATGTATATTATAGACAAAATTTGTACATTATATATATTATAGACAAAATTAGTACATATAAAATATCAAGTGTTCCAAAAATCCTCTAATCCATATGAAGGCAAACAAACTCTGCCCATTCTTTCCTGACTTCATCAATGGCTGCTTGGGGGTATGGCGCTTGATCTTTTCCCTTGGCAAACTGCAATCCATAAACAACGATTATTAAGCTTTACAAAATAAAAAGAAATTCAGTCACAGACGACGTTTTTTTTATAACCGACGTAGTCTATCGATTCAACGACGGTAATTTTAAATGACCGTCGTTGATAATACAAAAACCAAATAAAATGTTTCTGAAAATTTTTTTCTTACCTTCTTCTCAAATTCCAAGGAAGGATCCATGATGATGTCCCTCATGAAGCGCATGACATAATACCCGCATTCGACACTGCTGGGTTGCTTTGGTGTGCCTGGCAGAGTTTTCCAAATTGGTGCTTTACGGCCTGGTCTGCCTATGTGGGAATTATAAATTTTTTAAGCACTGTTCACGATGTTTTTGCCCTCCTCATCCACCACACGATTTCCAGGCAGAGGATCCAGAAAATAGACGGTTTCCCTCTTTGCCCTCACAATCAGCAAGACCCAATGACGGCTGCACAAAAATAAAATAAAAAACGACGGTTATTTATAAAAACCGACGTATTATATAGTTTCACACGACGTAAGAACTTAATCATCGACGTGATTATAAATTTATCACGACGAGAATTAACTACCGACGTGGTTAGTTGTTTCAAACGATGGTATAAATAAATAACCGACGTGGTTAGATGTTTCAAACGACACAGAATTAGTTAAACAGTTTTATAAGTGAAAATCATACAAACAAAATCCATTTAAGGAGACTAACCCTGGATTGTAAGGCATCATGAAAATCTGTTCACCATCTGTTTTCTGAAGTCGACTGGCTACAATTCGTGATCTGTCAGTTAGTGACCCAGCGTTGGCACTAACTTGAGCAGGGTCGATAAAGCCAACCATGCTGCACATATTTGCTTCTCTCAAAAGATCATATAAGCACCTAAATATATAAAACAAACGACGGTTATTTATACACAAACGACGTATTATATAATTTCACACGACGAACTGAAATAGAAACAGACGTGATAACTAATTTATCACGACGGTAAAAAAGAACGACGTGGTTAGTGATTTAAAACGACGCAATAATTAAACAACCGACGTCTTATGATATAATGTTTGATATTTGATTAGGACAAACCTCATATATACTGCAACCACAGTAGCCCCAATTTCTTCCATGCCTGCAAATTGTGTAATATCTTCATGCAAGACGAAGGTACTTCGATCTGCACCAAACACCTCCTTCTCAATGTTGAAAGTCATGATCTTCCCCTGTGGCTTTAGTGTAGTTTCCACATAACCACAAAGGGATTGTAAGGAAGATGGCACCTCCACATTTGAATAATCGAGTACTTCATCACCCTGTTTAAAGAAATAAAGTAAAATAAATTGTTGTGGTAATTCATTAAAAACGACGGCTTAAATTAAACAACGTCGTCTGATTATAATTTAAACGACGGTAATTAAATACCGTCGTTTTAGATTATTTATTACGTCGTAGAAAATAAATTCCGACGTCTAATGTTAAAACAAACGACGGTTTAAAGTAAAATATTGACGTCTGAAATGTGAAAAACAAATTAAAAAGGCAAAGTTATGAGAATATACCTCCTCGTCATGCTTTTCTTCATCTTGTTTTTCTTCTTTCTTCTCTTCAACATTTGTGTCTTCCTCTTTGCCTTCATCTTTATTCTCTTCAACATTTGTGTCTTCCTCTTTGCCTTCATCTTTATTCTCTTTTTCTTCTTCCTTCTTCCCTTCATCAATTGTTTCTCCCATCTTCTGTTCATCTTTATTTTCTTCTCTCTTCTCTTCATCTTGATTATCTAAAGCCCCAGATTTCTGTTTTAAATAATAAAGAAATATATATATAAGACAGATTGTACAGAGAGTAAAAAAATTAAACCAAAACGTCGTGGTAAGGCATAACATAAGACGGTATGTAAGAATTATGGACGTCTTAAAATTATTAAACGATGGTAAATAATAAACGTCGTGGTAATTTTATATCACGTCGTTGAGGACAAAAACCGTCGTCTAAAAGCCACAAAGTACGACGTCTAATGGCGTGTAAAACAAGTAAACTAAATACGACGTGGTATTTAAATAAACACGACGGGTTATTTACAAAATCGTCGTGGTATGGTTTTAAAACGACGGGTTTATTCATAATAACGACGTCTAATGTTAAAAAAAAACAGGGAATTCAAAGTTCAGTTATGTTACCGTTTGTTCTTGCTGTTCCCCATTTCTGGCAGTATCATCCTCTAAATGTAGGGATCTCACTTCAGCCCCAGAACAGCTTGCTTTATCAGACATTGGATTCATGGGACTTGTTTTCGGTTTAAGCATGCTTGGATCAAAATTGGGGATGAGGTGGGAAAGCTGACTTAGTAAATGTTCCCTCTCAGCCTCTACTAATTGTTTGGTTCTAGCTTCCATCTTCTTAGTCTCTTCTTGAAGGACAATTCTTACACTTTCCTTCAATTGATCAGCAAACTTCACCCTTTGTGGTCTAGGTAAATTGAAGAATTGCCTAGGGGAAATCCCAGCACCTACCCCTCTTACTCTCCCTGGATGCTCGGGACCCAAAGCCATGGTCAACACATCATTACTGCCAGTTATACTCAGACTGCCTTCAGCCACTTGTTTTTGCAAGTCATCCTAAAACAAAGACAAAAAAAAAGTCAGCACAAGAAAATACACGACGGTTATTTATAAACAAACGACGCATTATATAATTTCACACGACGGACCAATATAGAAATCGACGTTATAATATCTTTATAACGACGTTAATTAAAACCGACGTGGTTAGTTTCTTAAAACGACGCAATAAATAAACCACCGACGTCTTATGCTGTAATTACAGAAAACAGAGTTGTGATTTCAGATTTAGATATTTCACGACGTTTTTGAAAACATTTCGACGTAGTAATAACATTAACACGACGGAAAACATTAACCACCGACGTCTTATGCTATAATTACAGAAAACAGAGTTGTGATTCCAGATTTATATCTTTCACGACGTTTTTAAAATATTTCGACGTAGTAAAATCATTCACACGACGGAAAAAATATAATATAAGACGTAGTAAGAATTCTACACAGTAATATAAAAATTTAAAACAGAGTGTGTAGGCTTACAATTAATTTTGCTTTCTCTGCCACCTTTGGATCCGGGATGTTACCAAGTTTGTCCTGTCTAGCTTTCTTCCATAAGGTAGATCGATCAATTTCTACCCCAGGCATGGTTTCCTCCAATTGATCCTCCAAACCAGCATATCCTTTTCGAGACAATCGATGATTGTACTCAAGTTTCTCCCTAATCTGTGCATGTTGAGAATGCACAGACTCAAAGTCTTTGGATAACCTTGAAGCTACAAAGGCATCCCATTCTGCTTTCTCTATGAATTTATATACTGCAGGGGGTTGGCTTAATTTCTCCCTCTCATTGATGTATGGAAGGATATAATGCCTCGTCAGTGTAGACTTGAAATCCTTCCATTTCTTGGCAGCAGAAGATAACACCGAGGTCTTGCCCCCTTGACCTACCACAAAAGCCATGTCAACGGCTTCCCAAATCTGCTCCTTTATATCATTGGGGATGTCAGCCCATTTCTTGTCCACAAGTGGGACTCTGGAGCGTGCCAACACACCAATGTAGGACTGCATCTCAGTATGTGCAGGGCCACATCCTTTCCCCCTTTTATTGTACTCAACAACTGGCTTGATTTTCTGCAATTTTCTCTTCACAACACGAGGCATTGTGCTCATACCTCGACCTGACTTTGAATCCTCAGAAATTGTTGTCGTGCTGCTTGGTTCTTTCTCAGCAGATGAAACAAACTTCATCTTCTTCAAGGGCTTGTCTTGAGGAGTTACCATTCCAAGCTCCTTACCTCCATTTTTTTTGGAGCCAGAGTACTTACTTTGGTCTTGAGAAACCATGGTTATAGAATAAACAAACCTGCAAGTGAAAATATTTCGTGAAAAAAATTAGAACACAAACGACGGTTATTTATAAACTACGACGTATGATAAGATTTTACACGACGTAATAACATAACATCAGACGTAATAAATGATTAAAGAAGAACAATATAAATGTTTAAACAACGACGAAAAAATATTAAATAAGACGTAATAAGAACTTATTACGTCGATATTTACACGACGTCGTGATATTCATATTAACACGGCGTAAATATTAATATAACGTCGTGTTATGTATATTCACACGACGTGAATAATAAGCTACCGTCGTATTTATAAGAAACCAAAAACATTTTTCTTTCTTTGTGAATGTTTGATTGCAGGTTTCATTTCTCTGAAACATGGTTTTTGTTTTTCCTAATTTGATAAAATACAAAGAAAAAAAGCTTTCTCATCTTTTTATAGACGACGGTATCTTATTATAACGTCGTGGTATGAACATTCACACGGCGTCAATAATAAGATACCGTCGTCTATATAAGATACCAAACCCTACTTTCTTTGTCTCTGTATTTTATCATATTAGGAAAAACGAAAACCATGGTTCAGAGAAATCAAACCTGCAACTAAACAAGCAAATAAAAAATTGAATGTCATTTTAAAAACAACTTAGATCAATTTTAAGACGACGCTAGGACGACTGACGACCCGTCGTGGTCTACGTATTTAACCACGTAAATAAAAAGCTACCGTCGTCTTATTTAGTTGAGTTAGTTATGTTCAAAGTTCAATATCTTTCCCTCTCTGTCTGTGTATTTTATCAAACTTGGAAACAAAAAAATGATTTTCGCCAGAAAAAAGGTAAAAAGATTTTCAAAACAAAAACAGTATGAGCATGCAATATAGCAACAAAAATAGTGAGAAATGAAAGCTTACCTTTTGCGTGCAATGAAAGCTTTCTCTCGGATTTTGGTGTTTAAGTTCAGAGGCGACGATGAAGACAAGAGGAAGACGATGAGATACTCTGACAGTGCTCTGACAAGGAAAAAAGACGAAAAGTTTTCTCTGGGAGATTGAAATGTTTTCTCGGGTTTGGAAACAGTGCATGTGTAAGTCAGGTAGACGAAAAGTTGTATATGTATACAAACCGTTTCATAGTAATAAGACGGCGGTTTACATAGAACGACGACGTATTAATAGACAAACTACGACGCTAATTTGAACTTATGACGTGGTACATAAATACGACCGTAGTGTTGTAGGTACCGCCGTAGTAAACTCCTAAATAAAAGTCGATAACTCAATATCTCGCGTCATGGTAGAAATATTTAACACGACGGTTGTTTTAAAGTTACGACGTTTATTTTTATAATATACGTCGTTTTATTGTAATATACCGACGTGGATAACACTAAACTAAAACGACGTATTATTTTTCCGACGACGTGGATTCGTTTTTAAACGTCGTTATGTGTAATATAACCGACGTGGATTTTATTTTTTTTATTATAAATATAATTCTTTTCCCCTTTTTCTTATAGTGTATTTTTCAAAAACAGTGCCTTATAGATATAGTTTTTTTTCCCGAGGAAATTAATGTTCTAGAATTTGTAAAGTTTCTTTTCTAGGTGACTGATTTAAATCAAATAAAAATATAAAACAACGACTGTTTTTGTTATACCGTCGTCGTTTCTTGTCGTTTTAAGTAAGAATAAAACGACGTAATATATTTGTTACCGACGAGAATTGTTTTTTTTAAACGTCGTTATGTGTAATATAACCGACGTGGATTTGGTTTTTTAATTATAAATAGGGTTTTTTTCCACGGGTTCTTTCAGTTTTAGTATTCGATTAGGGTTTCAACTTCTTCTTGCCCCTTTCTCTGTCTCACCTCATCTCTTGGGAAGTTTTAGGAGTCAATTGTTTGGATGTGAATGTGTGTGTGCGTTTGTGTAGATACACAAACGCACATACATCATTCACTTCCAAAAAATTGTCTCTCTGATTGCAAATCTGTGGCTGCCGTCATGAAATTTTAGGAGGCAATTGTTTGGATGTGAATGTGTGTGTGCGTTTGTGTAGATACACAAACGCACACACATCATTCACTTCCAAAAAATTGTCTCTCTGATTGCAAATCTGTGGCTGCCGTCGTGAAATTTTAGGAGGCAATTGTTTGGATGTTGATGTGTGCGTGCGTTTGTGTAGATACACAAACGCACACATATCATCAACTTCCAAAAAATTGTCTCTCTGATTGCAAATCTGAGGCTGCCGTCGTCAAATTTCAGAGGCAATTTTTTGGATGTTAATGTGTATGTGCGTTTGTGTATCTCAAAGACACAAATACACATACATCATTAACCTCTAAAATATTGTCTTTCTGGTAAGATTATAATGAGCAACCGATCTGGAGTTCCATCTTGTAAGATTTCCTAACCCTTGTGATCTCAGAATAATCTGATTATGTCGGCGGTTTTCTATATAAACCGTCGTGGTTATTTCAATTCTTGTCGTTAGGTAGATCTACCGACGTAGGATAACAAAATCGAAGAAATAAATTTTTAAAAAAAATTCTTATTCAGACGACGGTTTAAATATAATTTATGACGTATAAAGTGGACAAATACGACGTTAAATTCTATAATACGTCGTTATATGAAAACCCCAACTTGGTAAGATTGAAAGATGTCGTCGTAGAAATACGAGAAAGACGTCGTTATATTTACCTTTGCCGTAGTTGTACATTAATTTAATACGGCGGTATTTTGTATTTTACCGCCGTGGATTTATTTGTAATTTTACGTCGCCTTATACGAAAACTTGGTCGTGTTAATTTCTGGGTAAAAACGACGGCTTTTTTTGAAACCGTCGTCTTTACTTTCTACGTCGGTCGGTTCATAACTTCCGCCGTTATTTGTTGGCTATGATTTTACCTCATGAAAATCCTATTTCAATAAGACGTCGGTTTTTAAATTAAGTACGTCGTGTTTTTGGAACAGCCATTTGAAACTCCATTTTTTAGTTGTCTAATATGTTATTACACGGCGGTTTTATAAAACCGTCATCTTTTAAAAAACAACGACGGTTTTCACGTAGACCGTCGTGTTTTTGTGGTCGTCTTTTTCACTTTTTGTAGTAGTGACTAGAGTTCATGTCGATTCAACGAAAGACAATGAAATTCGGAGCTTAATCCCGTCACGTATGAAACATCACTCTACATTAGACGTAACTTCAAGTGACCAACTCAAAGTGAAATGACACACAATCATACAAACTCGGGAAACTTTGAGTCAGCAAAACAAAAGTGACGATGAAGAAGCGGAGGTTCTAGCTGTTCATCATGTTACGATCAAAGAGCTCGACGAAGAGGAACCTTTCGAGGAGGAGGTTCATGATGCTCCTGCCGCATTAGAAGATGGAGGCCAAGCGACTATTGATGAATTAAAAGAACTCAATCTGGGCACAAATGAAGACCCAAGACCTATCTTCATTAGTGCACTTTTGAATCCTAGTGAAGAGGAGTCCTATCATCAACTGCTACTTGAGTATAAAGATGTCTTTGCTCGGACGTACAAGGAGATGCCAGGCCTTGATTCGAAGGTTGTTGTCCATCACCTTGCAGTCAAACCTGGAACGCGCCCAATCAAGCAAACTCAACGTCGCTTCCGTCCGGAGCTCCTAAGTCAATTAGGGAGGTGAAATACCCGACGTGGATAGCGAACATCGTTCCGATGAAGAAGAAAATCACTGGACAAATTCGTATTTGTGTTGACTTCCGAGACTTAAACGAGGCTTGCCAGAAGGATGACTTTCCATTGCCCATAATTGAGCTCATGGTTGATGCAACCACAGGTCATGAAGCCTTATCTTTCATGGATGGTTCATCTGGATACAATCAAATAAGAATGTCACCAGAGGACGAAGAACTCACAGCCTTCCACACTCCGAAAGGAATTTACTGTTACAAAGTGATGCCATTTGGCCCCAAGAATGCAGGTGCGACCTATCAACGTGCAATGCAAAAGATCTTTGGTGACATGCTTCATAAGAATGTCGAGTGCTACGTTGATGACCTGGTGATCAAGTCAAAAAGAAGAGAAGATCACTTGAAAGACTTGAGAATGGTGTTTAATAGATTGCGGAAATACCAACTCAAGATGAACCCTTTGAAGTGTGCTTTCGGCGTCACGTTAGGTAAATTTCTTGGTTTCATCGTTAAACATCGAGGCATCGAAGTAGACCAGACTAAGATTAAAGCCATCCAAGGTATGCCCGAGCCAAGAAATTTACGGGAGTTGAAAATTTTACAAGGGCGTCTCGCGTTTTTTTCGGCGATTCATCTCAAATTTAGCAGGAAGGTGTCAGCCGTTCAGTCGCCTTATGAAAAAAGATGCTCCTTTTGTTTGGGATGAAGCTTGTCACAATGCATTTGAAAGCATAAAGAAGTACCTATCGAGTTCACCACTGTTAGGAGCTCCTATTCCAGGCAAACCACTCATATTGTACATTACGGCTCAAGAGAGGTCAATTGGAGCCCTGTTGGCGCAAGAGAATGAGTCACATAAGGAGCAGGCACTCTATTATCTAAGCCGAACTCTTACTGGTCCCGAATTGAACTACACACCTATAGAAAAGACGTGTCTTGCACTTGTCTTTGCTATTCAAAAGTTAAGGCACTACATGCAAGCATTCACAGTTCATCTAGTTGCACGAGCTGACCCGGTGAGGTACGTTATGTCAAAACCAGTCTTGACGGGGCGTTTGGCCAAGTGGGCATTACTTCTCAATCAATATGAAATCATCTACACTCCAACAAAGGCAGTAAAGGGGCAAGCTGTTGTAGATTTCCTAGCCGATCATCCAATTCCAGCAGACTGGGAAATTTCAGATGACTTACCCGACGAACAAGTCTTCTTCGCTGATATTTCTCTTGCTTGGATGATGTTTTTTGACGGATTGGCTCGTAAAGATAGGGTGGGGGCTGGCGTAGTCTTCCTGTCACCCGAGAGACACGTATTGCCCTACTCATTCTCTTTAAGTGAACTTTGCTCGAACAATGTTGCAGAATACCAGGCTTTGATCATGGGCTTACAAATGGTCGTAGAGATGAAGATATCGAGCTTAGAAGTATATGGTGACTCCATGTTAGTGATCAACCAATTGTTGACCCACTACGAAGTTAGGAAGGATGATCTAATTCCATATCACCAAATGGCCACGCAATTACTGGAAAGGTTTGACTTCGTGACGCTGGAGCATGTGCCAACGTTATCTCGGTATTGTCCATTGACATTGACGATTGGAGGCAACCTTTAATTGATTATCTTGAGCACGGGAAACTGCCAAATGATTCGAGACATCGATCAGAGGTACGGCGTCGGGCACCTCGATTCATTTATTATAAAGAGATTCTATACCGTCATTCATTCGAAGGCCTGTTTCTAAGATGCTTGGGGGAAGAAGATGCATCCAAAGCAATGGAGGAGGCTCACTCAGGTATTTGCGGAGCTCATCAATCAGGGCCAAAGCTACATTTCCAAATAAAGAGGATGGGCTTCTATTGGCCGACTATGGTCAAGGATTGCATGGATTATGTGAAGAAATGTCAAGCATGTCAATTCCATGCCAACTTCATACATCAGCCGCCGGAGCCGCTACATCCTACAATTGCTTCATGGCCATTTGATGTGTGGGGCCTTGATGTGGTGGGACCAATAGCACCCAAATCTTCTGATGGTCATTCTTACATTCTTGCAGCCACATACTACTTTTCAAAATGGGCAGAAGCTGTACCTTTAAAGGAAGTGAAGAAAGAAAACGTAGTGAACTTTATCAAAGTTAATATCATTCATCGGTATGGTGTGCCGCGCTACATCATCACAAATAATGGAAAGCCATTCTCGAACCGGTTGATGGATAAATTGTGTGAAGACTTCGGTTTCAAACAACGCAACTCTTCAATGTACAATGCCCCAGCCAATGGTCTTGCGGAGGTGTTCAACAAAACTCTTTGCAACCTGTTGAAGAAAGTTGTTGGAAGAACCAAGAAAGATTGGCATGAAAGGATAAATGAAGCATTGTGGGCTTATCGGACGACATACCGGACGCCTACTCAGGCTACACCATACTCACTCGTGTATGGCGTGGAAGCAGTCTTGCCTCTAGAAAGTCAAATTCCATCATTGAGGATGGCCGTGCAAGAGGTATTGACTGATGAAGAGAATGCAAAGCTACGTCTCCAAGAGTTAAAAGCACTAGACGAAAAGAGACTCGAAGCGCAACAATGCTTAGAGTGTTATCAAGCTCGGCTTTCGAATGCTTTTAACAAGAAGGTTCGCCCCTGGTCTTTTCAAGTAGGAGATCTTGTCCTCGCATTACGTAGACCTATCATCACAACACACAAAACCGGAAGCAAGTTTACTTCGAAATAGGATGGGCCCTACATAGTTCAAGAAGTGTACACAAGTGGAGCTTACAAGATCGTAGCCGAGGACGGTTTAAGAGTCGGTCCTATCAACGGAAAGTTCTTGAAACGATACTACGCATGAAATGATACCAAGCTCCTGGCCCACATGAGCCTAAACTGGTACGGCATCAAAAAAAAGGGCTCGTTGGATTGAAAACCCGAAAGGGCAGTCCAAGCAAAAGTTAGAGCACACAAAAAGGCTCGTTGGATTGAAAACCCGAAAGGGCAGTCCAAGCAAAAGTTAGAACACAAGAAAGTCCGTTGAACTGAAAAACCCGAAAGGGCGGTTCAAGCAAAAGTTAGGACACAAAAAAAAAACAAAAGTCCCTTGAACTACGTGATGACTTGATCCCTTTTCACCGAGGGTACGTAGGCAGCTTGGATAAATAATTCCAAGTTCAGTCACATCAAAATAAAAACAAAGGGTTTCCTCATCAATCCGAACCATTCAAAAAAAAATGATGAAATAAGAAAGTGCTTTTATTTCATTATGAAAGTTAACTAGTAAACATCAACACTTTGATAAGTTCAAAGAGAAATATAAATAAAGCAAAGAAAGTTTACAACAACAAAAGTTTGCTATTCCCAAGACAAGTCCTTGAAGCCGTTACGCAATCTCTCAAAAGAAACTCGTAACGCATTTAAAGTCTCAGCATCGACAGTGGATAATACAGAAGCTTCTTCAACTGCAATCTTATCCTTTCTCAAACGGGCAACCTCACCATGATGATAAGAAAGTTCTGCATCACTCTTTGAAAGTGATTCGTTTAATTGACGCAGTCTTGACTCCAATTGCTCTTGTTCTCTCTTCAACTCCTCCATACGTGTGTTGGCAGATTTAATAGACTCAAGTATCGAAAATTGATGAACCTCTTCAGCTTGTTGCAGAGCCAAGGCAACATAAAGTGAAGAGTCGACAGCAGCTAAACGATCACTTTGAACCTCGGGAGACAGCTTTTGGGAGTAAGCAGAGTGTGCAGAACAATAGTCAACTGCGGTCACCATAAGTGCATCAATCATAGCTCGTAGGGATGAGACGTCCGCCCCTACATTGTCAAGGGTAGTCAACAACTTGCCAATCTCATCTTTGAATGAAGGAAGCCTTTCTCACGAAGCCTTCAAGATTATGTTCCTTATTTGGTTGCCCAGAACGAAAACTACTTTGCAAAGGGTTTTGTCTGCAACACCTAATTTCGGTTCCCCACAAGACATTTCAGAGGTTGATGCATGAGTAGCCGGCTTTAACAAATGTTGATGCACAAGTGAACCTACATTGACGAGTAATGGTTAAGCAAGTAGAATAAAAGATTTCTAAATACGGAGCGTGATAAAGATTGGAATCATACCTCTTAGGCTAACACCTGAACCACTTATCGGGCGCAAAGCATCATTTTCCTCTTCGATAGGAAAATGATTAAATGGTACAAGCTCGGACACAGTAGGGACATGATGCACTACTTCTCCCTAAAATATATATATATATGTATAAAAAAAGGGAGGCTCAAGATGAAATAAAATACATACCTCGTTCATTAGAACTAGTTGTGAAATAGCAGGTACATCACAAAAGAATGTGTCATCAAGTGGGTATGCCGTGTCCAGATCGCAATAAAGAGGTTCGATACTTGTCTTCTTATGCCTAAAGTTGACTTCACTGTCTTCATTGTTGCTTATATGCCCTCGCTTCAAACGGCGAATGCGTCAACCAAGGGGAATGAAATCTTCCTGGGAATCTGCTACACTTTCTGTTTCTCCTTTATCATTAAGGACTTGAGTTGAAGGAACATCAACCGGAGGTAGGTGTTGAACTTGAGGCGCAGGAGTAGTAGAACTACCTTCAACTTCTGGATGAACTTGGAGCGCTCTACCATGGGTGAGTTTATCATGAACTGAAACTTCGTGGCCTTGAGACTTAAGAGATCTTGGCTGAGAAAGCGACAACGACTTGCCTACAGTTGAGACTGTCTTTGATTTCGTAGATTCAAAGCGATGCACCTTCGACCACCAAATAACATAGTCGGATGTGACCTCAAACTCCCGGATATTGTCCTTAGTGAGTAGGGTTATTGTAGATGCACTGCCAATCTTCAAGCATGATTTCCAATGTGAGTACACTGATAGCACAGTACCATTCCGGACGTCATCTTTAAGTTCTCCTGGCACATGTTGTACATAACAAAATTGTCTACTGAACCGGTGCGGGCTATAAGGTTGGATGACTCGGTAGTTTTCCTGTCGTAGAGAAACGAATCCCGAACGAAGGCATATTAGATACTCAAAGTCTTCTTTAGAAATATGATCTTCATCAGTCAGTTGTTTGCATTCTGAAAATACTCCTGCCAGACGACTCATTTTCACTTTACCACAAGTCCGGAATAAAGCTCGAGCTGACGAATCTTCAAAAAATTTGGCCGAAAGTCTTCCTGAGAACCTTGCCATGATAGGAATGGACTTCTCGGAAGATGATGTAAAATGTGTGTCGAAGTATTCGCCCAACCATCCATACACATAATGGAAAGGTAGAATAGTTGTGCAATTTCCTGGATCATCTGCACTAGAAATATCGTTCAGCCCCTTGTAAATGCTGGCCAATACTGGAACTGCTAGGCCAAATGATACACCGTGCGCCATTCGACTGGCAACTTTGAAAACCCCTGGTCTGATCAAAGTTACGTCGTCTTTGGGAAATACAAATTTGCATAACCAGCAAGCAAGGAAAGCAGCCAAGTATGATCTTTCCATGTCTTCATCTGTTATACCCAAGTCTTCAAAAACGCCTTCCTCTTTCTTAGTGCGTTTCAGTGCCCCCATGATGATACCAGACGGATCAAAATCTTCCTTTGGCTTTTGTGACTTGTTTCGTATGGTTTTCCTTGAAGGCTTTTTGTACTTGAATGGTCCTCGATACCAGTACTTTATCCAAGCAGTCATTCTCACTCCAGATTTCCCCTTAGAATCCTGTAAAATTTTGTGGTATGCTAGGAACAAGTAGCGACAAATGTGTGGGATATAAGACACACCTTTATGGTCCTTCCTGTTAAGACTCTCAGCGGATGGAATAACCTCATCATAAAACCGACCTGTAATAGGGAGACCGCCGATTTCATGGAGATCCCAAAGGGAAATGGACATTTCTCCTTGTGACGTATGAAGAGTATTTGTCGCAGGACACCAGTACTCGCAAAAGGCTCGGATGACTGGAGCATATCGATCATAGCTAAATAATGAGGCAAACACCGCATTACATAAACCGGCGCTCTTAAGAACCTGGGTATTTCTACTTAGCACATCTTCAAGCCATTCCCAGTAATATTCGGTGAATGTAGATTCACCAGTCGTTGGGAGAACAGAACCTCAATTCACTGCTACATTATGGATTCGATCGCTAAGAAGTTCGAATGCCCCTAATGAATCGGTCTCTGTATGATGCGAGGATTTTAATTGTAAAATAGTGAAGTGAAGGTCCCTACCTGTAGACTTGGATTTTTTGAAGCTGCTCAGTTGACAAAACACCTCTTGGGACCAAGACGGAATATGAAGAGAGTTGTCCACCTCTGATACCTCTGAAGCTAAGAGTGGCGCACCTATAAGCAATGTGGAACCTTCATCCCTGTCATCACTTTCATCCTCAAGAATAGTAACGGTACCTTTCTTGAAACACTTGAAGAAGGCCATCTGTATAAGATGAGCGACATGAAACAATATTCAGTATTAGGCTGGTGATTTCATACTTTTAAAAAAATAATAATAATAAAAAATAAAAAAATAAAAAAAAAGAGCTTACTTGTACAAGTTTGAAAAGCCGGGTAAAGGTGGAATGTCTCGAGAAACAATTTTCACTCGCCTTCCCCTAAGTAAAGCCTAAGCGCTTGAGTGGGTTATCACCAAGTCAGAGAGATGGATCAAACCCAAGCGGTATAGGACGTCTACGTTCTTCACTCGTCCTCCACTTACGTAAAGCCTAAGCGCTTAAGCGGGTTATCACCTAGTCGGAGAAATGGATCAAACCCAAGCGGTATAGGACGCCTACGTTCTTCACTTTCTTTCGAAGTACCTATTGTAAAAAAAATATATATATGTATAAATATCATCATATAAAATAAAATAAATAAAAAATGATCGAAAGAGTAATAGATGTGCGAAATTTAAAAATAAATTAAAAAAAAAGGGTTATTTCGAGCTGTTTGCACCAGCCCAAGCAAAAGAAAGCAGCCAGTTTGCACACTCCTGCGCAGCCCAGCTCTAGCCAGCAAGGGCCATCGTCGCTTGCCCATGCTCCAACGCGCAGCCCATGTCGCGCTAGGCCCAGCCCAACGTTGGAAATAGGGTTCATTAGGTATTATTAAGTTTAATAAATACCCCAAAACCCAAAAAAAAAAAAAAAAAAAAAAAAAAAAAAAAAAGTAACACTTCAAGCTGCACCTCCTACATGTGACAAAGCACATGTCTACAATGCATCATGAAGTGAGGGCAATTTGTAGACAATGAAATTTTGGTGTAATAAATCCCATTGGACGAGAAAATAATTAGGGTTTGGTGGATTAAATTGTGGGCCCCATAATTCGCCCGTGTGGCATGTGACTCATCAAAATTGGATTAGTTGTCAAAAAGTGACACGTGGCGACATCCGACGGAGTGCATCAAACGGTTCAAGATGAAGACAAAATTAAGGGAAAGAATCTTCTGTGGTTGACTTTGATTTAAATCAAATTAGGTCAATCAATTGAAGATAATCTGGTTAAATTGCCAGATTATGGGAATTGATTTAAATCAAATCAAAATCCCACAAAACAATGTTTTAAATGGGGAAAGTTATCTAGGTTAAGCATCCTACAAGGGCCTATAAATAGGAGGCCTCAAGACGAAAGAAAGGAGAAGAAAAAAAAACCTAGCATTGAGAAGAAGCAGAAAACTCCCTGCATTCTTCACCTACACTTTGGAAGAGCCACCAAGCACAATAAATACGTGCCGGTTCCTCCACCTTAGAAAATCCCAAACATCAAACAAGCTTTGTGCTACCCATTTGATCAAGATCAAGTCTCTACGACCCTTGCATCAAACACAAATTTTCTTTATACATTTTGGAGATCGAATCAGAGGATTCAATACAGAGATTGTAACCCTAAATTTCATAAATACAAATATTATTTTGTACACGTGTTCTTGTCTCATTTGTCGCCAGAAATTCGTGTTTACAGATTTGGTTAATGTCAAGTACAGTATTCTATGACTCACTTGTCAAGTTGGGCATGTGAAACATCTTTGTGCCAACTTGAGGAGGAGTGTTAGCAAGTTCTTTTTTACTTACGATTTTGGTTCCTACTATGTTAGGTTTTTTGGTTATTACTTACCTATGTATTTAGTACTATTCTAATTGATATTTATTTCTTAGTGTATTTAGGGTTAACTAAAGTATTCGCCCAATCTATAATGAGTGTGTGAGGGGTCAGATTAAGGAGAAGAGATCTTGTATGTTCTAGATATTCCGACAACTCTAATGGAATACTAAAATACATGTGTTCTACTTATGTGAAGTCAATATAGTTTACATGTGGTGACAGAGCATAGGCTGCATATTTAAGAATCAAAAGAAATAACATGTTTCTTCATAATGAAGAAATTAGATGCAGTCTCCTCATGATTGATCAAGTTTTCTGTTTAAAGTTTTCGTGTTTAAAATTTAACATAATTATATTATGATATTGCGGCTATAACATTAGTTTCATTGTTTTTGCTTATGCAAAAGAAAACAAAAGGTTGAATTAATGGTAGAGCAATAACGCAGACAAATTCCTAGTTTCACCTGTGGAATAACTTTGACTGGCCACTTAACCGTGGAAATGAAAATACACGATCCCATCACATTAACAAGATTCAACAATAGCAACACACAGAGACAGCTTCAGGAGTGGAATCCAGTTTTGCAGGACCCCGCTTCCTGAAGTTCTTCTAATATGTATATGTACAGACACACAAAGAGAGAAAGAGGAGAACATCCTAAGCTCTCATTTTGTTTACCTCTATACAGTATTCAATCTTGTTTTCAATCAAATGATCCAAAATTTCTACACTTGACTTAAGGGACACAATGATCTAAGGATTGATCCCCAACAAAGGACAAAAAAAGCAATAATAAATGGAAGTATCGCAGAGAACTACAATAATAAAAATAAAAATATATGACAAGGATACTTGGGTCAATTGTAGCAGCCACGTTATCTGAGTCAACCACAAGGATATACTCCTTACCCTGAAAAGGAAAGTTGAAGAAGTTTAGGCAAGTTTACCTTTAAATACCTCCTCTCAACAAGTACTCTTTTCTTTTGTTTGGTTCAAATTCATGTTTCTTGGTAATTGAAATGAAAAGGAAACAAAACCATAAGGACATCTTCACAAGTGCATAAGATACAAACCTGTGATAATAGGACATCAAGAGTTCCACTTTTCATAATGGAAAGGAACATTGCACCATGGCCAGGATACCTTCACATAAGCACAAAAGTAGGGTATTGATTAGCAAAGTTATGTTCACTGTCAAAGGAAATCAATTTGTGATTGTGCAGAACCAACATATGAGAATTATTGGATGGTATATTTAGAAAAGGCATTTCTTAAAAAACAGACAAAATTAGAATGCAGAAAAAGAATTTCATGATGGTTATCACTGAAATCATGAACAATGCTTGTTCTTGACAGATAGCTGCAAGAAGGTCAACATGATTCTTCACGTACATCATATTAGTATCTTAAAATGGCAACATTTATGAGCTTAGGTCCACTATTGTATCACAAAATAACTCAAGGAACATTGTAACCACCAAAAGAAAAAGTATACTATTGAACCATTAAAAGAAATAACAGAGGGATTTACTCTCAATCACAAGTTAATTGACTCAGGTTTAAAAGAAACATTTATATGAAACATATTCCTCTAATCAGATAAGAAGTCGGAAAAACACAACTTAAGTAATTATTCTTACTCCTGTAAATTAACTGAGTTAAAAGGGAGAAGGACATGTAGGCACTGTCCAGCAGCTAAACCAGACTATTGACAAATTCAAACAATTTTTTATTTTTTAGTTTCTATAGAAGTTAGTTCTTATGAGCCTGCTCTAAAGTTTTCACCAACAATTTTTTCAAAGGGCAGCATGGTTGTTACAAAATGCTTCACAAACTCTCACTTTCAACTGACAACTCAAATAGATTAGAAATATAGGAAACTGAAAATAATTAACTTGAGGAAACAGGACTACAACACTGCAGTCAAATCATAAAGCAATTACAGTACCCTCACATGAGTCATGAAGCTCTCAAATCTTAAGACAACCGCATCCTCAAAAAATTAATTCTATAATTAAAAAAGACTCATCATAATCATACAGTAAAAAGCACATAACCATGTTGTTAGATTTTTTACCAAACGAAGACAATTTCAAGAAATAACTACACGACACCACACATTGAAGTGAATTACAATCTCCAATGGGTACTAGGAATTATAAATAAAACCATGCATTCAACTCAGATTTTTTACCTGTTCTCATGATGCAGGGAACTTAACCATTCATGGAGTAAAAGGGTGAAACCCTATATTCTTGACTGGCCTCAAAATTGGAGAACGGTGTCTTGCAGCCAGTACTGTACAGCATGACCTACAAAAAAGAAAAACAATTATGTCATCCCACCACTAATGACCACAACCTGTTTAATTCAGAAATTCTCAATACCCAGTTGAAGAAAACACAATGCAACCAACCAACCAACCAACCTTGAAGCTTTTATAAACAAGACCCTTTTGAAATAACTGAGCAAGCCTTTATAAACAGAGCTTGATCCTCTGTTTATTCCATTGACGACCTGAAAATCAAGAAAGATCATTGATTGATCAAGAAATCTGAACAAACCTCAAATCAAACAGTTAGCGATCAATAATACCAAAGCAGGCTTTGACCACGAGAACAATTCCCCTAATAATGCTAAAGACACACAATCTGCTGGCGTTCCTGATATTGATTATCGGAGACTACCGGACAATGAAAGAAAGAGAGATTACCGGAGACTTCAAAAGTGGTGGCGCCGCTGATTTGAGAAGAAGACACATAAATTGTCTTACGAACAGTTACAGAGTGACCGGCTACTGATCTATCCCTGCAGCAGCCAAAAAATTAAGCTTTTTATAATGATCTCCATATGTTTGATTGGTGAGAAAGTGGAAGAAAATACATGAGAAGGTGTGTTCCTAAAGAGAGAAACTAACATCAAGGCGATCAAATATCAGCCACAACAAACAGCCGAAGACAGTAAAATTAGAGAAATTACCCAATAAATTGAAATCCTAACTGAAATAATCTCACCTGGAGGACGACGACGACGAGAAAGAGGACTCCATTGAGGAAGAGGACAACGACGACGACGACGAAGGTTAACGAAGGGACTCCGATGACTCTTCTAGACAAGGAGGAGGACGTCTATGGCTCTCTCTTTTAGGGTTTAGGAATAGATGACGGCAGAGATGGAGGACAGAGAAGAAATCGATGAAGAAGAGAGACGCTTAAGGTGAGAGGGATGATGTTATTGTTGATGATGTCTTATTTGATGTGAGAAGTGTGAGCCATTTACTAGAGGGATGCCAAATGTTGACACATTTGTGGGTGAGTTAGGGAGTCAAAATATTTGAGATAGGTGTGAAGATATATGGATTGAATGATGCTTATGTAATTGGTAGTGTATGACATTAATTTTGTAATATATTGTAATGTGATTTCTTCACTTTCATTATACAGGTTTTGGCCACAAAACAATCAGTACAAAAATTACTGGTTCCAGATTACAAACACGACGGTCTTGATAAAAATGTGAAAAACAAACGTCTGTTCAAATAAAAAACGACGTTTTGGAGCATTCAACGACCGCAATATATTTACCGACATCTTAAAGCAACGTAACAATAAAGAACCACGACCCTATTGTGAAACAGTTATTCAGGATATCACATCGGAGAAGCATAAAGAACCGCCATGTATTTCAAAATAACACGACTCCAATCCCATAATACCGACGTCTAAAAGACGAGATATCTAACCTGAACGTTACAAAAGACGACGTCGTCATAAATTTATCACGTCGCATGTTCTTTCATAAACGAAGTGGAAAAGGATGAATTCACGACGGTATTTGAAGTCCATTGGTAAATTTGTCAACGTTAAGATATATTTGGACGTCGTTCCTTTAAAAAAACAACGTTATATTGATGTATCAACGTCTCTTTTTTTATGATAATGTCGTTAAAATTGCTTTAAACGGCGAATTTCGGATAAACAACGCCGTCTAATATGAATTAGACGACGGTAATTTTGTTAATGATGACGTATAAATTATGAAACACGGCTGTCTTTTTCATGATAACGACGTTGTATATTGACGACAGCGTCGTCTTTATAAATTAATGTATCGTAATTAATGATCCCAACATTTTTTCCACGTCGTTTATTTTCATATTGTGTCGTTAAAATTATTTTATACGGCGGTGGAATGAGAAACGATGCCGTCTCAGAGTCATTAGACGATGATTATATTTTAAAATATGACGTATAAATTTTGTAATACGGCTCTCATTTATTTGGAACCGACGTTGTTTATGTAGTTCAATGTCGTCTCTGTAAATACATGCGTCGTAAATAATGACCCTAACATCTATTTCCACGTCATCATTCATAGAAAAATCAAAGTGGAAAATTTATTTCACGACGGTTGTTGGAAATGTAGTGACGTATTAGGTGTCAATAACGTCGTCTATTATGTATTTAAAGACGTCATATTTTTATTTGTCGTGAAAGGTATATTTAATGGCATTGAGTTTTAGTTCTCGTCGTTGTATGTGTATCTTGCGGCCATGTTCTGTTAATATATGTCATATGTTGCCTTTTTAACGACGTTTTTTTGTTAGAGTTGGTCGTCTATTCTCATCATCGACTATTTTTTTTTATCTCTTTTTGCAGTACAAATACGTCAGTTTTTATTTGTTGATGACGTTGTTTGTTTTAACAATGACGGGTATTTAGCGTCGTGGTTTGGTTAGGGAAAAGATGTCGGTGGATTCTACTATCATTTGAAAACGGAATACACGACGGTGAATTCCCGTCGTCTTTTTCCTTTTTTGTAGTAGTGCTTGCAAAAAATTAGACAAATCCAAAACTGTTTCGACATCCAAAATGGTAATATACTATTCTAATTGTAGGTCACTACAAGAATAATGAGGTCAAAAGCATATATCTTGAAAATACCTGCAAGATGACTCAAAATGCCTAGAGGAGGGTGAATAGGCCAATTTAAGATTCTAATCAAATAAATAAAAATAAACTTCGGTAGCAGGATTGATATGGCTTATCAATCCTGTAACGTGCTGGGCATAAAATAAAAGAACACACAGAATTATTTTACGTGGTAAAACCCCACCTCTGGGGAAAATCCACGGGACTTCTCAGTCCAACACAAATCCATTATAGAACGATAATTACAAGAAGTACTCACACACTTATCCTAGACACATTCTAGATAATGTTTACCGACTTCTTCGTAACTCAACTTCTGTCACGGGATGATCTTCGACACTCCTTATGTTGAACGCAATACTGGCCACGATTGCTTCAAGCTCACCGGAGGAAAACCGCCACCACGGTCTTGGTGCCCTCAACCGTATGAGTCACCGACATGCATATGAATGCAATATGAATGATTAAAGTGTTTGATAAATCACCAAGTAAACATTGAACACTTGATGATTTATCTCAAATATACGCACAACAACTTTTCTTAGAATTCTATATGCTCAAAATAAATATCTCAAAAGCTCTACAAACAAAAGAATGGCACATGATCTTTTATACAAGACTTGTTCTCTCTCATGGGAGAGAAACCCAATAGGCCACGAATATTAAACTTCCTATTGCACCACAACCTATCATCAATAAGAGATTTGATTCACCTTGGACTCAAAGTAATGACGCCTCTCTTTAAACCAAATTAACTAAGAGGTAAGCAACGTGCAAAGTCACAATAGGAAAAGATAATATTTTAACTTCAATTAAAATAGAGTTGAACTAGGAAAGTAATCTCAAGAGATAAAATCTAATCTTATTAAAAATAAGATTAACATAAAAATACTTGAGTGAAAATAACTCCAACTAGGAATCCTATAATGAATGCATGATTATGTCATGATTTACCTGAAATCAGATTTCTCATATCGGTCAAGTCATGCTTTGGAAACCTGGGATTGAATGTGTTGCGTCAAAACGTATAGTAAACGATATTCACACACTAACTCCCAACCTATGCTAGAGTTTAGGAAATGACAATACAAATTTCATACTAACAATCTCCCCCTTTGGCATTTCCTAGACAAAACACCTATTACAACTCAAAAGAAATTACATGGGATTTAACAAATGAATTCTTATTCTAAGCTTGAAGCCGTGAATCCCTGCACATTATGAAACAACAAAACCAGTGAAGCATGTGGGAGAAGAAATGTAATTCAAAGCAGAATTACAACACAACTCCCCCTTAATTCCATAACACAATCTCTCCCCCTTTTTGTCAGGAAATCCAAAGGGCAAAGAATGAACATAAGGGAGCATATATAAGAGGGAAAGAAAAATAAAAATAAAAAAATCAGATTGCATTCCCAACATATAAAGACATAGAGAATAACCAATAAAGCATGTAAGAGGCTTTATCTTGAAAACAAACAGATTTTTTTTTTTTTTTTTTTGGTATTAAGCGACAAGAAAATAGAGAACTAAAAAGAATAATGAGAAGTTGTTAAGAACCAAAACATACAAAAACAAAAGCAATACACTCAAGACAGAAAGCTCAAAACAATCAAGAAATAAAACATACTGTAGATGCAGACCCAAAGTTCTCTTGAAAATATAATTATTTTCCATTCATAAACATGCCAAGTTTGTGAGTAAAGAATGAAAGAAGCAACAAACCCTTTGCTGTCTTGAACGCATGTGAAGCAAAGCATGTCAGGGACAAACACACGACAGCACACGAGACTCACAAACTCACAGAGAACAGTAGAGGCATACCACAGTCATGGTGAAAGATAAAAAGGCATCAAATGAGTCTACCATCAAGGAGCAAATGTGTTAAATGAACTCTTTTTCAATTAAGCACAAAAAATATGTCCACACAAGACGAATCCCACCAAAGATTGCACAAACACTAAGTGCATAGTAAGTATAAGAAGATCAATTTATATATATATATTTTTTAATACGAATTTTGTGGCTCACTTTATCTAGCTTTCGACATGATCCATGTAACGGATGGTCAATCAGTGTGCTTACGTCAGATGACTGGAGGCAACTGGGTGATGAAGCACCCCTGGGGAAATACTGATCCGAATCATGAAGGCTCCAAAGATAAGCAAGGATAGCAAACCATCACAACCTGTTGACTCGAACCTCGACGTTGGTTAGACAAGAGGCCCGGTTACTGAGCAATGAGTGGTTGACACCCTTTTTTTTTTTTTTTCTTTTTTTTTATAAACAGATCAAGAACTTATGCACAGTAGTGTTATGGCAATCCAAAGAGAGACAAGTGCATGATAAGAGATATTCAAAGGACTTCAAGGAAAAGAGTGTGGTGTGCAAAATAAAAATAAAAGATGGATAGATCATTTAATGAAGTTTATAATGCACCAAGACAATGGAAACCTTTGTGTGAAGCTGAGAGTGTAAGTTCTTAATATAGTGCAATGTCAGAGCCCAATCTAAGATCAACAAATACGTTCAGACAGTTACAGGATTGATACACCTTAACAATCCTTGCACGAGCGGGACAGATTTATAAACACAGAAATTAATTGAAATATCATAAAACATGAAAGAGACTTTGGCATGCAATAGACTCCAAATTAATCTAGAGCACATATACCTAAAGACTTTCTAAGAGTGTCAAATCGAAGATTATCCAAGGGTTTTGCAGCAATACATTTAAGATCCAAACTTTCTAAAGCAACGAGTTCATGCACAACATTAGTGGAGGAAGACATACAATTATGATTTTCCTTTTTCCTCCAAACTAACTTTGTCTTAGTTGACGGCAAACAATGAAAAGAAGATAGTTTGGATAAGCGGTTTACCTCTTTCATAAGATTTGAAATCTTATGTTGGATACTTACTTTTCCACCCATGCCATGAGAATTTGAACGAACAAATTCGTTTCGAAGCTTATTGCATCTCGGTCTTATGTGCCCACGAGTTCCACAAAAGTGACAAATTGGAATAAATTTCTTGACTTCATGAGAGGCAGAAGGTTCAATAGGTGAAGTGGATTTGACAAACTTTGTTTTAGACACAGCGGAAGACTTATTACTTGGTTCAAATCCCAAGCCTCGTTTGTCACCATCTCTTCGTCCCATGCTAATCATCTTGTCAATTTTTTCTGCACCAATGGTTAAAGAAACAATCCTTTCTTTTGAATTTTTAAGTTCAAGTTCAAGGGCTTTGTTGTCAGAAGTTAGAGAAGCAATTAATTTATTCTGATCAGTCAATTTTTTCTGCAAAAACATCAATTTTTCGTTCATACCTGCACTTACCTTTTCGGAATCTGCATCAGGGGATTGAAACTCGTTTGCAATCCTGCAATTTTCCAGCTTCAGCACAGCAACTTCTTTGACGAGCTCACTATTTTGTTTACTGAGCTTCTGAGATGCAGCCAACAAATCATCATATTTGTTCATGATAAACTCAATATTTATACCTTTACAATCATCATCCTCACGTGATTCATCCAAGCTAACTGTGGTTATAAGTGCAACCGTCTTTTCATCATTCTCGCATTCCGATTCACTATCACTCCAAGTAGTATGCATTGCCTTATTCTTGCCATCCTTTTGTTTCTTTAAGGTGTTGGCACATTCCGAAGATATGTGTCCATAGCCTTCACATTCGAAACATTTGACCTTTTCTCTTGGATTCTTTCGTTCATTTAACCTGCGAAATTTAGATCCACCATCAGTATAGTTAACAAACCTATTTTTAGAATTTATACCTTTTGAATCTCGACTCCTTGGATCCTGATTCTTGAGAAAGTTCATGAATCGTCTTGTGAGAATCGTTAATTCCTCATCACTGCAATCTTCATTTGAATGCCCATCATCTTCTTCATTCACAACCTTGAACGCAACATTTTTGCTCTTTTTAGGAGGTAGATGTTTCATCTCATAGGTTTGTATGGACCCTATGAGTTCTTGAACTTTCAAGGTGTTCAAGTCACGGATCTCTTCAATAGCCGTGATCTTTGGTTGAAGCCGTTGAGGCAAGGATCTCAAAATCTTTTTCACAACTCTATCTTCTGGAATTTTTTCACCTAAACCTGAACAAGCATTCACAATTACACAAAGTTTAGCATAAAATTCAGAAAAAGTTTCATTCTCATCCATCATAAGTGTCTCAAACTGTAAAGTGTGCATTTGAAGCTTGGCTCCCTTGACAGTATTTGTTCCTTCATGAGTAACCTGCAAAATATCCCAAGCTTCCTTAGAAGTATCACAAGCAGATATATATTCAAATTGATCGGAAGAGACAGCAGTAAATAAAGCATTTAACCCCCTTTTGATTATTAGTGTTGTGTGTGACTTCTGCAGTGGTCCACTCCTCTCTAGTTTTGAGGACTGTGGTTTCTTCATCTCCTTTTCCAATCGTCTTTGTGGGTTTAGGAAATCCATGAACCACTGTGCTCCATACACGTTCATCTAAGGACCAAAGAAACGACTTCATTTTGGCCTTCCAAGCGCCATAGTTGTTGCCATCGAAATATGGTGGATGTGCAATTGAGCCCGAGGCACGATCCATCCTAAGGTATGTTAGATCTTGCTGAGTATGTCCAGCAACCTGCTCTGATGCCAATTGAAAATACCTGCAGGATGACTCAAAATGCCTAGAGGAGGGTGAATAGGCCAATTTAAGATTCTAATCAAATAAATAAAAATAAACTTCGGTAGCAGGATTGATATGACTTATCAATCCTGTAACGTGCTGGGCATAAAATAAAATAACACACAGAGAATTATTTTACGTGGTAAAACCCCACCTCTGGGGAAAATCCACGGGACTTCTCAGTCCAACACAAATCCACTATAGAACGATGATTACAAGAAGTACTCACACACTTATCCTAGACACATTCTAGATAATGTTTACCGACTTCTTCGTAACTCAACTTCTGTCACGGGATGATCTTCGACACTCCTTATGTTGAACGCAATACTGGCCACGATTGCTTCAAGCTCACCGGAGGAAAACCGCCACCACGGTCTTGGTGCCCTCAACCGTATGAGTCACCGACATGCATATGAATGCAATATGAATGATTAAAGTGTTTGATAAATCACCAAGTAAACATTGAACACTTGATGATTTATCTCAAATATACGCACAACAACTTTTCTTAGAATTCTATATGCTCAAAATAAATATCTCAAAAGCTCTACAAACAAAAGAATGGCACATGATCTTTTATACAAGACTTGTTCTCTCTCATGGGAGAGAAACCCAATAGGCCACGAATATTAAACTTCCTATTGCACCACAACCTATCATCAATAAGAGATTTGATTCACCTTGGACTCAAAGTAATGACGCCTCTCTTTAAACCAAATTAACTAAGAGGTAAGCAACGTGCAAAGTCACAATAGGAAAAGATAATATTTTAACTTCAATTAAAATAGAGTTGAACTAGGAAAGTAATCTCAAGAGATAAAATCTAATCTTATTAAAAATAAGATTAACATAAAAATACTTGAGTGAAAATAACTCCAACTAGGAATCCTATAATGAATGCATGATTATGTCATGATTTACCTGAAATCAGATTCCTCATATCGGTCAAGTCATGCTTTGGAAACCTGGGATTGAATGTGTTGCGCCAAAACGTATAGTAAACGATATTCACACACTAACTCCCAACCTATGCTAGAGTTTAGGAAATGACAATACAAATTTCATACTAACATATCTCATGAACGTAGTTTGCATGTTGTCTTAGATAGTTCATCAACACGCATTGATTCAGATGTCCATACTTATTAAGCAGTGTTTGTTTTGGAGAGTGGATTATTTGAAAATGTTTGATTCATGAGAATTAGAAAAGGCGATTTGAAAGCTGACAATGAAAAGTTTTATCGAATATGTTTTCAGTTTTTTTTTTATAATAAAAAAGAGAAAATTGAAAAGAAAATAAAATGGTTATCAAACAGGTCCTAAAATTAATAACCAAAGAAGTTTTATGCTTTCAATTTCTTTGAACTGAAAACTAGACACTAAAAACAAAATACCGAAGTAGTTATCAAACGGGTCCTAATCTTTTTTTGAGTTTTTTTTCGTACCATCCTATTATTCACAAATTTACAACCAAATCACTTTCTTTTTTCAGACTCAACATAAAAAATAAATAAACGTAAGCATCAAGTTTCGAAAATCATAATCCCTTAACTGGAAAAGACAAAATCATAATCATCATCCCTAAACCTTATGACAAAGAATTACAAAACAAACCAATAAAATATGTAAAGGTATCTCGCTCAGAAAAAGACGAAACAAAAATATTTAGGGTCCGTTTGATAACCTTTAGTTTTTATTTTTTATTTTTTTAAATTAATAACTGACAAAAGTTGTTTGATAACTGATTTCAATTTTCAATTTTATGTGAAACATGGAAATGGAATTTTTTGGTCAAATTGGACAAACCCACTTACTCTATTTACAAGGTAAACAAAATAACTCTTCTAGTTTTTACCACATAAATACCCTGATTCTGTATATGCTTAATTATTATTATTTTTATATTTAAAAAAACAAACAAACAAACAAAAGAAGGGAAAGGAGAGAAAAGGACCAGTAAAGCTTGCACAAGATTTATATTTCCAGCAAATGTGAAGAAAAAAAAAGGGGGCCAATATAAAGCTAGCATTTCTACTGAATTATATCCAGCAAAACTATACGGAGAAGAGAACGAAGTCAGAAAGAAGTATTTGAGAAAAACTCATCACCTGTGCAACATGTTCCAGAGAAATAGCCACAGGAGCAAATGGAGCCCGTACCTTAATCTCTGGACAACAAACCCACTTACTCTTTTTCAAGTGGAAAAAGAAAAAGAAGAAAAAAACTAGCCAGGTCCCACATCGACAAATTATACTTCGGTGGTGCTATTTATATAATCAGTTCCACGAGACTCCATTGCCGAGTCAAGTCACGCTGACTTATGACCCGAAGTGGGGGCAATAAGGATGGCATGGAAGGGAAGAGTGTGTAACGTCGTCCGCATGAAGTTGGGTCGGAGATTGTGGCGAGATTGTGGCCAGAGATGCTTTGAGGTTGGGGCGAGATTGTGGGCTTTTAAACCCCCCGTCGCAGAATGGAGAGTGGGAGAGGTGGCTTTGCAAAATGCCGCTTTGCCTGTCATTAGGTAGAGATCTTCCGTCGCTGACAACGAAGTAGAAAGGATCAACCGTCTTTAATTTAAGCAAAAGAACGCTGGCTTATTAGAGCAGCAGATGGCGCTCCGTTTGTCTGTGCTTGGGTTCCACGTGCCGGCACCCTCTGTTAGGCTCCAGGCCGCCCACTCTCACCCCACCTCCATCCTTTTTGTGCATCTTCTTTTTACATATTTTATGGTTTTTGTTTTTGGTTGAATTTACTCTGTTATCTTATTTATTCTATCCATTTTATTTGTTAAATAGTTTATTTTATCTTTTTCCTTTTAAAAAAATTTATTTTGTACAACATTTTTTTTCACATATTTTTTGGTTTTTGTTTTTCGTTGAATTTACTCTGTAATCTTATTTATTCTATTCATTTTTATTTGTTAAATAGTTTATTTTATCTTTTTCCTTTTAAAAAAAATTTATTTTGTACAACATTTTTTTCACATATTTTTTGGTTTTTGTTTTTCGTTGAATTTACTCTGTAATCTTATTTATTCTATTCATTTTTTTTTGTTAAATAGTTTATTTTAACTTTTTCCTTTAAAAAAAAATTTTTTTTTACAACATTCTCCAATGAGTCGGATACTGGTCTTTCTCAATTGCGTTAGGTGTGTCACTACTATTATTTTTCTCTTCTAGTGGAAAGAGGTGAAGTATGGTGAAGTGAGGTAGTGAATGTGTCTTGTTTGATTTAACCTCTAACCAAAGCCATTATGTTCCAAGTGAGGAATCTAGCTTGGATAGGTTCTTTTCTATGCATCAATTAAGAGAACTTCAAAATTTCAGTTGATATGAAATAAAACTTGGAAGAAATTGTGACTTTAAACTAATATCAGACCAAAAGTACAATAGAAGTTTAAAGATAAAGAGTGTCTAATGGACACAATGCAGTTACAAGAAAGCAAATACAAGTCTAAGTGGGCCTAAATACAGTTAACTAAAAGTAATAAAAGGTATAACAAGACCCAGGGGAACCCTATCAGACATTAAAAAAAAACTCTTCTCGGGCACCATTGTAATCTACTTGAGATAGTACAATGTGTCCAATAAGAGATTTTCAACAGTATCTGCAGTATACATAAAATGCTGCATATACGAATTTGATTTAAAGAAGATGGAATTGGTGACCAACTTATAAAATCATACCAAGCAATAAAGTTGGCATAGCGTTAAAATTACAAACAATAGCAATGTAATTCCAATTAGGAGTTGTCATCTGGGAATTAGACAAAGTATGTGTTTGGGAGAAGAATAGATTTCCAATCAGAAGTTGTCAATTGGGAATTCAAAGAGTATAATTGATTCAAGTCTTGGTGTTTGGTCTACTGTGAGAAGCTTTGGAAAGTGATAAAGTATATCCACGTGTCACTCTAATTTGTTAGTCTGTTAGAATGTGGTTAGGCTGATAAGAAGTGGTTATGTTGTAGGTGCAGATATATAAGCACTATAATGATGTAATTACAAGTTAACAAGTTAACAAGAGAAATAAGAAAATCAGTTTCTATGAATTCTCTCTACAATTATTCTAAAGTTTTCATGGTATCAAGAGCCTAACAAAAACTTCTGTTTCTCGATCGTTTCTTGCCCGCTCTTTCTCTCTCTTGGTTTCCCTTGTCCATTCTTGCTCTATCTTCTTCTCTCTTCATTCTCTCTTAATCGAATCTTGCAACTTCAATCATGGTAACAACGAGTCAGTTAGCCCTAACTTAATCCCCAATATCTTCCTTGATTTCTAGTGTTGGTAACACTATTTCTGTTAAACTAGATGATACAAATTATGTCACTTGGAACTTTCAAATGGAGCTCTTGCTGCGTGGAAATGGAATTCTAGGGTTCGTCGATAGTTCATTCAAATGCCGTCCTTAATTCTTAGGCACGGAGGATGGCTCTGTACTTTCCAACGCATTCACAATTTGGACGATTCATAACACAGCACTCATGACTTTGATTACTACGACGTTGTCGCCCTCAACTATATTTCGTGTGTTATTGGTTGCTCAACCTCTAATGCCATGTGGGTCAATCTTCGTGAACAATTTGCAAGTGTTACTAGAGCAAGAATTTTCCAATTAAAGACCGATCTTCAGAATATCAAGAAAGGCTCGGAAACTATTGATCAATATCTTTAGAAAATCAAGGATGTTCGTGATCAACTTTCTGTTGTTGGCATTGAAATCCGGATGATGATACTGTCATTTTGGTTCTCAAAGGCTTACCTTATGAGTATAATACAGTCAAGGCTGTGATTCGAGGTCGTGATCATGGTATTTCTTTGAAAGATCTTCGATCTCAATTGAAGGCTGAGGAAGCCACAATTGAGGAATCCACTCACAATGTTCCAATCACGTCTGCTATGGCTGCCGCAACTCAGAATTCCTCTTCTGGGTCTGGTATGAACTCTGTTCCTTATTCCCCTATGCCTTATGGGTCTCGTAATTCTTCCTCTGGATTTCAAGATAAAGGCAAAGGCAAGATGTTCTATACTTAACATGGCTACTCTAATGGTTCACGCTTTTATCCCAAGAATCAGTCTTATTCTAATCCTCCTCCACAATTCTCCAATTCTCCTCCTCAGTTTGATAATGGTGCTCGAGGTATTCTTGGTAAGCCTCATCAACCTTTTCGAAATAGTTATGGTTCTCACGGTTATGGTCCTCCTGTGCCTATTTGTCAAATTTGTCATAAAAAGGGTCATATCACTGCTACTTGTCATTTTCGATTTACAATTCCATCTCACTCTGAGGTTGAACCTTGTCAAATTTGTTTGAAAACAAATCATACTGCCATGACATGTTTCTATCGAAACAGTGTTCCTTCTAGTTCCTCACACTGTACTCCAACGACTACCATGGCTGCTCAGGCTTGTTCCTCTTCGCCATCCACTGAGGTTTGGATTGCTGATACTGGTGCAACCAACTATATGACTGTTGAATTTGGGAATTTGTCTGCTCCTACTCCATATATTGGTTCTGAAACCATTTCTACTGCAAATGGATATATTGGTTATGAAACCATTACTACTGCAAATGGATCAGGTTTAGCTATTGCTCATATTGGTTCTTCTTCAATTTCTACTCCTACAAGTTCTCTCCAACTTACCAATGTTCTGCATGTGCCCTAGTTATCACAGAGTTTATTATATGTTCATCAATTATGTGCTGATAACAAATGCCAATGTATTTTTGATGAGTTTTGTTTAACCATACATGACAAGCGGACAGGGCATATTCTTTTCACGGGCCTTAGTCATAATGGTCTCTATCCTATGCCTCTTCCTTCTTCTGTACATACTGCCTTCCTAGGCCAAAAGATTGCATCTGAGTGTTGGCATTGCAGACTTGGACATCCTACCAACTCTGTTGTTCAGCTAACTTTGGAAAAATTTGGTATATCCAGGTCTTTTTCTTCTGCTCCTCATATGTGTCAACCTTGCTTGAAGGGCAAGTTTACAAAGCTCCCTTTTGTTTTAGCTAAGTCTAAATCTCGAATTCCTTTTGAGACCATTCATAGTGATGTATAGGGCCCGACTCTTAGTTCCTCTCTTGAAGGTTTCCGATATTATGTTACTTTCATTAATGAGTGTACCAGATATACATGACTTTATGCATAGTGAAATAAATCAGAAGTATTTTCCTATTTTCAATCTTTTTTTCACTATGTTTACACTCAATTCTCTACTTCTATTCGAATCCTACAAATTGGTGGGGCCGAATATCTTAGCACAGTTTTTCAGCATTTCTTACTGTCTAAAGGCATTTTACATCAACGATCTTGTCCCCATACACCTGAACATAATGGTTTGGCAGAACATAAGAATACACATTTGATCGAAACCACTATCACTTTACTTCAAACAGGGATCTGCCTAGTTTTGGACTCATGCTTGTACTACAGCCGCATATCTCATTAATCGCCTTCCTTGTCAGACCTTGGATAATAAATCTCCCTTTGAATTATTACATAGCAAATGTCATGTTTTCGATCATCTAAAAGTGTTTGGTTGTGCTTGCTATCCCTCACTCAAGCCTTATGTTCACAACAAGTTGCAGCCTAAGACAACTCAATGTCTATTTCTTGGTTATGCTTTGCAATACAAAGGCTACATTTGTTACAATCTGAGTTCTCACAAGCTGATTGTATCTAGGCATGTTATTTTTTATGAAAGTTGTTTTCCTTCAGCACTTGGGGTCTCCTTTAGTCCTTCACCACTTCAAGAACCACTCAGGCCTCCTAATGTCTATTATCCGGCAATTAGTCCTTTGACACACCTACCTTCTCTGCCCGTGAGTCCCATGGCCTCAGAATCTTCTTCTATCTCCTCTTCCCTACTGTTCTCTCATGTTCCTTAGCCAATCCCAGTAGATTTATCACATTCCTCTTGTCCTTCTTTAGATTTGGCAACAATTCTCCCAGTTGCTCCTCCCAATGTTCATCCTATGCAGACTAGAAGCAAATCTGGCATTGTTAAGAAAAAGGTGTTCCTATCAGCTGTTCAAGCCTCTACAGATCTCTCTGTTACAGAACCTTCCACTTTCGCTTCCGCAGTAAGAAATTCTAAGTGGCAGTAGGCTATGCAAGATGAATTTGATGCTTTACAAAAGCAACGCACTTGGCATTTGGTACCTTTCCCTCCTAATAGAAATCTAGTAGGTTGCAAGTGGGTCTATAGGCTAAAGTGAAATCCAGATGGTTCAGTGGCTAGATACAAGGCCAAACTTGTTGCCAAAGGTTTTTCTCAAGAGGCTGGCTTGGATTATGCAGAGACTTTTAGTCCTGTGGTGAAACATACCACTATCCGTTTGGTATTACCCTTAGCTGCAACTTTTGGCTGGAAACTTCACCAATTAGATGTCAAAAATGCCTTTCTTCATGGCATTCTCAAAGAGGAAGTCTATATGTCTCAACCACAAGGTTTTTTTGATCCTCTCTATCCTCATCATGTTTGCCGATTGGATAAATCTCTATATGGTCTCAAGCAAGCTCCTCGAGCTTGGAATGAGAGGTTTACCAATTATCTTCCTTGTATTGGATTTCGTACCTCTCAAGCTAATCCCTCTCTCTTTGTTAAGCAAGATGCCATCTCTTTGGTTTTATTGCTTTTGTATGTCGATGATATTATCTTGACTGGTTCTTCCCCTGCTGCAATTTCTTCTGTTGACAGGACCCGCCCCAAATTCCTCGGAACCCGAGACGAATCCTGTGGAAATTTCGACATCACACCAATGCCAGGCCCACTTACTAAAAACCTAGACTTTCTACCAAAATTTTGGCAGAGTCTCCCCTGTAAATTGAACAATCCCAAAAATTTCAACCTGCATAAAACACATTTAATATCACCAACCGGCAGCATGCACAAGATAATTTCATGCAATTCACATAATCGGCCTCCGGCCTTCAAATAATCCGAACAAAACTATCAACTAAGCTCTTAAGTCAAATAATACCTTAAACAAGGCAAATAATAAACTCAAACATAATTATGAATGCCAAAAGCAATTTACATCATTTAACTTTCCCAAATATCCAACATGCTACGTTTTAACCTCCTAACACAATCGCAAGTAGTTTAAGGCCTCAGCCTAAATCGTACAACAATCCAAAATGAGTTTTATACCTGTTTTGACAAGAATACATTTACACAATCCTCCCTCGGCCGAAAACGAGTATGAACAATTATTTAGTCGCATATCGTTTTCAACCAAATTTCAGGACCAACGACAAAGTCAGAACCAATCTCAACAAAACAACATAAATTAAATTTAGTCCGCAGCTGCACCTGGGTGGGACCCCAGGATACCTACGTACCCTTACTGAGGGATCAAGTTAGACGTAGTTCTTACAACAGAAAATCCCGGTTCCAATAACATACAATTCATTATAGCAATACAAAATAATAAATTCTAGAATTATTCCATTCCCTCTTCCTTAAATCACATCCTACCAAATATAATCTTTTTCAACTTCTGACTTTTCCAATATAGTGTAACAATCCTTAATTCCTCTCCTTGTTCTTTTACCACACGCCGGAATTCTCCAACGCCACGTGTGATAATACATAACAAATTGTAGGGTCTCACACGCTGGAATATTCCAATGCCACGTGTGAGACCATATAATCACATAATCTTCCCACATGCCGGAAATTCCAACGCCACGTGTGAGACCTAATAATCACATAATCTTCCCATATGCCAGAAAATCCAACGCCACATATGGGAAGTGTCTCACACGCTGGAAATTCCAACGCCACGTGTAAGACCAGATAATCATATAGTCTTCCCATACGCTGGAAAATCCAACGCCATGTATGGGAAGTGTCTCACACACCGGAAATTCCAACGTCACATGTGAGACCAGATAATCATATATTCTCCCCATATGCTAGAAAATCCAACTCCACGTATGGGAAGTGTCTCACACGCTGGAAATTCCAATGCCACGTGTGAGACCAGATAATCATATATTCTTCCCATACGCCGGAAATTCCAACGCCACGTATGAGAAATAATAATAACATAATCTCCCCATACGCCGGAAAATCCAACGCCACGTATAGGAAGTGTCTCACACGCTAGAAATTCCAATGCCACGTGTGAGACCTTATAATCACATATTCTTCATATACGCCGGAAAATCCAACACCACATATGGGAAGTGTCTCACACGCCGAAAATTTCAACGCCACGTGTGAGACCTAATAATTACATAATCTTCCCATACACCGGAAAATCCAACGCCACGTATAGAAAGTGTAGGAATTGGGGGATGGTACTGAACATAGTGTAATCATACCTCTATCACAATATATACTCAATTCCCCACTCCCCCGAATTCAACCAAGCCTTAAATCATAAATAACTTACCCTTTTTCATGAAACTCACCATCAACTAAGTAAAACCTTTAAATCTCCATTTCAAAATCAAATTCTCAATTTAATAATAATACTAATATCGAAATCTCATAGATTTCCCAATTTTCAATCCAAATACATATATATATATATATATGCCAACTTCATGCTTATTCTTTCAATCAATTGAAAATAGTGCATATTAAAATAAATGTCCACTCACTTCCTAATAATCATAGCCAAGCCCACGACTCACCAAATCAATTTACCCATACTCAACTAACCCATAATGTCAATTATTAAAATAATATCCAAGAGTTTTCATACGCTAATATAAAACACTCAAACTCCTCCCATAGCTAACATAACTCAAATAACGGTCGAGACTCGTTAATAAGGTCCTCCTAGTACTCCTTGAAGAGGGAAACTACCTCTGAAGACTCACGGTCAACCGAGGGTCGAACTGCCCAAAATTGGTCAATCGGGCCCACGTGGCCCCCCCCGACCTCCATTTTACGATATGAAAGTTCCTATGGGTTCCACAAGGTTTGGGATACACGTCATGCAAGTTTGGTCTGGATCGGACGGTTGGATCGCTTGCGATCGCACGATCGGACGGTTATTGTCAAACATAAACTTTAGTTATTGAGTCGGAACATCCGGGGCTCTGATTCACGATCCGCGAATTCCTACACGATTCTAAGGATGTCTAGATTAACATATATTAAATTCAAAATGATCCAACAGTTCAAACCTATCGAACCTAGATAACGCACAATAGGCGAAATCCGTTCGGGGTTCAAACGTCAACCAAATTGGATTCCGAAAGTACCTACGAGCTCGTGAAGATCAGGAGATCACATCGGGCACAATGCCCACGCTCTGCCACACGCGCCGACAGCGCGTGGGTGTCCAAAGCGATTACGCTTCGCTGGAAAAACTCAAACTCATGGCTCAAAACTCGTACCCTAGGTGTAACACCCGATTTGGAGTCACTTTTGTTCTTGTGCCTACCCCTAAAAGTGATTGGAAGTGGCTGAAATCGCGATCCTAAAACCGGCTGAAATCCAAATTGAAAATCAAACTACATAGACTCAAAATTGATGAAATCCTACCCAACCATCGGCTAGATCATGAAGAAGGGATTTATTTCCATACCTTGATCACCAAAAATGGCGGCCGGAGGAGAGAGATTGGAGCCGGCAAAGTTTCGAGCGGAAATCGGCCTAAAAATCACGTTTTCCGACGGCTGGAGTGGCGGCCGATGTCGGCGAAGGGCCTGGTCTTGACGGTGGGGCTGAGCCGGTCCCTTAGGCACCGGTCCCGTTCGTTGCCATGGCCGGAGTTTCAAAGAGAGAGAGAGATAGGGCTGCTGTCGGGGAGAGACAGAGAGACAGAGAGAAAAATCAAATTTTTATCAAACCCTTTTCGCCAAAAATTATGGTTATGCCACTGAGGGTATTTTGATCGTATCTTTTTCATTACAACTCCGATTTGAGCCCACTATGTGTGTACGGATTTATCTCGTCATGCTCTACCCAAGGGTACAGTTGAAATTCCCAAATTCCTTCCCGGTCAAAAAAGTCCACTTTAAACCTAATAAAATATTCTAGGGGCAAAATGGTCTTTTATCTTAATAAATTAATAAATAAAAATTTATTTAGGACCGGGTCGTTACATTTGTGATCACTTTATTATCCAAGGAGTTTGATATGACTGATCCTGAACATCTTCATTATTTCCTTGGCCTGCACATTCAGTATACATATTCTGGTATTTCTGTGACTCAGTCTAAATACATCAAGGATGTTTTGTTTAAAGCCAACCTTTCTGAATGGAAGCCTTGTGTCACTCATTCTCATCCTAATCACAAGCTTCTTGGAGATGGCAATCTCTCATTTTCTGATCCTGCTCATTATCGAAGTCTGGTTGGTGCTTTGCAATATTTGACTTTCACAAGGCCTGACATTGCCTATTCCGTTAATCAGGTTTGCCAATTTATGCACTCTCCTTTTGAGACTCATTACCTTGTTGTGAAACGAATTCTTAGGTATCTTAAGGGTACCATGCATCATGGATTGACATTGCGCAAGGGTTCTCTGGATCTTCATGCTTTCACCGATGCCGATTGGGCTGGTGATCCCAATGATAGGCGCTCTACAACTGGTTATGTTATTTTCTTAGGCTCCAATCTCGTTTCTTGAAGTTTTAAGAAACAGCAATCTGTTTCCAGATCTTCCACCGTAGCAGAATATCATGTCATGGCTGCCACTACTGCTGAAATTGTGTGGTTACAGCAGTTGTTGACATATCTCTCCTTTCCTCTTGTCAAATCTCCTCTTCTTTACTGTGACAATCTGTCTGCTATGGCCCTATCTACTAATCCTAATATGCATTCTTGTGCTAAGCATATTGAAGTTGACTGTCACTTTGTTCATGAGAAGGTCACACACGGTGAAATCCAGCTTCAACATGTTTCCTCTTCTCAGCAAGTTGCTGACATCCTAACCAAGGCTTGTGCTAACCTCAATTCGATTATCACTGCTCCAATCTCATGCTCAAGCCTCTCTCCCATGATCTTGCGGGGGGCTAATAGAGTATATCCACGTGTCACTCTAATTTTTTAGTCTATTAGAATGTGGTTAGGCTGATAAGAAGTAGTTATGCTGTAAGTGCAGATATATAAACACTGTAATGATGTAATTACAAGTTAACAAGAGAAATAAGAAAATCAGTTTCTATGAATTCTCTCTACAATTCTTGTAAAGTTTTCAGAAAGGTGTTGAGTCTAGAGTATTTAAATATTGTTCAAATTAGTTGTTTGTTCTAGAGACTGGTTGTTCTTTGGACCATAATTTCTACTTCCATTTATAGACTCATTGGTTATTGAAATTGCATGTTTGGTAAAGAGATACAACCACCTTGTACAAGTTTCTTCTTTGCAAATAAAACTAATGGACTTTGTTTTCACTTTGATCCATGTGATTAGTTGTATTTTAACAAGTTGATATTGATGAGTCTCACGATTCAAATCACATTTAATGCGGTTGTCCAACCCTCTCTTTGCTGCTTGACTCTTCCTCAGTTGTCGAAATCAACTTTGAGTTCAAATCTAGGTGCTCGCGCTTCGATCTTTGGACACTTACTTTTCTAATTATGAACGAATCAAAGCCCATTTGGCTCGAAAAGTCCTTTTATTGGGCCTCTTTTATTACTACAAACATTGTATTTCTTGGAACAAATCAAAGTTTTGGCCTTTTCTACAGTGGTTCGATCTGGTTAATGTCAAGTATGGTGTTCTATGACCCGCTTGTCAAGTTGGGCATGCGAAACTTCTTTGTGCCAACTTGAGGGGGAGTATTAGCAAGTTCTTATTTACTTACGATTTTGGTTCCTACTATGTTAGGTTTTTGGTTATTACTTATCTATTTATTTAGTACTATTGTAATTGATATATTATTTCCTATTGTATTTAGGGTTAACTAATCTTTGTACCCTTCTTATAAATACCTCCATATTGGAGAAGAATATATATCTGAAAATTCGCCATTTTTATTTATTTATTTATTTTGACTCTATCTTGATATGGACAAAGGTTTTCTTTTCCTAGAGAGTTTCTTGATGGGCAAGACTCTTAGACAGATGCATATAAATACAGGTGCCACGACTTACCCGATCAATGTAACCTGCACTAAAGTATTCACCCCATCTATAATGAGTGTGTGAGGGGTCGGATTGAGGAGAAGAGATCTTGTATGTTCTTGATATTCTGACAACTCTAATGGAATACTAAAATACATGTGTTCTACTTATGTTATGTGCAGTCAATACAGTTTACATGTGGTGTCAGATCATAGTCTGCATGTTTTAGAATAAAAAGAAATCACATGTTTCTTCATAACAAAGAAATTAGATGCCATGGTATCCTCATGATTGATCAAGTTTTCTGTTTAAAGTTTCCATGTTTAAAATTTAACATAATTATATTATGATATTGTGGCTATAACATTAGTTTCATTATTTTCGCTTATGTGGCCATAGATATTACTCATTATATGTAGTCTAACCTTGAAACTCTGATATAATTCAGAATTTTTGTAATCTTGAGATACATTCTAATTCTAATCCTTTTATTTTTTTTCAAAAAAAAAATTCTAGAATTTTCTTTACTTTGGGATGTTGGAATTGATTTGAACTCACTAAAAGTTAAAAATTTCGAATAAAAATGAGTCGAAATTAGAATTTCCAATCCAACTTTCACACCTACCTGAGATGCTAAGTACTTTTTTCCACAAAAGAAATGAAATCACAATTTCAATTATTCATATGAGTTTTATGCTTTATCCATTATTTTTTTTTCCCCAAAAAAAGAGAGAGAAAATAGTTCTTATCTTTTTTAGCGTTTGTAAAGATTGATTGCTCTGTAGGTGGGATGGGTAAAAGGGGAAAGGAGAAAGTGCTCGAGAGAGAAAAGAGAGAGCTTTGTCGTGAAATGGAACTAAAACTAGTTTCTCTAGTTTTTTTAATATATTATTTCTTTCTTATATGAGCATGAGTGATAATAAGTTATTAACCCCAGGTGAGCAATTTTATGTAGGAGGACAAAAATACGAAGTTTGTTGACTATATTTGTTGCAATTTGATATAGGCCATGAATATAGAAGTGGTGGGTCTTTCACCTCTTTCTAGTGACTTGGGGAGCTAATTGATAAATTTATTACCTCAATAACTAAAGTTGTCCGATTATGAATTTGTGTTTGTTTAATACAATAATATATAATTATAGTTCAAATTTCTGCCTGCATGGGTGAAAGTGAAAGAGCTGAACCAACTGAGTTACACTGAACTGGCTAAATTTAAAGCTTTCAACACATATAAAATGTACACCAACTAGTTTTTATTACTTCCGTATAAAAAAAACTAGTTTTTATTACTTATGTACAAAAAACTAGTTTTCATTTTAATGTTATTTCTTGTTGAATACTTGCAAAAGGAAGGAAAGTGGAGGAATTGAGAGAATTAGGGCTCATTTGGGAGTGCTTTTGGAGCAGCGAAAACTGGGTGAAAGAGCTTTTGTCTTTTAAAAATGATGTTTAGCAAAAATTGCAAAAGCGCTTTGGATGAGATCCAAAAGCACTTGGAGTGGTTTTGGAAGAAGCACTTGAGAGGTGCTTCTTAAAAGCGCTATAGGACAAAAACACGAGAAGCACTTGGTTCCCTTTAATGAAACTTTTAAAATGCTGAAAATACCCATATTAAATTATAAAAAAAAAGGCCAAAATACCATTTCTTTCTTTTTTCTCTATCTTTTTCTCTCCTATTAAAACTTTATAATTTTAGATACATTAGAGTGTGGAAATTTGAATTTAATGCACTACGTTGGAACTTTGCTTGATGGGAGTCTAGAGGTGTAAAACGGGCAGTGCCGTACCGGCCACCGGCCCATCCTATTTAAACTCATGCTTTTAACGTTTTCGTGTCGGGCCGGCCCATCATGGGACGAAGAAACCTCCATATATATATATATATATTTTTTTTTCTGAGTACCTACTTTTTCATAAGGTACCTATTTATCATATAGCAAAAAGTGTGTCACCATCAAAGACAAGAAGTTACGGACTCCTTACGCTTGAAGGTGCAAATGAAATTTGTCTTGATGAGGTGAATCCAGTCAACGAAGGCTAAACAATTGTGAAGAGATGTTAGTCAAAAAGAAAAAAGCATCATCATGAACCGATGAAAGAAAGCTGTTGCGCGTCAGAAAGGAAGTATCACCATCAAAGACAACGTTGAAGGTTCTTTTCCTTACCCTTTACCATTATGGCTTTCACTTGCACTTAGAAGACTTTCATTTCAAGACTAGGAGTGTGCCTCTTCTTTTTACTTTTGTGGCTGTTCAATTTCTAACATGTTAAATCATGTTACACAGTAATTAGCCACTGCTTAAAGACATTGATATGCCTTTGCTTTGAATGTGTTTCTTGTTCTAGCAATTTTATATTGTAGCGAAGGCACTAAAATTTCTACTTGATTTGGTATGGTATTGGTACTTATGGCCCTTTTGGTTTTGATTGTATGAAATTACTCCAAGCTGTGATCAAATTTATTTTAACATTTTATAATGTGAAGCAGCTTTAAACAAACTTGGTGCAGCAAAGGTACAGTCTAGTTTGTATTTGGCCACGAGTTTTGTAGGTAAAAGAAGAGGGTCAATGGGGGGCCATTGACACCAACTGTCCGAGTGAAGAAGTTTCCTCAAAGGTTCCTTACCATTTACTTCAACGTAGCATAAGACAGAAACCGCGTTGACGTATAAAAAATTAGCATTCAAGTCAATGGTAAAAAGGGACAGGGAGACATAGAAGACCCCATTGAGATTACAATATCTATATAGAAAATTTTAACCTCAGAAATCTTGATAATATTAATATATATGGTGAGGGCTGGTAAACAAAAGAAAGAGTTCCAACTAGTTTATGACAATATAAATATACATTTTCTCAAGTTTCTACAAACTCTGACATTTTTGGGTTCTTATCTTCATCAGGAAAGCAGAGGTCAAGGCAAGGGTTAAAATCCATGGCAAGCGTTGTTATTTTTAAAATATTATTTGGACTTAACAATGTTAAAGAGAGAATAATATTTATTTGGAGTTTGACGTGTCATATTATAGGTCTTTATATTATTAGACCGATTTAAATGTAACAAGATACGGGTAAATGCATGATTATTATGCAGAGATTCAAAATCTTGAACAAAAATACCTATTTATCATGTGGTAAAAGAAAGCACGTCACTATTAAAGATAAGAAGTTACCTTGAAGGTTCGTACCCTTGAAGGTGGAAGCGAGTTAGGAAAAGTGAGTTCCCACTTGGGGTTTGAAAATGAAGATGAAAAAGATCGTGTTAATGTTGCTGAGATAATTTCAGGGTACTAAATTGAAATTAACCCAAAAATTAATTTTAAAAAAGAGTTTTGTGAAAAACAATTTAAATCTTGAGGTGTGTTTGTGTAATTTCTGAAACTCTAGGGAGTTTTATGAAAGGAACCAAATAACTCAATGGATGTTAGTGTAAATAACTCAATAAAAGAATAAAAAACAACATTAGCACGTAAACTAAATTACAACATAAAAAAGTTAGAACCTCAAATATAAAGTCTCGGACATCCCTATTAATTATTATGAGAGAGAATACATTTTCCATTGAAGGAACCATGTAATGAAAGAAAAAGAGATACAAACCAGCCTTAATAAGAAAAAGAAATATCATCGTTTGACCACTTTTGTAGCTGTCAATGTAGGCCCATTTCTGCTATATAGCAGTACTGGCCATGTGATGTGCACTGTCTTAAAGCAATTTATTCAGCAAAGAAAAGGTCAAGGTAGTGCCTCTCACCTATAGATGCTTCAGTAAATTAAAGACCGCGTGGAAGGTGGTAGGAAACTGCTTCGTCAAGCCTTAAGCTATTTGTCATGTATATAAGCTTAGTTCTTACTGTATCGTTTTATTAAGAAAGAAAATCAATACAAAATCAAATAAGATTCTCTCTGCTTCTTCTTCATTTCTTCAATGTTCAACTTCAAATCCTTATTCAGGCTTATGGGGAGTTCCCCAATGCCAATTGATTCTGGGGTGGAATCTCAACTTCCTTTAGATCTGCCCCCTACGACCACTCAACCAGTCTCTTCTTCTCCTTCTTCTTCTTCTTTCACTCATGATTCATCATGGACATATGATGTGTTTTTGAGTTTTAGAGGTGAGGATACGCGCACCAATTTTACGGATCATTTGTACAAGGCCTTGTGTGATAAGGGCATCTACACCTTCATTGATGGAGAGCTTGTAAGAGGAGAAGAAATATCGCCAGCCCTTGTCAAAGCAATTGAAGAATCAAGAATTTCTCTCATTGTATTCTCTGAAAACTATGCATCTTCGAGGTGGTGCTTGGATGAACTTGTCCAGATCCTTCAATGTAAAGAATCAAAGCAACAAATAGTTTTGCCCATTTTTTACAAGGTGGATCCGTCGGATGTACGAAAGCAAACAAATAGTTTTGGAGATGCATTTAAAGGCCTTATTCAAAGCAAATTCAAGGATGACAAGGAGAAAGTGCTCATATGGAAGGAAGCTCTTAGACAAGCAGCAAATTTGTCCGGACATACTTTCAAGGATGGAGAGTATGTATATTTCTATCTTTATCATTTTCAAGATAAAATATTAATTGTTACTCATTACAAAGAAAAGTATCCTTTTGTAAAAATATTAAGTTTTAAATCCTTGTTAACATCTTTTTTCTCTTTTTTGGTCAGAAGAATTATTACGTACAAGATTGTTGATGTTGTGTTCTTTTGCGTGATTGGATGTTTAAATCTGATTCACTAAATGTGTCTAATTTGGTTACACTGGCAGGTATGAAGTTACATTTATCAACTACATCGTTGATGGAATCTTAATCCAAGTACTGAGCGGCACATATTGGAATGTGGCCAAGTACCCAATTGAAATTCAGTCTCATGTACAAGATGTGAAAAAGCTTTTAGATGTTGGTGGGAATGGTCGTCGCATGGTTGGGATATGGGGGACATCTGGAATAGGCAAGACAACAATTGCCAAAGCTATATGGAATGCAATTGCCCATGAGTTTGAAGGAAGTTGTTTCTTGGAAAATGTTAGGGAAAATTCAATGCCACATGGAGGCTTAATCAAGCTACAGAAGACTCTTCTTCACAAGTATCTAGGCAAAAAGTTGAAAATTCAGAGTGTTGATGAAGGAATCGGTGTGATAAAAGAACGGCTGAGGCATAAAAGGATTCTATTAATTCTTGACGATGTGGACCACTTGGAGCAGTTAGAACACTTGGCTGGAGATGATTGGTTTGGTGAGGGTAGTAGAGTAATCATTACTACAAAAGATATGGGATTGCTAGACAATCGTGAAATTGAGTTGATATACGAGGTGAAGAAGTTAGATTACAACCAAGCTCTTGAGCTTTTCAGTTGGCATGCATTCCGAAGAAGTGAACCTCCAGAAGATTATTTGGAACTCGCACAACGTGCAATAGCTTTTGCTGATGGCCTTCCACTAGCACTAAACATTTTAGGTTCTCATCTTCGTAATAGAGGAATACGACGTTGGCAAGTTATATTAGATGGTTACAAAGGAGAACCTTATACATATATTGAAAGAATACTTCAAAAAAGTTATGATGCCTTGGATGATTACGCAAAAGAAGTTTTTCTCGACATTGCATGTTTCTTCAAGGGTGAAAAGAAGAACTATGTGCTACAAATAGTACCCCAAAATTGTATTGAAGTACTCATTGAGAAGGCAATGATAACTACTGACTATGGTAGGATTCAGATGCACGACTTGCTAGAAAAACTGGGCAAGGATATAGTTCACGAAGAATCCCCCAATGATCCCGGCAAGCGTAGTAGATTGTGGTTTTACGAGGATGTTGAACAAGTTCTAACGGAAAGTACAGTAAGTGTCACATATGTTATTATATTCAATTTGATAAGAAAGAATACGTTATGTAACCTATAATTCTCTTAACAAAATGTGCTTGCATTTTGGTTTGTGCAATGACGTCGTTTCCTAATTAATGCTTTTCCATCTTAGGGAACAAGAAAGATTAAAGGCATCATGTTGAAGCTTCCAAAATCAGCTGAGATAACTTTGAATCCAGAATGCTTCCGTAATATGGTGAATCTTCAAATTTTCATAAACCATAATGCATCTCTATGTGGGGACATTAACTATCTGCCCAAAGCATTAAAATTTATTGATTGGCCTAGTTGTCAGTTACAATCTTTGCCACCCAATTTTCAAGGAAATCGTCTTGTTGCGTTCAAAATGCTTGGCAGTCATATCAGACAATTGGAGGGATTGAAGGTATGTGTTTGAAATTATTTTCATCTATTATATATAATTTCAAATAGAGTTGTTAATTTCAGAAGGAAAAACACGAAATTTGTTTTCTAAGTTTTTGTCTTTTGAAGCGTGTGATTAATTATTTCCTGTTTTTGTGTTCTTGTCTCACAGCATTTGCCAAACCTGACATATATGAATTTGAGGGGTTGTCAATTCTTAGAAAAAATCCCAGACTTATCTGGAATCCCAAACATAGAGTACTTGATTCTAAGTAACTGTACAAGTTTGGTTGAGGTTCATCATTCTGTTGGATTCCTTGTTAAACTTGTTGGATTGGATCTCAATGGATGCGTTAATCTTAAGAGGTTTGGAACAAGACTTAGATTGAAATCCTTAAAATCACTTTGTCTAAGTGATTGCAAAAGGCTTGTGAGTTTCCCAGAAATAGAAGTCCAGATGGAATCACTACGGCATTTGAACATATCAGGAAGTGGCGTAAGAGAATTGCCTTCATCAATTGCATATCTTACTGGGCTTCAATTTTTGCATCTTGAAGAATGCTTCAATCTTACTGGGCTTGAATTACGACTGCTTTATTGCTGGTCCACATTATGGCTGCTTTATCTAAATGGATACAATTTTGTCACGCTTCCGGAATGCATTTGCAAATTTGTGAGGTTGTACAAGCTTAGCTTGTGTGATTGCGAGAGTCTTCTAGAAATTCCACAAGAAGTGCTTCCACTAAGTTTACATTCGTTATACCTGGATAACTGCACATCATTGGAAAAAATTCCAAAACTGCCACTATCAGCGAAGAATAAGCAACTGAGTTTGATGAATTGCGATAGACTACGTGGCTATGACATCACAGAAAATAGTATTCTGGATCAGGTTTCTGTCTCTTCTCTCTCTGTGTCTCTCTTTGTCTCTCCCTCTGTGTTATATGGTTAAGAAGATGATTGTTGTAACCAATTGTATTGTAGGTATCTTCTCATCCGCATTCCAAATTTAAAATTACTTTTCCAGGCGATGAAGTACCAAAGTGGTTCAGCTGTTGTAAAGATGCAACACTAGTTAAAGATGCAGATGATGAAGAGGAATGCCATGCTCGATGTGAAGTTTGTTTTGAAATTCCTCCAAATTTAGATTGGAAGACGTTAAGATTGGTTCTATGTGTTGTTAATAAAGGAGGGCCATTTTATTTTGGGGCAAATACACGTGTTCATATCAATAGAAAAGAGGTCCAATTGACATCTTTGTGGGCAATGGGCACTCATGTGGCTCTTCAGTGTATTCCATTATTGAATCTGAGCAAATTATGTGTGGGGGAAGAACTGACGCGATTGCAACAGGGTAATATGTGTCAAATTATATTTGAGTTCGATACAATACCCACACGCTTTAAAATCCCCTGCGGGGTCCACCTATTAGGCCACAAGGTTGCTGATGTCACAGATGATCGTGGGCAAAGGCAGTGGTTGTTGCCTGATGCGATGGCAGTGGACGATGATATTCATGATGATCAACACCAAGACATCGAATTGCTTTTCTTGCCTTCAGCATCAGAGACTAGTCTTGGCAAGAGGCCTCGGTCATCAGATTTCATGGCACTTGATGATGATCATCGTGCTAACGTCGTCGAAGTTAGTGATCATGAAGCTCAAAGGGGAGAGGCGAATCACCCAAAGAGGAGGCACACTGATCTTAACGAGGAGCCAATGTATGTAAATCCATTAAATGTTGAATGATATCTTTGCATTTTCTGGTCATATATCTGCGTTTTGTGTTCAATTCCAATTTAGCAATATTTTGCTGTGCATCTCTGGGGTATATGTTGTAGTTTTCAGGGTGTGAATTTTTGTTCTTTTTGTTTTGGGTTAAATCCTTTTTCTTAGCGCTCTACATTCGATATTAAATTTTCAGGCAATGAAGTTCCAAAGTGGTTTATGTAAGCCCCAGGTTCAGCTGTTGAAACGAACCAAATTTCCAGGCAATGGTCTGGTAATCAAGAGGTGTGTTGAGGCGCCAGCAGTTTCTGAGATTCCATTTTAAGTTGCATAAGGCAATACCTTTCTTCTCAATTGATGCATCCAGCATTTATCCGCAGATGAACAAAACAGCAAGCCGGATTTATCTAATGCTTTCATTCCACACGTATACTTTGTCTATGATTCTTCTGTCTCATTCATTGGAATGATGTATGTTGGGGATGAAATGTAACAGATTTATCCATTTCATAATTTCCAATCAAGGTTTGTTGAAAATCAGACATTAATTGTAAACAGGCATCCAAATATGCCCAAAATATTTTTTTGAAAGATTGTGTTTCATTACACTAGTAATGTTGCTGGTATTGGCAAGGTACAAGAATCCTAGCATGTCTAAATCATGTCTAGTTGCTGCAACTCACGTTGCTGGTATAGTTGGTCAAGATTTTTTGATAATCCTGCAAGGACATGGAATGAAAAGCTTGATGAGCAGCAATAGTGTCATGCATATTATGTTGTTTTCGAACTCCTGTCTAGTTTGTGAATAGCTTTTGGTTCTTTGAATACCAGTTGCTGTTTGAACAGCCCTGGTAGAGCTAACATCTCCAATGGCTCCATTACCCAAAAAGAATTTGGCTTTAGAAACTAAGAAAAAGACGCCAAGAATTATATAACTTCTTTGTTCACGAAAGCGCATTGTCATTGCATGACCGGATAGCTACTAGAGATGTCAAATGTCCAATTTTATCCACCAAAAATTACAAGGGGCATCTCATTGTCAAAAAGATAACTACAACTTACAATGTGAACTGACACCAAGTAAAACTTATGACAAACAGGAATAAATGTCCCTACAACACAAAAACAAAAATTCACTTCATACAGCATTATTATAACAAGAGAGAGGCACAAAGCAGTGTAAATGTAGACAAATATGCACGGCAGAACCATGTGTCTGTGGAGCGCTGCAAAACCGCCCACATTGCCGCAAAGAAAAAGCTCCACATTGAAATGGCTCAAACCAACATATTCAAGCATCACCAACTTGGTTATATTCCTACATAAGCCACTGTCTAACAAATACAAAAGCCTATACCTCATTTTTGCCACCATTCTTGGTGTATGGTGCCTTTACAGCTCTGCATGGTGGCCTTGAAACTTGTTTGAATTGAGTTGTATTTCCTATCATATAGCCAGCCACACCGAAAGACCATGCACATACCACAAAGCAAACAATCTCAAACAATCATGATCGAAAGTTTGCCATTCTGAACAGTTTTAGCCAAGCAAATCTTTAAACAAGTTGGGATTCTGACTTGTTGGGGTCACACCCATCTGCCTTACAAGTGCATCCTTTTCCAAGGAATCTTTAGGGTTAGGACCCTTATTCAATTGTGTTACCCCACTTTGAGCAGTTCTTGTAGCATTTGATAACTCAGATGCAAGATTAAACTCATCCCTATTGGTCGGCAAAGGGTCGCCAACACTGCTACTAAGCCCGCTGAGAGATGTATCTGCATATAATCCCATAATATCAGGTGTCTTAGCAGCACCAGCTGCACCATGATTTGCAGTTAATGCAACTTCAGTTTGATCAAGAAGCCCTTCTAACTGCTTGAAAGGATCTACAGTGGAAGCAGTACTACTAGTTGAGTCACCCAAATCGAGCAAGTCTGGAGTAGGTTCATGATTAACTTCAGTGTGTACAGCTGATGCCTTTGGTACCTGGGGCTTCTCTGAAGCATGGATATTCGCCTTAGACACCTTATGGTTGGCAGAAGATGGCCTCCTCTCAGTTTTTGATGATCCCCCAAACAGTGAACTGGCAAGCTTCTGCTTTTCTGGAGAAATTTCAACCTGAGGCCTCCTTGACTCATAAGTATCACGTGCTTTTGAATTTGAAGTGCTCACGCTATCTATTTGTGTGACCCCATTCGCTGATTTCTGGGAACTAGAACTAGAGGAATTCGAGATTGACAATGCTGGAGAGGAATATGTTGGCCTACCCCATTTTCTTTGAACACCATCTAGTCGTAACTTAAGTTCCGAAGATCCTGCATCTGACACAGGTGGCAATGATGCAGGCTGGCGGATCTCCCTAGCATAAGATGGTTCAGGAACTGGAACAAGCTCGGTTGAGGATGCAACTGCAGCTGGAGGAATTCTTGATGGCACTGCTGGCTTTGGAAGCTCATATGCCTCAAACCTAAGACCATGGGTTAAAGCTTCATGCTGATCTTGGTTACTGAAGTTGCTGATATTTAACATTCCAGAGCGTTCGTTCATGCACTTCAAAGACTTTAATCACAAGACTAGGAGTGTGCCTCTTCTTTTATTTTTGTGGCTGTTCAATTTCTAACATGTTAAATCATGTTACACAGTAATTAGCCACTGCTTAAAGACATTGATATGCCTTTGCTTTGAATGTGTTTCTTGTTCTAGCAATTTTATATTGTAGCAAAGGCACTGAAATTTCTACTTGATTTGGTATGGTATTGGTACTTATGGCCCTTTTGGTTTTGATTGTATGAAATTACTCCAAGCTGTGATCAAATTTATTTTAACATTTTATAATTAGTTTATATCACATACTTCACAGGGTGATCTACCGTGTGAACATGCTTTAGACAAACATATGGTGCGGCAAAGGTGCAGTCTAGTTTGTATTTGGCCTATTTTGTAGGTAAAAGAAGGTATCACCGTCCAAGAGAAGTTTCCTTGAAGGTTCCTTACCATTTACTTCAACACATTCACACTGTAGTGTAGGTATGTAGCATAAGACAGAACCCAGAAAACACATATGAAGGTCCAAATAAAGCACATGCACCCTCTCATGGGTCAGAACCCACATGACATGAAAGTAACTTTGTAATTATTATTTTTATATAGCAGTTTATATCAATTGCAAATAATAGTAAAAGGTGGGATTAAATTCCGAATTTTTTTTTATTTTTTTTTTTTTTTTTTTTTTTTCAACATTCCAAACCCACACAGCCCACCCTAGGACATGCACTTGGAAGAGACTTGTCTGCCTCAGGGTCTTCTTTGAATTTTTGTGCCACTTACAAAACCACAATGGCTCAATTTTAGTAATGCAGATTAAGGGTTAATTTTGACAAAAGCACTTGCAGAATTAGTGCCTTCCGCAAAAAAAATGTGTCATAGTATTTTTTTCACAAAAGTACTTGCGGAAGACACCCATTGATCAAAAATACCCTTCAATTGACATTGAAAGCAATGAAAAGGTGATACCTCATGCGTGCCACGTAGACAATTAAGGGAAATTTTGACGGTCGAAAACAGATTGCAAAAAATAAAAAAGATTAGGGTACATGATTGTTAAAAATGAGAGTGCAAGGATAAACATGCTTTGAGGGTGAGAGTTCATTGAAATTAACCCAAAAATTAATAAAAAGGAGTTTTATGAAAACAATTTAAAATTTTGAGGGGTGTTTGTGTAATTTCTAAAACTCCAAGGAGTTTTGTGAAATGGCCAAAAAGCTCAATGAGTGTTAGTGAGAAGGTGGTAGGAAACTGCTTCGTCAAGCTTAGGTGGATATATTTAATATTATGGTTGCAACCATATATGCTTCAGTAATTAAAGACCGTGTCATTAAGAAAAGAAAATTCAGCGTTTGATGACTTAAAGTTGAAACGAAAGCTCCCCCACATGGAAGGTGGTAGGAAACTGCTTCGTCAAGCCCTCATAAATCTAACCAGAGCGCCACTGCCATACCCAATTCTTTGAGCTTCTCTTTACTTTTAATTATCTGCCTCCTATTTATGACCACTCAACCAGTCTCTTCTTCTCCTTCTTCTTCTCCATATGATGTCTTTCTGAGTTTTAGAGGCTAGGATACACGCACCAATTTTACAGATAATTTGCACGAGGCTTTAGTCCGTAGGGGAATCCGGACCTTCATTGATGGAGAGCTTGTAAGAGGAGAAGAAATATCGCCAGCCCTTCTCAAAGCAATTGAAGAATCAAGAATTTCTGTCATTGTATTCTCTGAAAACTATGCATCTTCGAGGTGGTGCTTGGATGAACTTGTCAAGATCCTTCAATGTAAAGAATCAATGCAACAAATAGTTTGGGAGGATATGTTTGTACTGTGTTATACGATTTTGTTAATCCAACTCTTATGCCAATGATGACGAAAATCTACCAAATTCGTTTGGGAGTTATTCTGTCACTTGTTGGGTACACCTTCTACGTGCTTCTTTATATAATCATTTTAGTAATTTTAAGTAATTTTGGAGAGAAACACTTCCCATGTACTTCTTCATAAAAGTGATTATTGACCTATCCAGAATCACTCCCAAACGAGCCATCATAAAACTTCATCATTTGAAGTAGAACAAGGTAAGCCATAGTCAACTCAGTTAGCTAACAAATAATTTCTCTTTAAGAAATCATTTTGCATATCGACTTTGAAAACCGATGATAACTACTTTTTAATGTTTGCTTTAGATTGCTTTGTAGGATCTTGTGTTGCTTGCTAAGTATTATATGATAATTTCGTCTTGACAAAAAAACGTGAAACCGAATAGCAGGAAGTTGAGCTATATTTTTTGGGTAATGCTAGGCTTACCATATTTTTCATACCACAATTGTACCACCTCTCTAATAGAGGTGGAGCCCACCAATATAATGGGGCCCACCTCTATTAGAGAGATGGTACAATTGTGGTATGGAAAATGTGGTAAGCCTAGCATTTTCCATATATTTTTAAATGATATATTATTAGTGTATTTGTATGCTTATTAAAATATATTTTCGACGTCTTGATTCCATATTTCAGGGTTATCTATCTTTTTTAAGTTTAGCTTTTTTTTTCCTTTTTTTTTTTTTTTAAATTTTTACTTTGTTTTTATTATTAAGAAAAGTATTCTTTTATATAAAATTATACAACTATAGTGAGAAGATTTATTTTCTTGGGTACTTTTGTATTTTTGATAGCTGTAAGGAGAAAGTTCAAAATCCATATATATTAATCTCTTCAAAAGGCATACATTAGGTTTGTGATTAAACAACTATTGCATCTTTTTTTTCTTTTTGGTTAGAAGAACTATTACGTACTTTAGGATGTTTAAATCTGATTCATTAAATGTGTCTAATTTGGTTAAACTGGCAGTTATGAAGCTTCATTTATCAACAACATTATTGATAGAATCTTAAGCCAACTACTGAGACGCACATATTGGAATGTGGCCAAGCACCCGGTTGGAATTCAGTCTCATGTACAAGATGTGAAAAAGCTTTTAGATGTTGGTGGGAATGGTCGTCGCATGGTTGGGATATGGGGGACATCTTGAATAGGCAAGACAACAATTGCAAAAGCTATATGGAATGCAATTGCACATAAATTTGAAGGAAGTTGTTTCTTGTCAAATGTTAGAGAAAATTCAATGTCAGATGGAGACTTAATCAAGCTACATTAGGCTCTTCTCCATAAAATTATTGGCGGAGAATGGAAAATTCATAGTGTTGATGAAGGAATTGGTGTCATAAAAGAACGGTTGAGCCATAAAAAAATTCTCTTAATTCTTGACGATGTGAATCAATTGAAGCAATTAGACAATTTGGCTGGTGTTGGTTGGTTTGGTGAGGGTAGTAGAGTCATCATAACTACACAAGATAGAGGATTGCTAAAACGTCATGGAATTAATTCGACATACGAGGTCCAAAAGTTATATGGCAACCGAGCTCTTGAGCTTTTCAGTTTGAATGCCTTCGAAACCAATAAACCTCCAAAGGATTATTTGGGACTCGCACAACGTGCAGTAGAGTATGCTCAAGGCATTCCACTAGCTCTAACACTTTTAGGTTCTCATCTTCGTTATGAAGACAAAGATGTTGGCAAAATATATTAGATAGTTATGAAGGAGAACCATATACAGGTATTCGAAAAACACTTCAAATAAGTTATGATGCCTTTGAAAATTTCATGCAACAAGTTTTTCTAGACATCACATGTTTCTTCAAAGGTGAAAAGAAGGACTATGTTCTACAAATAGTAAGCAATTCTAAGAACAACGTCTCCCGAGATTGTATTGAAGTACTCATTGAGAAGGCAATGATAACTATTGACTATGGTAGGATTCAGATGCATGACTTACTAGAAAAACTGGGCAAGGATATAGTTCACGAAGAATCCTCCAATGATCTCGGCAAGCGTAGTAGATTGTGGTTTTACAAGGATGTTGAACAAGTTCTAACGGAAAGTTCAGTAAGTATCACATATGTTATTATATTCAATTTGGCAAGAATCTTCTGGAAATTCCAGAACAAGTGCTTCCACCAAGAGTAACTTTGGTATTACTGGATAACTGCACATCATTGGAAAAAATTCCAAAACTGGCTTGGGTATTACTGGATAACTGCACATCATTGGAGAAAATTCCAGAATTCCCATCGGTGGATGACAGTTGGTCTGCGAGTTTGACCAATTGCGTTAGACTACGCGGCTACGACATCACAGAAAATATTTTTCTGAATCACGTTTCTGTTTCTTCTCCGCATTCTAGTTTTGACATTAATCTCCCAGGCGATGAAGTTCCAAAGTGATTCAGCTGTTGTAAAGATGCAACAATAGTTAAACAATTTTTGGGTTGGGGTATTCCTGAATGTGAAGTTAGTTTCGAAATTCCTCCAAATTTAAAATGGGAGATGTTAAGATTGGTTCTATGTGTTGTTAGTATGGCTCCTGCCAGGATTCTTCTCAATGGAAAACTCGTCAATGCGATAGATATTGGAATGCTTGAGAGCCATGAGGGATTATTGGAAGGTCATGTTATATTTCACTTGTCTGGCAACGTGCCCACATATGTTAAAATTCCCTGCGGGGTCCACCTATTAGGCCACCAGGTTGCTGATATCAGTGAGACTGATGTTGTTGATCATGGGCCAACGCAGTTGTTGTTACCTGATGCGATGGCAGTAGACGATGATATTAGACCAGTTTAAGAAAAAACAAACCATAAAACTTGTTTCAGTAATCTTTCAATTTTTTATTTTCAGACCTGAAAACAAAATCTTTGGATAGAAAGACCATCATTTGAAAGAAAGCGCATCAAAGAAAAAAGAAAAAGAAATAATAATATCACCGTTTGACCATGTGCACTATCTTAAAGCAATGTCGGCCCATATCTGCTATTTATCTATACTGGCCATGTGATGTGCACTATCTTAAAGCAATTTATTCAGCAAAGAAAAGGTAAAGAAAGGTAGTGCCTCTCACCTATAGATGCTTCACCAAATTAAAGACCGCGTCAGTATGAAAAACAAAATCTAGCGTTTGATGACTTGAAGTTGAAACGAAAGCTCCCCCACATGAAAGGTGGTAGGAAACTGCTTCGTCAAGCCCTCATAAATCTAACTAACCAGAGCGCCACTGCCATACCCAATTCTTTGAGCTTCTCTTTAGTGGATCTTGATGGAGAGCACGTGAGTTTGTTGAGTTTGTTTAAGCCTTAAGCTATTTGTCATGTATATAAGCTTAGTTCTTACTGTATCGTTTTATTAAGAAAGAAAATCAATACAAAATCAGATTAGATTCTCTCTGCTTCTTCTTCAATTCTTCAATGTTCTTCAAATCCTTATTCAGGTTTATGGGGAGTTGGGTTACTCCCCCATTGCCAACTGATTTTCGGGTGGAAACTCAACTTCCTTCAAATCTGTCCCCTATGACAACTCAACCAGACTCTTCTTCTCCTTCTTCTTCTTCTTCTTCTTCTTCTTCTTTTCCATATGATGTCTTTCTGAGTTTTAGAGGAGCGGATACACGCACCAATTTTACAGATCATTTGCGCAATGCTCTGGTTGGTAAAGGGATCCACACCTTCATTGATGATGATGAGCTTCGGAGAGGAGAAGAAATATCGCCAGCCCTTGTCAAAGCAATTGAAGAATCAAGAATTTCTGTCATTGTATTCTCGGAAAACTATGCATCTTCAAGGTGGTGCTTGGATGAACTTGTCAAGATCCTTCAATGTAAACAATCAAAGCAACAAGTAGTTATGCCCATTTTTTACAAGGTGGATCCGTCGGATGTACGAAAGCAAACAAATAGTTTTGGAGATGCATTTAAAGGCCTTATTCAAAGCAAATTCAAGGATGACAAGAAAATTCAAGGATGGAGGAAAGCTCTTACGGAAGCAGCAAATTTGTCTGGATGGCATTTCGAGGAGGGAGCGTATGTTTCTATCTTTATCATTTTTAATTTTGTTTTTTTTTTTTTTTTTTTTTTTCTCTCTCTTCTATCTTCTCTACACTATTTACACATTGTACTCATTATTAAAGAAAAGTATGCCTTCGTAAAAATATTAAATTGTAGGGAGAATATCTTTATTTTAATTTTTTTTGTATTTTTATATTTTTGATAGCGGTAGGGCATTATGTTTAATTTTGTGTCTTGATTCTATATTTCAGGGTTATCTATCTTTTTCAAGTTAAGTTAATTTCCTTCTCTTTTTTACTTTGGTTACATTTAATTGTTACTCATTAAAGAAAAGTATTCTTTTGTAAAAATATACAACTGTAGGGAGAAGATTTATTTTCTTGGGTCCTTCTGTATTTTCGATAGCTGTAAGAAAATTTATTTTCTTGGGTACTTTTATATTAATCTCTTCAAAAGGCATACAAGCATAAATGATACGTACTACATCTGCGTGGTTGGATGTTTAAATCTAATTCATTACATGTGTCTAATTTGGTTAAACAAGCAGGTATGAAGCTACATTTATCAACAACATCGTTGATGGAATCTTCAGCAAATTACCTCCCACATATTTGTATGTGGCCAAGTACCCAGTTGGAGTTCAGTCTCATGTACAAGATGTGGAAATGCTTTTGGATGTTGGTGGGAATGGTCGTCGCATGGTTGGGATATGGGGGACATCTGGAATAGGCAAGACAACAATTGCAAAAGCTATTTTTAATGCAGTTTCTCATAAGTTTGGAGGTAGTTGTTTCTTGGAAAATGTTAGAGAAGGAAGCTTAGTCCAGCTACAGAAGACTCTTCTTCAAGAGATTCTTGGTGGTAAAAAGTTGGAAATTGCTAGTGCTGATAAAGGTATCTTTATTATCCATAAACTATTGAGGCATAAAAAGATTCTATTAATTCTTGACGATGTGGACCAATTGGAGCAGTTAGAAAAATTGGCTGGAGATGATTGGTTTGGTGAGGGTAGTAGAGTAATCATTACTACAAAAAATAGGAGATTGCTAAACAATCGTGAAATTGAGTTGATATACGAGGTGAAGAAGTTAGACTACAACCAAGCTCTTGAGCTCTTCAGTTGGCATGCATTCCGAAGAAGTGAACCTCGACAAGATTATTTGGGACTCGCACGACGTGCAATAGCTTTTGCTGATGGCCTTCCACTAGCTCTAACAATTTTAGGTTCTCATCTTTGTGGTATAGATATACCACATTGGCAAGTTATATTAGATAGTTACGAAGGAGAACCTTATACACATATTGAAAGAATACTTCAAAAAAGTTATAATGCCTTGGAAGATCCCGCAAAAGCATATTTTCTCGACATTGCATGTTTCTTCAAGGGTGAATATAAGAACTATGTGCAACAAATAGTACCCCAAAAATACATTGAAGAATTTGTTGATAAGGCATTGATAACTATTGAATGTAACAAGATTTTAATGCACGACTTGCTAGCAAACCTGGGCAAGGATATAGTTCACAAAGAATCCCCCTATGATCCTGGCCAGCGTAGTAGATTGTGGTTTTATGAGGATGTCATACAAGTTCTAATGGGAACTACTGTAAGTATCACATGTGTTATTATATATTCAATTTGACATGAAAGAATACCTTATGTTACCTTAATTTTCTTAACAAAATGTGCTTGCATTTTGGTTTGTAAAATGACTCCGTTTTTTAATCTTAATGCTTTTCTATCTTAGGGAACAAGAAATATTAAAGGCATCATTGTGAAGCTTCCAAAACCAGCAGAGATAACCTTGAATCCAGAATGCTTCCATAATATGGTGAATCTTCAAATTTTCATAAACCATAATGCATCTCTATGTGGGGACATTAACGACCTGCCCAACGCGTTAAGATTGATTGATTGGGATAGATGTCAGTTACAATCTTTGCCACCCAATTTTCAAGGAAAACGTCTTGTTGAGTTCAATATCCCTCGCAGTCATATCAGACAATTGGATGGATTTAAGGTATGCATTTGAAATTATTTTCATCCATTATATCTAATTTGAAATACAGTTGTTAATTTCAGAAGGAAAAAAATGAAAAATTGTTTTCTAAGTTTTTGTCTTTTGAAGCGTGTGATTAATTATTTCCTGTTTTTGTGTTCTTCTCTCATAGCATTTGCCAAACCTGACATCTATGGATTTGAGGGGTTGTCAATTCTTAGAAAAAATCCCAGACCTATCCGGAATCCCAAACATAGAGTACTTGAATCTACGCGAGTGCACACGTTTGGTTGAGGTCGATGGTTCTATTGGACTCCTTGATAAACTTGTTGTATTGAATCTTAGTAGATGCGTTAAGCTTACGAGGTTTGCAACAAGACTTAGATTGAAATCTCTTTTAGCACTTAATCTTAGTGATTGCAAAAGGCTTGAGAGTTTCCCAGAAATAGAGGAGAAGATGGAATCACTATATACTTTGATCATATCAGGAAGTGGTATAAGAGAATTGCCTGCATCAATTACATCTCTTACTGGGCTTCAAGTATTAGAACTTCGTGGATGCTTCAATCTTACAAGGTTTGCAACAAGACTTAGATTGAAATCTCTTTTAGCACTTGATCTTAGTGATTGCAAAAGGCTTGAGAGTTTCCCAGAAATAGAGGTGAAGATGGAATCACTATGGAGTTTGGACATATCAGGAAGTGGCATAAGAGAATTGCCTTCATCAATTGCATATCTTACTGGGCTTTCTCACTTTAGAGCTGATTATTGTGAGAACCTTACCTATCAAAAAGTGAACTCTCAAGTTTCATCCAGCAACTCCGAATTACCGCTGCTTCCCAACCTATCAAAAAGTGATTTCCTCCTGCCCCTTGATTGCTGGTCCACATTAACAGATCTTAATCTATCGGGAAACGATTTTGTCATTCTTCCGAGATGGTTTAGCAAATTGGTCAACTTGCAGCATCTTGACTTGCGTGATTGCAAGAGTCTTCTGGAAATTCCAGAACAAGTGTTTCCACCAGGAGTAGGATCCGTATCGCTGGATAACTGCACATCATTGGAAAAAATTCCAAAAATGTCTTGGGTATTGTTGGATAACTGCACATCATTGGAGAAAATTCCAGAATTCTCGCCGGTGCATAACAATATGGATCTGGATTTGAACAATTGTGTTAGACTACGCAGCTACGACATCACAGAAAATATTTTTCTGAATCAGGTTTCTGTTTCCCATCCGCATTCTGAATTCAGCATCAATCTTTCAGGCGGTGAAGTTCCAAAGTGGTTCAGCTGTCGTAAAGATGCAACAATAGTTAGACAATATTTGAGTTCAGGTATTGGAACAAAGAGATACGAATACGATGCTGGATGTGCAGTTAGTTTTGAAATTCCTCCAAATTTAAAATGGGAGACGTTAAGATTGGTTCTATTTCTGTATGTTGTTACTGGTTGTTCTGTTTATATTCTTCTCGATGGAAAACTCGTCAATGAGTTATCTTTTGGATTTATGGGTCATGTGCACCTCAGGTCTATTCCATTATTGAATTTGAATAGGTACGAGTACGAGTTTGAAGAACCACTGACGAAGCAGGGTAATACGTGTCAAGTTATATTTGACTTCTTTGTCGAAGTGCCCACACCCGTTAAAATTCCCTGCGGGGTCCACCTATTAGGCCACCAGGTTGCTAATGTCATTGAGACTGTTGTTGTTGATCATGATCAACACCAAGACTGCGAATTGCTTTCCTTGTCTTTAGCATCAAAGACTAGTCTTGGCAAGAGGCCTCGCCAATCAGATTACATGGCACTTGACGATGATCATCGTGCTAACGTCGTCGACATTGGTGATCATGAAGCTCAAGGGCTTACCTTGTTTACAGGACCAGCGGATCACCAAAAGAGGAGGCACATTTATCCTAAAGTGGAGCCAAAGTATATCTGGTCATATATCTGCGTTTCAATTCAAATTTAGCAATATTTTGCTGTGCATCTCTGGGGTTTTTTTTTTTTGGTCAATAAGAACTTTCATTAACAGGGGAGCAATGGAAAAAAGATTACAACTCGAAGGAAAGGAGAAGCAGAGACAGAGAGTCTTGGCCATCTTGAACAATGCATACTATACAAGCATCTCTGGGGTATATGTTGTTGTTTTCAGGGTGTGAGTTTTTTTTCTTTTTGTTTTGGGTTAAATCCTTTTTCTTAGTGCTCTATATTCAACATTAAATTTTCAGGCAATGAAGTTCCAAAGTGGTTTATGTGAGCCCCAGGTTCAGATGTCAAAACGAACCAAATTTCCGGCAATGATCTAGTAATCAAGAGGTGTGTTGAGGCGCTAGCAATTTCTGAGATTCCATTTTAAGTTGCGCATAAGGCAATACCGTTCTTCTCAATTGATGCATCCAGCATTTATCTGCGGATGAACAAAGCCGGATTTATCTAATGCTTTCATTCCACACATATTTTGTCTATGATTCTTCTATCTCATTCACTGGAATTGATGTATGTTCGGGGAAAAATGTAACATATTTATCTATTTCATAATTTCCAATAAAGGTTTATTGAAAATCAGACATTAATTGTAAACAGGCATCCAAATATGTCCAACATATTTCTGTTGAAAGATTATGTCTCATTATACTAGTGATGTTGTTGGTATTGGCAAGGTACAAGAATCCCAGCATGTCTAAATCATGTGAAGTTGCAGCAACTCAACTGCAGGATGTTTGATAATCCTGCAAAAGACACGAAATGGGATTTGGAACAATTGAAACTGCAAGATGAAAAGTTTGATGGGCAGCGATAGTATCATCCATATTGTGTAGTTTTCGAACTCCTGTCTAGATTGCAAATGGATTCTGGTTCTTTGAATACCAGTTGTTTGAACAGCCCTGGTAGAGCTAACATCTCCAATGACTCCATTTACCCAAAAAGAATTTGGCTTTAGAAACTAGGAAAAAAAGGCCAGGAATTACAACTATATTCTTTGTTCACGAAAGCACATTATTATTGTCATTGCATGACCGGATAGCTACTACAGCTGTCGAATGTTCAATTTTATGCACCAAAAATTACAAGGGGCTTGTCATGGTCAAAAAGATAACTAGAACTTACAATGTGAACTGACACCGAGTAAAACTTATGACAGGAATAAATGTCCCTACAACAAAAACGAAAATTCACTTCATACAGAATTATTATAACAAGGGAGCAGTACACAGCAGTGTAAATGCAGACAAATACGCACAGCATCCATGAAGCACGCCAAACCGCCCACATTGCCTCAAATAAAAAGCTCCTTATTGAATTGGCTCAAAACAACATATTCAAGCCTATACCTCATTTTTCAGCAGGAAACTAAAAGAAAATAAAACCAACCGTAGAAAAACAACTGATTCAATTATGCAAAAATTAGGTTATACTGAACAAACATGGAGCAATTTTATTATCACCCTAGACCAAAGTGAGGGTAAAACAGTAACTTCCATGACTTTACCAACCCCTACAGCAGCAAAGTTCTAGAAGATGGCACCTTGATAGCCAACTAGTGCAGCAAACTTCCATGTTCATTATATGCACCTCAGGTAGGATATCAAATTCTCTCTGAGTTGAAATTTCAAAGGCATATATTTTCAAAAGAAGAACAGACACACTTCAATTTGAACAAGTAATGTTGAAAAGTGATTCGGCTAGGGTTCTAGGAATATGAAGTCTTGGAAGAAACTTCAGAATATTTCATTATGTATATTTACAATAGGACACAAGACTTATATAATACAAGGTAGTCTATTCTAGGAAGGAAATAGAACATAATTACATTGATTTACACGGATCAAATCTGTTCCTATGATCAAGGAGAATCAATCAAGTATCCTAAACGATATTATCTTCCAATACTCCCCCTCAAGGTGGAGTGTGAATGTCAAGAACACCCATCTTGCCAAGTAGAGAACGGAATGCTGATTGTCCAAGTGGCTTGGTGAATATATTGGCAAGCTGCTGTCCAGTAGGTACATAAGCTGTCGAAATAACCCCAGAGCGTATGCGCTCACGAACAACATGATAGTCGATCTCTATGTGTTTGGTGCATTCGTGAAAGACTGGATTGGCAGCTATGTGAAGTGCAGCTTGGTTGTCGCAGTGTAGCTTTGCCGGACTCTTGTGATCAATGTGCAGGTCAGCCAATAAGAACATCCACACAAGCTCACTTGTAGCAGAGGCCATGGCACGATACTCGGCTTCAGCTGAGGATCGCAAAACAGTGGATTGTTTCTTGGTTTTCCAAGATACTAGAGCACCCCCAAGGAATATACAATAGCCTGTGACAGATCTTCTCGTAAGTGGACATCGAGCCTAGTCGGCATCGCAATATCCTTGCAACATTAAACTCCCATTTGAAGGAAAAAGAAGCCCTTGTCCAGGTGACCCCTTTAAGTATCGTAGAAGACGGTGAACTGCATCAAGATGAGGCTTTCTTGGTTGTTGCATGAATTGGCTGAGTATATGAACCGAGTATGAAATCTCCGGCCTAGTGATCGTGAGATAAATGAGTTTCCCAACGAGCCTCCTGTATTTCGAGGCATTGTGGAGAAGTTGCCCTTCCGTGGAAGATAATCTCAAGTTTTCTTCCATGGGAAACGTTGCAGGCTTTGCACCGAGTAAGCCGGCTTCATCAAGAATGTCAAGTGTGTACTTACGTTGGGAAATGGAGATTCCTTGAGAAGACCGAGCCACCTCCCCACCAAGGAAATACTTCAAGTGTCCAAGATCCTTAAGTCGAAAGTGGGACTGAAGGAATTGTTTGAGATCATGGATGTCAGCCTCATCATTGCCTGTTATAATCATGTCGTCGACATAAATCAAAACAGCAGTAAATGATTTTCCACGCACCTTAGTGAATAGGGAGTAGTCGGCCATTGACTGCTGGTAGCCGGCTTGGTTTATGGCAGTGGAAAATTTATGAAACCAGCTGCGAGAGGCTTGCTTGAGGCCATGGAGGGACTTGTTGAGTCGGCATACATTATGCTCCCCCTGTGAACAAAGCCCAGGAGGCAGCTGCATATAAACTTCCTCACTAAGATCACCGTGAAGGAAGGCATTATGAACATCCATTCGACATCTTTTGAAAGACAAACTACGACAGTGCACTGTCGTCTATTAAATGTAAAAACGACGCTTTTACTACAAATTGTTGTCTATTAACTGTAAAGACAACGGTTTTTTCAAAAGAACTGCCGTCTATTATTTCTAAAGAAGGACAGGTTCAACGAGATCCACAAGACAAAGAGCACGAAGGGCCGAGAATTTCAAAAGAAAGGAGGCTAGGGTTTGGTAACCAGACCCGCCCCGAAATTCCTGGGAAACCGGGACGGATCCCGTCTTGTTATCGACATCACCCCGATGCCGGTCCCACTTACTAAAAACCGAGACTTTCTACCAAAATTTTGGTAGAGTCTCCCCAGTAAAATGCACAAACCCAACAAAATTCAACCTACAATATACATAATATAATCCCAACCAACAACATTCTTTCAACAAACAACCATACACAGTAAATGGCCTCCGACCTCAAGTAAAAACCTAACATGGGCAATAACAGAGTGTCTAACAGATTTAGTTTACAACAACAGTTGAGTAGAAGGAAATTACTCAAATCCTAACTATGGAAGTTCACAGTTCGAGCCTCATACACCACTTGCACGCTTTCTGGAGCGACTACTGTCTGGGGGGCGCAAAACAAAAAACATGTGAGCGGACGAAAACAAGGTTTGCATTTAAAACAACATAATAACCCCACCGTGTAAAAAAATGCTCAAAGCATGCAGATTCACAATTCATAATCAAATGCTCAAAAACATGTTTCACTGAAACTCTTTAAAACCACAAATCGCTCCATCCATAAGCTTCATCCCCAAAATTATACTGCTCTTACCAATCCACCACACATACTCTAATTGCTTTACACTCACACCTATATATAAATAAATGTATAAATATAAATATATCATATACTTCTTACACTACCTAGGTATCGGGAAAACAATCCAACCAGGGGATTGTTTGGCTAGCCCACAGGATTTCTAGGTGCTATCCTGCGTCTAGCGATGAGCGGTCCAACTGGGGGACGAAACTCCATAGTTCACACACCGGAACATCCAACGCCATGTGTAGCTTCAACACTAAGTCCTACACGCGCAGACTACATCATCACACACCGGAAATTCCAACGCCATGTGTGATGATCCCAAGCAATATACATAATCTTCCCATACGCCGGAAATTCCAACGCCACGTATGGGAAGTGTCTCACACGCCGGAAAGTCCAACGCCACATATGGGAAGTGTCTCACACGCCGGAAAGTCCAACGCCACGTGTGAGACTAATAACAACATGTTCTTCCCACACGCCGGAAATTCCAACGCCACATTTGGGAAGCCTAGTAAATGGGGAAGGTACTTACATAGTGTAATCATACATTTTCTCTCAACAACCCCTCATACTCAAATCCTTCCACAATCTCACTTCAACAACCCAAGTACCCCACACATAGACAATATAGATAGAATTTCCCAATATCCATATAAACATATTCTCGATACTCAAATAGGTCAAAACCCACAATATATTGCCAAAGTGCTATAAGAGCATCTCCACCCACAAGGGCTAAGTCTAAGGCAAGGGCAAGCAAGGGCTGCCACTATTCACGTGAATAGTGTCAGCCTTTGCATTTGTGGTTCCACCCATGAGGGCAAAGTCTAGGGCAAGTCTAAGGCAATTACTATTCATTGTACTTTATTTCCTATTTGTTTATACTTTAAACTATTAATTTTGATAAGCTTTTTAGATTATATTTTCGGTTGTCACGTGTCACTATTTATTATAAAATTTTCATTTAAAATTTAAGATAACATTTTTCGAATAAAATTTTCAAATAAAATTTTTGGATAAAATTTTTCGAATAACATTTTTGGTTTTGCCTTGACTAATCTATTAAAAAAAAAGAAATTGGAAATGCAAGAAATATATATATATAAAAAGACATTAAATTGAATAAAATTTTTTTTTTTTTTTTTTTTTTTTTTTTTTTTTTTTTTTTTCCTTGTTGCCAATTTTCAAGATGTTGTGAATTGATGTGAAAAATAATTGGAAGGAGATGAAGTTTTTATGAAGATTTGGTGTAGAAAGTGAATAAAATGGTTAGGTATTTATAGGGAAAAAATACAGAATTTTTTGGTATTTAAAAAAAAATTCAGAATTTTTCAGAATTTTTTCGAATTTTTTTTGAATTTTTTAAAAAAAAAAAAAAAAATAAAAAAATAAAGTTTTACTGTGCGTTGACGTCAGCCAACTCGGGCTTCAGCCCGGGCAAGACTTGCCCTTGGGCTTGCTCGGGCACGTGGGACCCACCACCAAACCAGGCTACGGGCCCTGCGCTGGAGCTGCCTCTGGCAGCCTTTCCCCCGGGCTGGGCTTCGCGCTGGAGATGCTCTAAGAACATCAAATCCCACAACCGAATATATATTATACTCCATATACCATTGAAAACATATGCATAAATCTTTCATCAAGAAAACCATGCGTATGATTGAAAACAAAGTCCACTCACAAATAGTCCCAAGCTGCTTGACCTTGAGAGGGTCTCGCATGCTATGTACGATCGATCGGAGCACCTATTCCGAGATACAAACCCTTAATTAATAAAGAATCACTTCGAAACGGAAATCACAAATTAGATACTTAAATCTCCAAGTTCCCTGTGCGTGTACGTAGAACAAGATATCCTAAGGTCCGACTACGGGTTTAGGAATCGCTTATAATTGAACGGTTATCGCTAACCCACAAACTTTAAATTATTGAATTGGAACATCTGGGGCTCCGATTCACAATCCGCGAAATCCTACACGATTCTAGGAGTACCTAGATCAACATATTTTAATTCGGAAACGATCCAATGGTCAGAACCTATCGAATCCGGATAACGCACAATATGCGAAATCTGTTTGATAGTCAAACGACGTCCGAATTGAGATCCGCAAAATCCTACTCACTCGTGACAACCTGAGGATCTCAACAGGACAAAATGTAACTTCACCACCCTTTCCGACGCACCGCCACACACGCTGGCAGCGCGTGGGTGTGTAGAGTAAATTCTGGCGACGGAAAAACTTCACACCACCGCTCACCCTTCCTATGCTAGATATAACTCGAGGCAAGGATCAATTCATTCAACTACGGGAAGGTCCAATTTGGACGGCAGCTGGCCGGAATTTCACTTTGAAATCCGGCCAAAACCTAGGTTGAAAATTAACTTCCAAACTTCAAAATCATTCCAATCCTACCCATAAACAGCTAGAACAGACAAAAAGAGGAAAATCGGTGAAAAACCAGTCGATGCTATGGCCGGGATTCGAGGTTTCCGACCAGGAAACTGGGTGGTTCAGGTTCGGGGCTTCGAGGGGAATCGATCGAGACCAGTCTTGTCGGAAGGGGTGGCCGGACGTGGCGGCGGTAGCACGGGGGCGGGGTGGTGGGGGTTTGCGCACAGAGGGAGAATCGGGACAGAGAGAGAGTGTGGGGTAGAAAGTGACAAATCAGATTTTTACCCTAACTCGTTTCAAAATATTTACAGTTTTGCCACCGAACTAGTTTTGGTCGCCAAATCTTTGTTACAACTCCGATTCAAGCCTACCGCGTGTCTACGGATTCATCTCAGTACAACCGACCCAAAAATTCCAGTCATTGCCCCAAACTCTTCCCGAGGAAGAAAAAGACGAAAATACCCCTACCCCAAAGGTATATTCGTAATGTCACTTAAATAATTTAAATATGGGATTAAATTTGGAGTCGGGGTGTTACATTTGGTGCTTTACAATTATCAGGAGCTTTAGAACAAAGATTGAAAAGATACGAACTTGAGGGGTTCGCGAAGGGCCACGAATTCACTTAAGCGAAATTTTTATTTGCCCGTCTTGGAAAGACGACCGCGACTTCTTTCAACCGTCGTGCTATTAAAATCAACTAATTTGAAAGACGACGGTGACTTCTTTCAACCATCGTGCTATTAAAATCAACTAAGGGTTTCGGACTCCACAACGACGGTTATTATAACACCAGTCATGGTTTGTAATGGTTTTTTAAACCACAACGGTTTTTTCGTTTTGCGTCATGTATCGTTGTTTTATATTATTGTAGTAGTGGTTCTACATGAGGTCATTGAAATAACGAAAATTGGGAAAGTAAATGAAATTTCCCTTATATGCATCTTAAACAACTATTCCCTGACCTCGTTACCAAATTTAATAAGCATGGAAAATTCCTTCCAATCAAAGTGTAAAAAATTACAAACTTCCCAGTGATATTTGAATACGCCTATTCCTCCAAAACTGAGTTTGAGGGATACCTTGACAGATTCATCATTTGAATATGCCTCTGCCAGGAATATTCTTCCCAAAATTTCTACATGAAGAAAAGAAGCTTTGTCTCACCAAGTATACGCAAATATGACTCCACCCGCACATAAAGAAGTTTAATTCTCTAACATGCTGAAACATGGAAAGCAAGGAAATGGTTTAAGATAGAATGCAGAAGCAAGCAATGCACAAAATGTTGTACATGATACACTAATAGCAGTACTATAAAAAGGTGAATGCAGCACTATATCTTCTCTGCTCAATTTATCAGGGATTGTTGAACTCTATGGCAAAAAGAACGAAAACCCTCAGCAATTTTTGCAACCCCAAAATGTTTTTCATCACAAATAACGAACATGGAGTAATGCTTCAATTCCCATTGAGGTAAACTAAATCTCAAGGAAAAATCCACCTCTGAGGTCTCAAACGTTATACGCATCAAATGGTTTCAGAGTAACTTACATAATTTTATAACTAACTAGAACATGTGGCATCTGTAAGTTATATTTCAAATACTTTGACGTGAAAACTCATCCTCCTAACACGATGCGTCCATGATTTTCCCATCAATTGTTGATGGTCTAAGTTAATGGATGAGACTATTTGAGGAGTCTAAATATTTACGGGAGACATTGACCAAAAGTTCAACAATAACCTTTGAAATCACACAAAATTTAGGGGGGCATGCTATAACATTTCTTTACCATATAATAACTAAAATAGCACCTTTTTAATGACATTGAATAAACCATTTATAAACATAAGGTGCAAAATTAAAGTTACATACTGCAGATTACCTCAATTTACTATCTGCAGAATCGTCATCCTCTCCAAATCTCCAGCATGTTCAAACACTTTATTCAGTGTCAGACATGGATGACAGTGGCTGTTTCATAAGCAATAACAAAATACTCCATCTATATGTATTACTCTTACCTGGATAAACCATTGATTACTTGGTGCAAATTGCTTTGCATGCTCCACACATCGAGAAGCTATATATGTTTTGTAATCAATATCAATCATACAATCCACAATCATTTCCACATTGGAGGACTTGGTCATCTTGTACAATAGTTAAAATGTTTTTCGCTTTAGAATATCATCTGGGTCCTGCATCATGCACATCAAACTTCATCTAAATTAAAAGTTTAAAGCATGATTTGAAACCAATCCATCAAACCCAACATAATTCTCTCACCTATAAGCAATCAGTACCCATATATTTATTGCTCCGCCATCTCTAGACTAATCTTTATTAGTCAACCAAGGGCATCGATGCCCATATATTTCAAATTATGACTGTCACTCTGTCCACCAAATATACTTCAAGGAATTGGTGTTTGACTCTCCAAATAATCTACATGCAGACTATAATTTGCAGGAAATTACACTGAAAAATACAAAAACTTCGAACCTTCAAAAATCTTGAGAAATGCAACAAATACACTCATAAAGTATAACATTTCCCATATTACTGGTAGAATCGCATTTCCTAAAAATATCGCTGACTACCATATACATCTTCTCACTCGATTGCTTATCACCACTCCCCAATAACGCCAAGATCTTCAACAATCTAATCCACTCCCCAACAATAAAAAACCTTAGCGGACTTCTTAAAAATAGATAACTTGCGCCCCAAGTTATTGATTTCTAAACAACCGATTGTGAATTTGGGTGAGGAATATCTCCCAAGTAAGTTCTTTTCTTGCCTCAGACTAGTGAGGACTTCACAATTTTTCACAGTACAAAATTGGTGGTTCTGGCCATAATAGATGAAAAGAAAGTAAACTGTTTTAGGCATAACTGGCTATTACAGGACTTAAAAACGAAATGACAACTCCAAAACAAGACAACAGAATGTTAGACTTCGATTTCTGCCAGGATAACTGCTTCTAAACCAGGCTGGACTGGGTATGTCTGTGCTGGATTGGACCATCAACACCTTCAACTGTCAAGTTTCAGCTGTAAATCGATACCAACATTTGAATTTGGCAGAGCTTTAATCTATTTCAAGCCCTGAAAGGCTATTTGAACGGGCATAATAGAAGGGGCAGAAGTGGCTGGATTTGATGATTACTGAGCTGGAACTGCACTATAGTACCTGTTCTGCTTGATCAGGGCTTTTCATAAATTTGTTGAGGTTTTCATATTTGTAAAAACCCGAACTCTGCTTGATTTGGCTTATGCTGAACCAAATTTGTAACGAGAGAAATCTCATTTTGTAGAACTATTTCTCTGAACTGAACTGAAATAAGAGATTTTGAGTTATAGCTTACTTGTTTCTTGTGGCTCAACGAGCTTTGGTTGCTTCAGTGTTTGATCAAGTGATCATTTTGAGTTTGTAAATTGTGACCTTGAGAGTTTTTGTCTTGATTGGTTTTTTTTGGTTGCCCTCTATCTGTCCACCCTCTCTCTTATTTTATAGGAAATGTTGTAGTGGGGTTTTTCTTAATCTTTGAATAATGGGAGCCAGATCTTTTCAAAATCTTTTCTCTTTTCAAAGCCTTAAAAAAAGGAAGTTATTGTTTTGGCAGATAAGAACCATCAATAATCAGCTTTCATGGAGGTCTTTTCCTTGCTTTTCTGAAAGAAAGACCAACTCTCTTTGTTCTCTGTTTGTTCCATGTAAAGAGAAAGAACACAATTTGTCATGATGGTTAGTTTGCTTTTCCTGTTGAACAACTCCCTTGCTCCCTACTTATCTCTTGAGAACATAGTCTGCTTATCTCTTGGAAAGGCCACCTGTTTTGGTGCAGAGTTCTTCTGTATATATAAAAAGGGATTTTGATCTTATGGCTGCAAAAATTTGGAGCAGTCTTCCTTTTATACATGCCTTCATTAACTCTCTATCAATTCCTCTGTGATAGTTGAAATTTTTTACTTTTCAAAGTCAGGCTGTCACGTGGGGCTTTTTCGGGAAAACATTTCTTTAGTGAGAAACGATCTACTGATTTGCTTTTGAGATCAAGTGGCGAGAATTCTTTAGAAGTTGAGCTTAATCCAATTTCTTAGAGGTTTTTGACCTGCTTGGTGATGAATTACCATTTAACTGGCAATTTTATTGGTTTATTTACTTATTATTTTTGAGTTTTTGAACATTTGCCACTTTTGCAAAAGACATGGGCCTCTAATGTTGTTTTGGGCTGCTTCCTTTTCTTCAAAGCCCAAGACTATTTATTTATCATGGGCTTGACAAATTCTGGGCTGGGCTCGCAGAATTTCGAGAAATTAATCTAGACTTTCTCTATTTTGGGCTGTTCCTCAGCTTCTTTTAAACATCAAGACCAAGTTGTGCTCATGTTTGTGAGCTGCATAAAATAGGCTGGGTTTGCAGTTTTTAGGCCCAAACAGTAGCACATCACTGCAATACATAATAAAACTAATCCCCTTGTCTTTCTTTTCCTAGTAAAGGTTGAATCCATAGTAGACCCACCCCTTCCTAGAAAAATTGATTGCCTTCCCTTATTCTAAATTGAGCCATAGCATGAGCCATACTATTACCTTCATAAGACTGATAAACCACCTTTGCATTACCCAACTGCACCAGCAGCATCTGAATATCATCAACTAGATTACCCACATTACTCAACCACCCATTAGTGCCATTAATCATATTCACAGCTTCTTGTGAATTAGAAGCGACAGTCAAATAAACCATACCTTTTACAACTGCCAAAAGTAGCCCGCTACGAATAGCCCCCAACTCAATTCCCAAAATATCAAATCCATCTGAGCCAACAGCCGCAAAACAGCAACAAAACTCACCATGGCAATCAAGAACCAAATCGTCCACCTCTTCGCCTCCTATTCCTCTTAATAGGACCATCACAATGCAAAACCAATTGTCCAACAGGTGGTTTAATCCACCTAAGATACCAAAGCACCCGATCAACTTTTGTCTTTCAATTGCATTCTTTATATTGTGCATATAAGTCCCTTACCTGATTTGTAGCCTCCTACACAAAAGCTTGTGGTTTACCATAGATATAAGAGTTGCGCAACTGCCATACTTTCTAGCAAATACATACAAAAGACTCAAACTCCAAACCCGTTAAAACATCAGTAGCCTTCTCCAAAAAGTCTGCAAATGAGCCACCTGCCACCTTCACCCTATGCCAATACGAAAAGTCTGCAAACAATTGCATTACCAGAGAGCATGCATAGTAGTCTCCCCTTCCCTACCACACCTAGAGCATAGCGAAGAAGAAATCACTTTCCTCATAAATAAATTAACTGCAGTCGGAATAATATCAGATGCAGCACGCCACAAAAATCATTTGATTTTCTTCGGAATCTCCAACCTCCACAACCTCTTCCAAAACGTCATCTAAGCTCCCATATCTGATGAACTCCCTTCCCCTTCGTCGCATAAATTGCACTGCCTCAAAGCAATCCGATAGCCCGTTTTCATAGAATACGTACCATTCTTCTCGAAAAAAAAAATTGTCTATCACTTCTTTGAACCATGGAAGAAAGGCGTATGCTCAAGATAGCCTCCTTATCCTCCTCACAAAAAACTTGATCAATTAGGGACGTATCCTATCCCTCATTAGGCGTTATCAAATTCGATACCATTGCATGTTGTGGAAGCCCTTTGTTGAGGAGAGGCTTGAAGGTAAAAGGTTTAGGGATGCATTGATCTCGGAACACCCTAATAGATTGCCTATTACTAACTTGCCACACCAGACCTTGCTCAATTACTTGTCTGCCCCAAAATATAGCTCACCAAACTAAGGAAGGACAATTCCCCGCCTTTGCATGTTGGAAATCCCTCACAGGAAAATATCTTGCATCATAATATGAGCAACTAAGGAGTTGGGATTCTCCAAGAGTCTCCATGCTTGCTGCACCACCATAGCTTTATTAAAAGCCTCAAAAATTTTGAATCCAAGCCCCTCTAAGCATTTAGGTCTACAAAGTTTTCGCCAACACATCCAATGGATATTGCGTTTCCCTACTTTCCCCCACCAATAATGGGCAATCATCGCCGAAAAATCCTGACAGAAGGTCTGTAGCAATTGAAAACCCCTATAGTATAAGTGGGAAGTGCATGAGCCATCGATTTGATGAACACCTCTTTCCCAGCTGAAGAAAGCAACTTTGAACTCCATCCATATAGTTTACTCCATAACATATCTCGCACATGCTTAAACATCTGAAAGCAGCTTTGCCTCCCAATCATAGGTAAACCAAGGTATTGCTCATGTCAAGGAACAATACTCACCCTAAGCATGCTACAAATTAATCGTTGCATCACTAGATCAGTGTTTGGACTAAAACAAGCCTTTGAGTTATCAAAATTAATTTTTTGCCTAGACGCCTTCTTATATTTTTTACCCGAAAAATTCGTTGTGAAGCTGTGAACGATTCTTGGGATGAGTCGCGTACAAAGTCGCTCTCTTTAAGACGTTTCGCGGCTCTGCCCAATTTGTGCAAGCAGTTCAGAAAAGGCCACTACGTCCCTAGGAAAAACAGCCCCAGAATCTCCTCTATCTAGGTTCTTCCTTGCACTGAGGAAGGACCCGAATACAAACACCTTTCTATGTTGCTCAGAAACCTTAGTTTAGAAAATAAGAAAACGATATGAAGAGGAGGAAGGCAGCAGCTATAGTCTGTGTCCTTTCTCTCCTAGCAAAATCAAATATAAATACAATATTTATCACAAAGAGATGTTGTGGGCTTTAAGGACATCAATGCATCAGTTGAAAAAAGATTCAGCCCATATTAATAGAAAATAACTCCTATTAATAAACACAATTTAAGGCAATTATTGAAATATTGAATATATATATTTTTTAAATATAAAATAAACATACCAAATTCAACAATTGTTGATGCAGAGAAAATTAAAAGAACAATATTACCCGGAAAATTCGTTGTGAAGCTGTGAACGATTCTTGGGATGAGTCACGTACAAAGTTGCTCTCTTTAAGACGTTTCGCAGCTCTACCCAATTTGTGCAAGCAGTTCAGAAAAGGCCACTACGTCCCCAGGATAAAACAGCCCCATAATCTCCTCTGTCTAGGTTCTTCCTTGCACTGAGGAAGGACCCGAATACAAACACCTTTCTATGTTGCTCAGAAACCTTAGTTTAGAAAATAAGAAAACAATATGAAGAGGAGGGAGGCAACAACTATAGTCTGTGTCCTTTCTCTCCTAGCTAAATCAAATATAAATACAATATTTATCACAAAGAGACGTTGTGGGCTTTAAGGACATCAATGCATCAGTTGAAAAGAGATTCAGCCCATATTAATAGAAAATAACTCCTATTAATAAACACAATTTAAGGCAATTATTGAAATATTGAATATATATATTTAAAAATAAAATAAACATACCAAATTCAACGATTTTTGATGCAGAGAAAATTAAATGAACAATATTACCCGGAAAATTCGTTGTGAAGCTGTGAACGATTTTTGGGATGAGTCGTGTACAAAGTCGCTCTCTTTAAGACGTTTCGCGGCTCTGCCCAATTTGTGCAAGCAGTTCAAAAAAGGCCACTACATCCCCAGGATAAAACAGCCCCAGAATCTCCTCTGTCTAGGTTCTTCCTTGCACTGAGGAAGGACCCGAATGCAAACACCTTTCTATGTTGCTCAGAAACCTTAGTTTAGAAAATAAGAAAACAATATGAAGAGGAGGAAGGCAACAGCTATAGTCTGTGTCCTTTCTCTCCTAGCTAAATAAAAAATAAATACAATATTTATCACAAAGAGACGTTGTGGGCTTTAAGGACATCAATGTATTAGTTGAAAAAAGATTCAGCCCATATTAATAGAAAATAACTCCTATTAATAAATACAATTTAAGGCAATTATTGAAATATTGAATATATATATTTTTAAAAATAAAAAATAAACATACCAAATTCAACATATCCAATTTAAGAATCATTTTCTTCAAACCACTTCTCCCTCTTCGTTTAATTTCATGTATTGCCTCGAAGGCCGCAATAATATTATATATGATTAATCGCTTGGAACAGAAGCACTTTGGCACTTTGAAATGGCAGAGACATAACCTCCTTCAACTTGTTAAAAATAGTTTTTGGCACTAGCTTATAGAGCACCGAGCACAAACTGATAGGCCTATACTCAGTTACTCGAGAAGGATAAGCAACTTTAGGAATCAAGGTAATAAGCGTATGATTAACTTCCTGAATACTAGCGCCCCATTAAGAATGTTTAAACAAAATTGCTCTATATCAGTGGCCACCACTCCCCAGTACTTTTGATAAAAAAAGAGTAGACATTCCATCTACCTGGCAACTTAGTAGGAAACATTTGAGATAAAGTCCTTCTCACCTTACACTCAATAAAAAGGCAAAATCAACCTAATATTCTGCTCAATAGTAACCATAGGTCGTACCTTCTCTAAAATAGCATGACAATCTATAGACCCATTTGTCTAGAATAACTCTTGAAAATAACTGCAAAAAGTAGCACCAATATCCTCCTTAGTCGTACACCACGAATTTTGCTAATTAAAAATAGGGCTAACATCAAAAGACCCCATCTAGGTTTGGGGTCATTCTCAATATGGGCCCCAGAGTATCAATGTCATCAATTTACACTCCAATGTTTTCAAACTTGTCCAATTTTATCCTTCCGTTAAGGTGACCATGTGGTCAATCATTAAATGCTAATGTGGTCACCGTGGGACCCAACAATTTAAGTAAAGATAATTTAAAATTTTAGAAATTAATTATATAGCCAAACAAAAAAACGTAAAATTGAATAAAATAAAATAAAAGCAAACCCTACCCGGCCTCCTCTTTCTTGAGCCGCACCAACCCTTATCAACCTCCATTGTAACACCCTGACTCTATTCAATTTTCCAATTCAAAAGGTTAAAATTAAATTAAATGTGAAATTACGAAACTACCCTTGGGGTAGGGTATTTCGGTCATTTTCTTGTCCGGAAGGATTTTGGGACCACAAGTGGTTTGGTTGCGTAGGTGGTTCTGAGATGAATTCGTAGACAGGCGGTAGGCTTGAATCGGAGTTATAACGAGGTCTCGGCGATCAAGTTTCCTTCAGTGGCAAAATCGTAATTAATTTGAGAAGCGATAGGGTTAAAATCAGAAATTTCACTTATACCCCTACACTTTCGCTCTCTCTCCCGAGCCCTCCTCCCTTCGCGTAAAACCACCACCCCCCCCCCCCCCCCCCCCCCCCCCCGCCCAGCCCGAACCGGAAACCACCACGTTGCCACCACATCCGGCCACCTCAGCTCTCGAGACCGGTCCCAAAAGCCTCGTCTCGACGTCTCGGTCAAGATCCAATAGCTTTCGTCGCCGGAAAACTCGAGAATAGCCGGCAGTTTTGACTGGTTCGAGCCGGACTTTTCCGATCGTTGCACCGTCGCCTCCGCCGTCCATTTCAGGTAAAATTGGTGGGGTTTCTCTCTCTTTTTACATGTTTTAGATGGCTGTTGCATAGGAATTGTTCAATCTGCTGTTTAGAATCCGATTTGAGAAGCTAAGTTTTGGCCGGTTTTCAATTTGAAATTCCGGCCAGTTCCCGTACGAATTGGACTTCGTGGTAGTTGAATAAAGTGATCCTGATCTTGAGAAGAAGTTAGGGTAGGAAGGGTGAGCGTTGGTGTAGAGATTTTCCGTCGCCGGAAATTACTCTGCACACCCACGTGCTGCCGGTGCATGTGGCGGCGCATGCGCAAAGGTGGTGGAACTGCTAAATGTCCTGATGAGATCCTTAGGTTGTCACGAACACGTAGGATTTCGCGGATCTCAATTCCAAGGTCGTTTGACTATCGAACGGATTATTGCATCTGGTGCTTTATCCGGGTTCGTATCATGGTCAAATTGAAGTATGTTACTCTAGACACCCTTAGGATTGTATAGGATTTGACGGACCATAAAACGGAGTCCTGGATACTCCGGAAATGCCAACACTAGGGTTAGGGTTTTAGTAACCGTCCAATTGTGCAATCGTGAGCGATCTAACCGTCCATTTCGGACCAAACTTGCAGGATGTGTATCCTAGACCTCGTAAAACTTATAGAAACTCCCGAATTGAAAAACGGAGGTCGTGGGTCCCGTGGGCCCGGTTGACCCGAATTGGAAATTTTGATCGTCAGTTGACTGAGTGTCTTCCGAGGCTGTTTCATCATGCGAATTGGGTAGTTGGACCCTAGAACACCTCTTTCCTCGTACTCACTGGAAACCCCGGAAGCTAGGGTTTTATTTTAAAGTTCTGTTTCGAAGCGCTTGATGTTAATCGCATTTTCGTATTCTGAATCAGGTACTCCAACCCCGCATACGCAGCAGGCGGGACCCTCTAAGGGTCAAGCTGTGTAGGACTACTTATGAGTGGACTTTTCTTTCAAAACTTCAGCATGACTTTATTCATGCAAAATATGGCATATTGCTTTATTTTGTTTATTGAATATGGTATATATTCGAATGTGAAATTCGTGGTTTTCATAAAGTTTTGATAATATGTTTGAGTTTTGAGAATATATACACATATGGTTATATGTGGGGTACTTGGGGAGTTAATATGAGTTTATGAAAAGGTGTGATTATTGATATGTCTGTTTGGAGTGCTTTAAGCACTATCCTATGTACCTCCCCGGAACTGAAACTTAATTACTGATACTGATACACTTGGAATTATTTGAGCTCAGGACACCCTTGAAGGGATGTTGCTGTGGACCCTGGATTTGGGGTATTCTGCGCGCGTAGGACTGGTATTTCAGGCATACAAGCTTTGACTATGTCGGCTGTACGTGCTGGCTGAGAGTTTGTTCCCCAGTTGGACGGCTAGTTCCCTAGACACATGGTGCATTGAGGAATGGCTCTGCCATGTGGACTAGTCAAACAATCCCCCGGTTGGATTGTTTCCCCAGTACAACTAAATTGTGGTTATATTTATATATTCTTATTATTATATGTTATATTACTATTATATATATATGAATATTCGGTCGTTCTTATTTCTCGGTAAGGATACTTCCTCGCCGGTTGTACCATTGGGTACGTTTTCGAGAGTTTAATCTCTCGGGACTCTTAAGTTTTGAGTGGTGTGTTTTGTGAACTGTGATTCACGGATTTCGGATTTGGTATCCAGTATGATTTTTAGTATATGTTTATATATTGCTTATGACAGTTTTATTATGCATTTGGATTCGTTGCATGTGTTTTATAAAGGTGGGGTTATATTATTTTGATTTAATTGAACTGACTTAATTTTCATCCACTCACAATTTTCTGTTTTGCACCCCCAGCCAGTAGCAACTGAGCTCCACAGTCGAGCCGGACCGGGTGCTCTCGAAACTTGAGTCTTCGTAGGGACTCCTTCACCTTTTCCTTTCAGTTAAACTGTACTTCTGTTGTTTTTGAATTTCTTAGATATGCTTTGTATCGCCCGCTGAGGGTATAAATCGTGAGGCCGGAGGCCTTTGTTGTAAATTGTTTATTGCTTGTAAAGCATGCTGCCAGTTGGTTGTTTATAACTGTAATTAACAGGTTGAAGTTTGGGAATGTTCATTTTACAGGGGAGACTCTGTCAAATTTTTGGTAGAAAGTCTCGGTCTTTAGTAAGTGGGCCCGGCATCGGGGTGATGTCGGAATTTAGGCGGGGTCCGTCCCGATTTCCGAGGAGATTCGGGGCGGGTCCTATCAGCTTGGTATCAGAGCATTAGGTTCATTTTCCTTCGGCCTTTGCGCTTTTGTTGCATTGTTGAATCTAATGATTCTATGGTTTCCTTTTGTTTGTACCTAATAAATCACAGTCGTCAGAAGGGACCTCTTCTCGGCTGTGGCACCTGTCCATGGACTGAAACGACCACGTTTCGTCAGACACCTAACCTTTTCGAAAGCAGAAGAAAATGCGAAGGCAGGATCTTCTCGGCCTCACAACCACCGCATTATGGGCCGATGCCGAGGTCAATGAATGACCCGGTCGAAGAGACTGTGGTCAAATCGCCATGTGGCCTCAGGGTCCCACGCCCCATTTAATGAAGTAGTGCCTCTTACCGCCACAGCAAAACCATTGGGTGCAAGAAGCATTTAATACACGAGGGCAGAAGGGAAGTGATTGAAGTCAGGATTTTGTAACAGGGATCAGAGTGGTCAGGCGCAAACATTCTCACAAAGCATTCTCACAACTTGAGGTCAGGTCACCAACCACTGGACCAGAGCATTAAATGTGTTCCCACGGCCAAGGGGGCAGAGCCCACGATTAGGGCGGTGGCCGAGATTTGCCGAGATTTATGTGAGTCACACCACCATGCTTCTCAACCCAGACCACCATCCTTCACGATCCCAAATGCCGATTTGACTACCCACATGCCCCGATCTGACTCCACCCCGCAGATATTTTTAAGCCATCAGGCAGATCTTTTTTCAACCTCGATTGGCCCTCCAGGACTCCTCCTATAAATACTAAGCTCGAGACCACGTTCAAGAGGTTCAAACACCAAACCAAAAGCCTCCCACGAAGCAACTTATATTTTCTGCAATGCACTTTCAATACCTTTACATGCTTTCCTTGGAGTAGTGATAGATTGTAAGGAAAATCCATTCATCAATATATCATACGACCCTTGATTTCTCAAGGCGCCGGAGCATCATCCTTGTTACCGCCTCATTCACCCCATATATCATACGACCGTCGCTCTCCGAGCAACGCGCCGGAGCACCACTAAATGGCCTTATAGCTCAGGTCGTGAACCTGACGGCTGAGATAAGTTCCTCTCTCGGCCACAATCGTTTGACTAGAAGTCTAACTCCAAACAGGCGCATCATTTGAACATCTTCTACCCAAACCCCATCACCATCTCAACGCACGGTAGACCGTGCTGGCACGCCCGCGCACAACCGCACCGCATCCAAAAGAAGGACGTCACGTGTTGACGCACATCCCCGCGGCCCGGAGCATCAGGCCGCGAGATTTGCGACGGACAAACACCTTTGTGTAAAATCATGTATCCTCAGCGTCCTAGAACGAGGGGTGGTCGTGTTCCGAGATGGGGAGCAAATCCTCCACCTCCACCTCCATTACCCTCTCCACCTCCTTCACCTCCATCTTCACCATCTCCACCTGCCGAATAGCATGATGGAGGAAATGAGCCCGGCTTGCGGTGTCTCTTATCTCGGTTCACCCGCACTATGTCTACTACCTTACATGGGAGACGGAATATTGAAGGCTTGGACATAAAGAGGGTAAAGGAACTGGGAGCAAAAGAGTTTTATGGTGGTACTGATCCTGCTGAGGCTGATGCTTGGCTTACAGATGTCGAGCGAATATTTGAAGTTCTCCAGTGTCCTGATGGAGATAAGGTTCGCTTGGCCACCTTCCTGCTAAAGGGGAATGCATACCATTGGTGGAAGACAGTTCGAAGAGGGTATGCAAACCCTGCTGTCATTACTTGGGAAGAGTTCCAAAGGGCATTCTTTGATCAGTTCTACCCGCATACTTACAAGACTACGAAGAAGTCTGAGTTTCTGCATCTGAGGCAGGGTTCCATGTCAGTGTTCGAGTATGAGCACAAATTTAATGAGTTGCCCCGGTTTGCACCTGAGTTGGTAACCACAGAGGAAGATAAGTGCATTCGTTTTGAAGAAGGTATGTGGCTAGATATTCAAGCGGTGGTCACTGCTACAACGTATCCTACCATGAGAGCCTTGGCCCAAGTAGCAGACAGGGTGGCGAAGAAGTACAGTCTAGGTGCCGGTATTGGTAGGCGTCGCAGAGACTCATCTGGTTTTGGTGGGCCCAGTCAGGGTCCATCAAAGAGGGGTGGATCCAGCTCTAGTTCTGCGATTAGTGGTTGGTCTGGATGACGTGGGACCGGTTCCGGCAGTGGGGGGTTTGGCTCTCGACCACTCTGGAACCAGTCCTTGGGACAACAATCGGTGGGTAGTACAGCCAGGGATCCTCAATGGCAGTTTACTGCAACCTGTTATAGGTGTGGGCAGGCAGGACATGTTAGGAAGGATTGCCCAAACCGTGGGCAGGCTAGTGGCTCTGGTCAGAGGAGCAGAGTGAGTGCCCCCTTCTTGCTGTTGGTGGTACTGCTGCAATGGAGACTGGGGCCCAACAGGGGTAAGGCAGCTAAGCTCAGGGTCAGACACAGAGTGGTTCATCCTCGTCTGCAGCGTCGTCATCGAGTAGTGGAGTGCGGTCCACTTTTCAGGGCAGAGGCAATAGGGGTCAGAAGAGTCAGTCTGGACGCTCTACTACACAGGCCTGTGTATTCTCAATGACACAGCAGGAGGCGCAGGCTACACCCGATGTTATCACTGGTATGATCCCTATTTTTGGTTACTTTGCTCGTGTTTTGATAGATCTCGGGGCCATCCATTCTTTCATCGCCCATAGTTTCTTACCTTATGCCAGTGTTAGACCGACACCCATGGCAGAGAATTTTAGTATCTCATTGCCTACGGGCGATGTTCTGTTTGCGGACATGGTTTTCAAGGACTGTTATGTCCAAGTGGGTGATGCCATGTTGGAAGCTGATTTGATTCCCTTGGAATTAGTTGACCTTGACATTATCTTGGGAATGGATTGGCTGGAAAAGTATCGTGCATGAGTGGATTGTTTTCGCCATAAGGGCAAAACGGTTACTCAAGAAGGACTGTGTGGGATACTTAGCTCATATCATTGATACTCAAGGGTCCACTCTGAATTTGGAAGATATTCCTGTGGTTTGTGAATTTTCAGATGTCTTTCCTGATGATCTTCCTGGTTTGCCTCCCAAGAGAGAAACCGAATTCACTATTGAACTTCTTCCAGGAACGAATCCAATTCATCAAGCTCCTTATAGAATGGCACCAGCAGAGTTGCGTGAGTTGAATACTCAATTGCAGGAGTTGGTGGATCTCGGGTTCATTCGACCTAGTGTTTCCCCTTGGGGTGCACTGGTATTATTTGTAAAGAAGAAGGATGGAAGCATGAGGCTTTGTATCGATTACAGGCAATCGAACAAGGGGACAGTGCGTAATCGATATCCTTTGCCTCGAATTGACGACTTGTTTGATCAGTTAAAGGGTGCCAAGTACTTTTCCAAGATTGATCTAAGATCGGGATATCATCAACTCAGAGTACGGGATGATGATATTCCCAAGACAGCATTTAGGACTCGTTACGGCCATTACGAGTTCTTGGTGATGCCTTTCGGATTGACAAATGCTCCAGCAGCGTTTACGGATCTCATGAACAGAGTGTTCCGACCTTATTTGTATCACTTTGTGATTGTGTTCATAGACGACATCCTGGTTTATTCTCGAACTTTGGAGGGTCATAAGAAACATCTGAGGCTGATATTGAAGACTTTGAGAAGGAAGTAGCTTTATGCCAAGTTCAGTAAGTGTCAGTTTTGGTTGGATAGAGTGGACTTCCTTGGACATGTGATATCAGCAGAAGGAATCTATATGGACCCTCGTAAAGTAGAAGCAGTTGTGAATTGGGTGCAACCCACAAGTGTAACAGAGATACGGAGTTTCTTGGGGTTAGCGGGCTACTATCGTCGGTTTGTAGAAGGGTTTTCTTCAATAGCAACACCTCTTACTCAGTTGACGAGGAAGGATGTTAAATTTGAGTGGACGGAGGAGTGCGAACAGAGTTTTCAGGAGTTGAAGAAGCGGTTAACCACCGCACCTGTTCTGGCTCTTCCGGATAACTCGGGGAACTTTGTGATCTATAGTGACGCATCTTTACAAGGCTTGGGATGTGTTCTGATGCAACATGATCGGGTAATTGCTTATGCCTCAAGGCAACTCAAGAAGCACGAGCAGAATTATCCTGTCCATGACTTGGAACTTGCCGCAGTGGTGTTCACTCTCAAAATCTGGCGGCATTACCTGTATGGTGAGACGTGTCAGATTTTCACTGATCACAAGAGCCTCAAGTACTTTTTCACTAAGAGGGAGTTGAATATGAGACAGCGGCGTTGGCTGGAATTGATTAAGGACTATGACTGTACGATTGAGTATCATCCCGGCCGAGCTAATGTGGTAGCTGATGCACTAAGTAGGAATGTTGGTGGAAGTCTAGCTCATCTCAGAATGGTCTATCTTCCGTTATTGGTAGAACTGCGGAAGGATGGTGTGGATTTGGAAATGACTCCTCGGGGAGGAATGCTTGCTAGTGTGCATGTGAGGCCTATTCTGGTTGAGCGGGTGATCGCAGCACAATTGGGAGATCCTAATCTTTGTGTGATAAGGTCGGAAGTAGAGAATGGTACACGGACGAAGTATGCAATAAGAAAGGATGGAGCTTTGGTGACTGGAACTTGTCTTTGTGTACCCAAGAACAATGAAGACTTGAGAAGGGAAATCATGGAAGAAGCTCACTGTTCTACTTACTCTATGCATCCGGGTAGTACTAAGATGTATCGGACTCTACGTGAGTACTACTCGTGGCCGCATATGAAGGGGGATATTGCTAAGTATGTGCGCAGGTGTCTGATTTGTCAACAAGTGAAAGCGGAACAGCAGAAACCGTCCGTACTCATGCAACCACTTCCGATCCCTGAATGGAAGTGGGAGCTTATCACAATGGACTTCGTTTTCAAACTTCCACGTACTTCCAAAGGGCATGACGGAATTTGGGTGATAGTTGACAGACTCACCAAATCCGCCCATTTTCTACCTATAAAGGAAACCTATTCCTTGTCAAGGCTGGCAAAACTCTTTGTGGATGAGATCGTGAGGTTGCACGGAGCTCCTATGTCTATTGTATCGGACAGGGATGCAAGGTTCACATCTCATTTCTAGAAGTGTTTAAATGAGGCTATGGGTACCAAGTTACATTTTAGTACTGCTTTCCACCCACAGACTGATGGACAGTCGGAAAGAACCATTCAGACCTTGGAAGACATGTTGAGGTCTTGTGTTTTACAACTGAAAGACAGTTGGGATACTCACCTTGCATTGGTGGAGTTTGCTTATAACAATAGTTATCATTCGAGCATTGAGATGGCTCCGTATGAGGCTCTGCATGGGAGGATGTGTAGAACTCCTGTTTGTTGGAATGAAGTGGGTGAAAGGAAGTTGGAAAAGGTAGATAGTATTCGAGCCACAACTGAGAAGGTGAAAATGATTAGAGAGAAGTTGAAAACCGCACAAGACCGATAGAAGAGTTATGCGGACAACAGGTCCAAGGATCTTGAGTTTGCAGTTGGGGATTGGGTGTTCTTGAAGCTATCTCCTTCGAAGGGTGTGATGAGGTTCGGTAAACGCGGGAAGTTAAGCCCTCGTTATATTGGACCTTATGAGATCACCGAGCGCATTGGACCAGTTGCTTATAGACTTGCCTTACCTACAGAACTATCTCGGATCCATGACGTGTTTCATGTATCCATGCTAAGGAAGTACATGCCTGATCCTTCCTATGTTTTAGAACACCAACCTGTGGAGTTGAGTGAAGATTTGACGTACAAGGAGCAACCTGTACAGATTTTGGATAGGAAGGAGCAGAGGTTGCGCTCCATATCCATTCCTGTAGTGAAAGTGTTGTGGAGAAGTCAAGCTGTTGAAGAGGCTACTTGGGAGCCCGAGGCTCAGATGCGGGCCAATTACCCTTATCTCTTCAATTGACAGGTATGTAAATTTGGGGGACGAAATTTTTATAAGGGGAGTAGGTTGTAACACCCTGACTCTATTTAATTTTCCAATTCAAAAGGTTAAAATTAAATTAACTGTCAAATTACGAAACTACCCTTGGGGTACGGTATTTCGGTCATTTTCTTGTCCGGAAGGATTTTGGGACCACAAGTGGTTTGGTTGCGTAGGTGGTTCTGAGATGAATTCGTAGACAAGCGGTAGGCTTATATCAGAGTTATAACGAGGTCTCGGCGATCAAGTTTCCTTCGGTGGCAAAATCGTAATTAATTTGAGAAGCGATAGGGTTAAAATCAGAAATTTCACTTATACCCCTACACTTTCTCTCTCTCTCCCGAGCCCTCCTCCCTTCGCGTAAACCCCTCTCCCCCCCACGAGCCACTGTTCAACCGAACCGGAAACCACCACGTTGCCACCACTTCCTGCCACCTCAGCTCTCGAGACCGGTCCCAAAAGCCTCGTCTCGACGTCCTAGTCAAGACCCAATAGCTTTTGTCGCTGAAAAACTCAAGAATAGCCGGCAGTTTCGACTGGTTCGAGCCGGACTTTTCCGATCGTTGCGCCGTCGCCTCCGCCGTCCATTTCAGGTAAAATTGGTGGGGTTTCTCTCTCTTTTTACATGTTTTAGCTGGCTATTGCATAGGAATTGTTCAATCTGCTGTTTAGAATCCGATTTGAGAAGCTAAGTTTTGGCAGGTTTTCAATTTGAAATTTCGGCCAGTACCCGTACGAATTGGACTTCGTGGTAGTTGAATAAAGTGATCCTGATCTTGAGAAGAAGCTAGGGTAGGAAGGGTGAGCATTGGTGTAGAGATTTTCCGTCGCCGGAAATTACTCTGCACACCCACGTGCTGCCGGCGCGTGTGGTGGCGCGTGGGCAAAGGTGGTGGAAATGCTAAATGTCCTGATGAGATCATTAGGTTGTCACGAACGCGTAGGATTTCGCGGATCTCAATTCCGATGTCGTTTGACTATCGAACGGATTATAGCATATGGTGCGTTATCCGGGTTCGATAAGTTCCGACCGTTAGATAGTGGTCAAATTGAAGTATGTTACTCTAGACACCCTTAGGATCGTATAGGATTTGACGGACCGTAAAACGGAGTCCCAGATACTCCGGAAATGCCAACCCTAGGGTTAGGGTTTTAGTAACCATCCAATTGTGCGATCGTGAGCGATCCAACCGTCCGTTTCGGACCAAACTTGCAGGATGTGTATCCTAGACCTCGTCAAACTTATAGAAACTCCCGAATTGAAAAACGGAGGTAGTGGGTCCCGTGGGCCCGGTTGACCCGAATTGGAAAGTTTGACCGTCGGTTGACCGAGTGTCTTCCGAGGTTGTTTCATCGTGCGAATTGGGTAGTTGGACCCTAGAACACCTCTTTCCTCGTACTTACTGGAAACCCGGGAAGCTAGGGTTTTATTTTAAAGTTCTGTTTCGAAGCGCTTGATGTTAATCGCATTTTCGTATTCTGAATCAGGTACTCCGACCCCGCATACGCAGCAGGCGGGACCCTCTGAGGGTCAAGCTGTGTGGGACTACTTGTGAGTGGGCTTTTCTTTCAAAACTTCAGCATGACTTTATTCATGGAAAATATGGCATATTGCTTTATTTTGTTTATTGAATATGGTATATATTCGAATGTGAAATTCGTGGTTTTCATAAAGTTTTGATAATATGTTTGAGTTTTGAGAATATATACACGTATAGTTATATGTGGGGTACTTGGGGAGTTAATATGAGTTTATGAAAAGGTGTGATTATTGATATGTCTGTTGGAGTGCTTTAAGCACTATCCTATGTACCTCCCCGAAACTGAAACTTAATTACTGATACTGATACACTTGGAATTATTTGAGCTCAGGACACCCTTGAGGGGATGTTGCTGTGGACCCTAGATTTGGGATAGTCTGCGCGCGTAGGACTGGTATTTCAGGCGTACAAGCTTTGACTGTGTCGGCTGTACGTGCTGGCTGAGAGTTTGTTCCCCAGTTGGACGGCTCGTTCCCTAGACACATGGTGCATTGAGGAATGGCTCTGCCATGTGGACTAGTCAAACAATCCCCGTTGGATTGTTTCCCCAGTACAACTAAATTGTGGTTATATTTATATATTCTTATTATTATATGTTATATGTTATATTACTATTATATATATATGAATATTCGGTTGTTCTTATTTCTCGGTAAGGATACTTCCTCGCCGGTTGTACCATTGGGTACGTTTTCGAGAGTTTAATCTCTCGGGACTCTTAAGTTTTGAGTGGTGGGTTTTGTGAAGTGTGATTCACGGATTTCGGATTTGGTATCCGGTATGATTTTTAGTATATGTTTATATATTGCTTATGACAGTTTTATTATGCATCTGGATTCGTTGCATGTGTTTTATAAAGGTGGGGTTATATTATTTTGATTTAATTGAACTAACTTAATTTTCGTCCACTCACAATTTTCTGTTTTGCGCCCCCAGCCAGTAGCAACTGAGCTCCACAGTCGAGCCGGACCGGGTGCTCTCGAAACTTGAGTCTTCGTAGGGACTCCTTCACCTTTCCTTTCAGTTAAACTGTACTTCTGTTGTTTTTGAATTTCTTAGATATGCTCTGTATCGCCCGCTGAGGGTATAAATCGTGAGGCCGGAGGCCTTTGTTGTAAATTGTTTTATTGCTTGTAAAGCATGCTGCTAGTTGGTTGTTTATAACTGTAATTAACAGGTTGAAGTTTGGGAATGTTCATTTTACAGGGGAGACTCTGTCAAATTTTTGGTAGAAAGTCTCAGTCTTTAGTAAGTGGGCCCGGCATCAGGGTGATGTCGGAATTTAGGCGGGGTCCGTCCCGGTTTCAGAGGAGATTCGGGGCGGGTCCTGTCGTCCATACCCACTGCCACCCATTCTAGCTGCAGCTGCCCCAAACACCAACAACAACCGTAATCTTCTCATCAATAGCAACAGTGTCAGCACTATCCACCTCAAAGTATGGTAGCACTCTTTCGTACCCAGCCACACCCACAATTGCCGCTTTTCCCTTTTTTTTCTTTCCTTCATGCGTCTGTGAATGTTATGTTGTTATGTTGAATTTTTTATGATTCTCCTCTCTGCCATTGTTTGTTTAATCAGAAAATTTGCACTGCTTTCCATTATTAGGTATCTCTCTTTTACTTTGAAAATCCCTTTGAAATTTGATTTTGGGATTGACTTCATGCAATGATCCTTTCTAGAGTTTTCTAAATCAATTAAGTTATGCTTTAAGAAATTTCTCCCTTGAATAAAATTTGTGCAACACAGAGTGAGAAAAACAAAAATAGAGAGAGTCTAGGTTGTGAGGGGCAGGGTAGGGATGGAAGGTGGCTTGCAGGGGCTTGTGAGGCTGGGTATAGGGGCGGGTGGTGGCTAGGTATGGGGTGACAGTGGGGTAGGGGTTAGTGCGGCTAGAGAAAGTGGAGTTTAGGTAGGGTTTGCTTTTCTAAAATTTTAAATTATTTGTTAAGTAAAAAAAAACTTAAATTTTTGGGTTCCATGATGGCTACGTCAATAGTTAATGATTGATCACACGATCAACTTTACGGAATGACAAAATTGGACAAGTTCGAAGACATTGGGGGTGTAAATTGATGAAATTGATACCCCATGGCCCATATTGAGAATGACCTCAAACTTAGAAGGGTTCTTTTGATGTTAGCCCTTAAAAATACCTTTCAGTGCATTTTGGCGTCCCCGCTATTCAGCTTGCTCATGAAAAAATTGTATATTCTTATCACCATGCATTAACCAATTAATACGAGCCCACTGACGCCATAAAGCTTCTTCCCATTCCAAGCATGCATCAGTCTCCCTTGCTAACCTTTTTTGCTCATTGAGAATCTCATAAGTTGGTTCTAGCGCCCTGGAAAACATCAATTCTATTTTGCAAAAACCTTACTTTCCTAGGAATGTTACCAACATGTTCATTGTTCCAACGACAGGAAGAAAGTTTGGCCACCATAGACCCTAGTGTTCTTTCCCATCATGGATTCTCCAGCATTGCCACATCGTTCAGTAACCTTTGAAACCTGTTTTTGTTGTGCACCAACCCCCTTCTTAGGACTCTGTAGTGGACGAGCTTGAAGGAAACATGCATCTAATGCTTATGAAATGAACTTTAGCCACAACCTATACAACAAAAACATTCTAAATGGTGGATTCATTTTGTTTATACTAGTTGAGCTAAACCTCTTTCATTTTAAACCAAGTATCTTAGCCTAGTCTCTTTGAACACAAATAGAAGAAGGAGAAAAGGAATAGATCTTTAATCTTGATGACCTTTTCTTGATAACACTTTTGTTGGAAAGGTCTTTTCTTTCTCTTGATTTTGACTCCTTCACCTTAAGGCTTCAAGATTGGAGTCTTCTACCTCACCACACCAAATGTTCCTAGAGATGAAGAGAAGGCAATCAAGAAGTATGGATGCTAGTCTACTTATTGATTGGACCAATTTTTAGTTTATGGAAGATGAGATACAAAGATGATCACTCATCAACCAAAGTAGGAAACCAAAACCCTAACTAGGTTTTCTCCAACACTTAGCTTATATAGGACAACACAAAAGGTAATTGGGTGGGTATTTGGGGCTCCATTTGGTCCATGGCTCATGTCATTTTATGCCACTTATCCCTTGGGCCCAATAGCCTTTTAGGCTATTTTGTCCATTTCCTTTTAAATTATTTAAAAGCCCAATCCAATATTTCTATATGTCAATATCAATTCCATAATTAATCTTTTAATTATAATTATAGTCTTACTTAATTGACCCAGTCAAACTATTTGACTTTGGTCAATTGCTCCGGTCTCAACATGTTGACTTTTGACCGTTGACTTTGACATTTGATTATCAACCATTGACTTGTGTCTCCTCATTTCATTTCTCTTCATTTGTACCTCTAGTCACATTCTTTGCGTGTGCAGATCCGTAGATTCCCTTTAGCAAGGTAGTGGGTTGACTCAAATCCTCAGAGAGGATATACGAATTAAATTCCACAATTTAATTCTTCCTATTAATAAAAGTTAATTGAAACCTTTTAGGACATCCACAAACCATGGTTGTCACCTAACAGCAAGTCACAGTTATCCGAGCTAAATGAGACGCTGTGAAAGAACCTATTCAAATTGGAATGACAGTGCAATTGAATCCTTCTCTTATGTCAATACTCCTTATTCACATTATTAGATCATGGAATCCGATTGTCAATATCCTAATGTGAATCATTCCTTTTATATGATTATCCTGGTAAGATTTGAGGACTTCTTCTTTCAAGTCTTATCCACTACTCTGCGCAGAGATTTGACTAATCATATCTTGGAGTATTCTTTCTCATTTACTAAGAGTAGAGATTCCTTGTTGTACATTCATTTGCTTCCATGACTCTATTGAGAATCCTGATGAGCACCTTTAAGATATGCCTAATTCAGCTTGACCGTATAGTGCCCTCAAAGATTAACAACATAGCCACAAAATATCTATAATGTCTCAGGTGAAAAGATTAATTTGCACCATTGCAATTTATGAGTTTCAGCTTGACATGTGAGTAAAGACTTCCATGCTGTAACTCATGTGTTGGATCGCGTTCAATGTACTTTGAGGGCATTCTCAGGATTTAGGGATGACGAGAAGTCTTCATGTATGCAATCTCATTACATAACTCTCATATCCCCTTGTGTATTCATTGGACTATGGTTGTTCTACATATTGAAAGATAATATAGGATGATTTAATGTATAAAACAACATTTCTTGCCTATTGATAACATAATATGTCTTTTATCAAAGATGTCCTTAACTCTAACTATTACATAATTAGTTGGCTTTAAGGGCATATTTCTAACAAAGTTCCCCCCTCCCCCACAGGGAACCCCCTTCGTTTGCTCGAAGCTACTAGTTGCAATGGAGAAGTGACACCATGTAACCCAAGCTCCAGACCTGACCTCCCACCCTTCAAAGAGGATTCAGCTTCCCCACTTAAACCATCCCACAAACTCTTTGAACATGGACTCCCGGCCAGCTCGGAGCCCAGCTGGATTAGGACCTCACTCGAGTTGGCATTCACAACTTCCAGCCTGGTATGACACCCCCCTTCAGCTACATCCACCTCCAATCTACGTTTCTTATTTTGTTGTGGAGACATCACCATCAATTCCTCATCCTCCATGGAAGGCTTGGCCACCTCTGGAGAATCAAAAGCCACCATATGGAATCTACGAAGCCGAGTAATATTAGAAAAAGGTTCACATACTTTTGGTCTTTAGGTAGTGTCACTTCCAAGTCCATAGCTAACCTCCTTTAAGCCATTCTCTTTCCGTATATTGTAGATGTCCTTCACCACAGTTTTCCAACTTCCATATTGTTCGCCCCACCACCGCTCCTTGCTTTTTAAGCTCAAAATTAGCCCCCACATGGCTGAACTAGCCACAGTACAAACAAAAAAAAAACTACCCAAACAATCTCCATTCAATTGACCCATTTGAACTTCTAAATTTCTGATAGACGTGGCGTGGTTTGGTAGGGTCATCTCTGTCTTACTCATGAATTGATTTGTATATGTGGCAAGCTATGCGATTATGTCCTCCAAGTTATTTTTCTTCTCTTGTGGTTGAAATTCCGGTGGTGGTCTTTGCACATTCTGACTATTGCTCCAAAATAAATTGGGGTGCCTTTTGCCATCCCATATTATATGTGTTGGAGAATTGTCCAATTTACTGGTTATAGCATTAACCTGCTCTTTAAAAGCAAAAGCATTTGAACTACCAATTTCATAAACTTCGGCACACTTACTTCTTATATCAGAATGTTGTGTTTCAATTGCTACCGTATCAAACAAAGTTTGACATTCAGTTGGCATCTTGTTCTTAATAATCCACCTGCATAGTTATTTACTACAGCCTTACTTGAAACAGTTAGTGCCTTGTAAAAAATACGCATGAGAACTACAATAGGCAAACCATGGTGAGGACATTGTATTAAAAAATTATTGAACCGTTCCCAAGCTTATGAAAATGACTCATGTGACTGAATTGCATGATTTTATCCCTTAGTGCATCAGTTTTCTAAGTCGAAAAGAACTTCTCCAAGAACTTGTTCTAAACCTCCGTCCAGCTAGTCAATAATCCAGGCCTTAAGGAGTTTAGCCACGTCTTTGCTTTATCTTTCAATGTGTAGGGAAAGACTTTCATCCTGAGATGTTCTTTGGTGATTCCCTCTGTCAAAGCAATGTGAGAAACCATGTTAAAATATCTCTAATATGAGCTAAAGGATCTTCATAACTTAATCCATGGAAAGAAGGCATCATATTAAAGTGGATATTTTTCAATTCATAAATCATGGCAGCTGCCGGGAGAACGATGCTTGAAGGTGACGTCGGAATTGTTGGGACATCAAGGTCCCCCATTGTTTCATTCAATACAAGGGCCATCTCTTCTTCTCTTTGTTGCTTCTTCTTTTCTTTGTCTTGTTTTGTCTCCTACAAATTGCTCGAAGCTTTTGTTCAATCTCAGGTTCCAATTCAACTAGTTGGTTTGTTGAAGAGCGGGTACCAATCATTCACCATATGCTCAGAAACAAAGTTGTGGTACCTGCAAAGAAGGGTAAAGGATTTTAAATAAGGATAAGATAATATAATTGAAGAAGGAAACAAAACCCAAACACGATTAGGAAAATAAACTTTAATGTTAAATGACTTTAGTTTTAAAAGGAAAAAGAAGTGGAATTGAAAAAGGAAGTGGAATCCTGATTTGAAGTGGGAATTATGTGTTGCCAGGATCCAAGTAGTAGACTTGGAATTGCTGCGTGAAACCTTCTTTCTTCTTTCTTTTACACGTTGTTGGTTTTAAAAAAAAAGTACCTGAAATAAAAAGATAACTAATTAAATATTCAAAATACAACTAGAAAATAAATTGCACTAATATTAGTAGACTAAGCTGATCCCTAGCAGCAGTGCCAAAATTTGATGTGATTAATTGGAAGTAGACAATACGAATCAAATTAGTATAGTAGTAAATAGAGTATCATTCCAACAGGGATCAAGTTAATCTATTAAATACTAGAGTGATTTATTTCTAATTATATTTGAATTAAACGATAAGAGAATTACGATGACTAAAATCTAATTATTAAGCAAGTAAAATAAATTGAGATTAAGTAAATAATGTAAAAGATGAAAACAAAAATGATAAAACACTAGGACACCGATTTCACCTAGCTAATCCCACCCAAATCCTTCTAGCTTGTCAATCTTAATTACCTAACATGTTGATAATCGTTTTTCCTTACCTCACCAATACTCTCTTCCGAGTTATATTAGATGTGTTCCGTACGGTCAACCCACTCTATTCCTAGTTATGGATTTAGATGGCTAAGAACCCATTAAGATTTGTGGAAAACATTAAAGACTACACAAACCATAACCTAATCTTCTGAGTCGGCTATGTATTTATGGTACTTGTTACAAGAAGCTTTTTATTAGGAATCTCCTTCCAGTCTTAACCCAATTCTTCCAATCATGCAATTAGTGACCAATTAATTGAAAGCATTAAGAGCGGTAACAAGCACTCAACATGTATTGATAAAAAAAATTAATAATATCAAAGAATTTGAGTATTCATAGCCAAGCTACATTGTAGCCCTAGTAAAAGAAATTAGTTTATGAAGGACTTATTGAGAATCATGATGGTTGATGAAGACATGGAAGGAAGCGAATTCTCCAAGTAGAACGCCAAGGTTGCGCAAGCTCTCTTTGTATTCTCCTTTGGGTGTTTTGGCTATGAGTATGAATGTGTAGGAATTTGATGGTGGAGGATCATTTGATCAATGGCCGAAACTCCCTATTTATAATACTCCTAGAAATCCTACCTATCTAAGGTATAATTACATTGTTATAAAAATAGGATTCCTTCTAACATAAGGTCTTCTTTATTTCTCCCTGTTTGATTTGGTAAGACTTGAACCATCTTGAACTAGGAAATTTGACAACACTCCTTGCAAGAAAAGGAATGACTTGGTTTCTTTTTAATTAATCTCCAATCTTCATCTTCTTGCGCCTTTTTACTTCAATTTCTCATATTTCACAACTCCTTCACAAATCTCACAAAACCAATTAAAACAACCAATTTAATCCAAGAAAATTAATAAATAAATAAGTAAAGGAGGCATAAAAAAAATAGTCCTCGAGCAAAACTAAAAATTAAAAAAAAAAATTAAACAAACAAACTAAACTAAGCCACTTTCACAAATAAACTCGATGGCACTTAGCATGTGCCACAAGCCTTTAAACCTCTAGGTGTCGCTAGTAGGAGGAGTTGTATCTCCTGAGGGTTTACCAGTCATGATACCACAAACACTCCTTGCAAAACAAATTCGTTAAAGCAATACTTCCAACAAACTAATAATAACCAATGAATGCTAATCACAATTCCAAAACTAAAGTTATGCCACTACAAATAAAATACACCATAGTGTAAAGTGAAATCCAATACTTCAAGCATAATAACTTAAGGATAACCACACTCGGTATGTATACAAATTCCCCTCGACTCTAGGCCTCACTGGGTAACACTCAATTTTCACACAGAACCTAGGGTTGCGCTCTTATCCCACATATGTGAATGAAGTTAGGTAAAGAAATCAAAGTTGAAGACACATATGCATCCAAGATTAATAAAAAGCAATTCTGTTAATAGATCTCATTTAAAGGAAATTAAACACTAAGAACCATAAATAAGGTACATACCTCCACTTCGGAGAACAAACGTCCTCAAAGATCCATTAGGTATTTACTATGGTTGTAATGTAGGGCTAAGTTATGAGTTATGAAAGAAATTATAGGAAATACTAGAACTTGAGACATACCAAGGCATTTATCGTGTTATACGGCTTGGCTCTTCAAATTTACTTCACAAAGGCATCTAGGATTTTTGATATGCTTCACTTTTTTTGTTTTTAATATATTTCTCTTTTTTTTCCCATCTATTTTCTTTTTCTTTTTCTTTTTCTTGAACTTTAAGCACATATTTCCTCAGTACACGCCACCTATTTTGTTGATGTAGAGCTAAACCTTCATCCTTGTCTTCATGTGCGATGGCATCTCCCAAGTTATAGGGTATGGCTAAAAATAGGGTGAAAAGGGTAAGGAAATATTGTGGGTGATAAAAGAAAATGCTAAGTGTTTGGCTTCGAGGAGTTGATGACACACATAATGGGTAGGACATGAGGCTTTATTTATTAGTTAGAACATGTATAGCCTAACATCATCTCTCAAGGTCCATTCAACTCAAAAGTGAAAGTATAAGATGATTCATACCAAAAAAAAAAAAGATTAGTTCTTAGTATTCAATTCAAAAGTCAAATTGAGATCAATCTAAATAAGAAAGAAAAAAAATAGTGAAAGAGGAATGGGAAAATGAAAAATAGGAATGCTAGCTTATTTCAACTGGTCTTTTTTCTCCTTTCCCTTCTTTTCTTTGTTATGTTTAATTAAAAACTGTGGATATTCATGTGGTATTGTTTACCTTGAAAAAAGCAACAAAGTCCTAGAACAGATTTTGTAAAAATGTGAATTGCGAGGGTGCCACTATTAGCAATTAATAAATTCTAATAGATGAAAGTATAAATAATTAAGAGAACTTGCGCACCAAGTAAATGACTATAATCAAAAGAATGTGAGTTGAATTTGAAACGGTAAACGAAATCATGATTTTTTTTTTTTTTTTTTTTTTTTTTTTTTTTTTTTTTATAAGTATCTTTAAGATAAGGACTAATCATAATTAATAATACAATGGAAAGGGGCAATAAAAGTAAATAAAACAATGAAAACGAATGAAAGCAAATAAACAGATCGACCATAGCTACAAGTTGCCACCACCTTGTATCAATTCTAGTTCAAAGCATAACTAAGGAATAGGTGGCAAACGATTAAGGATCGGAACTGTATGGTTCTAATGGATCAGAACAGGACAAGAGTGCAACTAGAATGACCTTCTGGTTAACAATACCAAGGAGGCTTGGTAGAGCAAACAGCAAAGAGACGAGTGTCTTTGACTGAAAGCTTTGGCTTTAGGGCCAGTTTGGCATTGCTGTGCTGTAAAAATAATCGCTGTCAGATTTGCTGTGAGAGAAATCAGATGTGAGAGAAAGTAGTTTGGCGTTTGGTAAAATTTTTGTTAAAAGTGTTGTTGGTATTGATTTTACGCAAAATCAGAAAATGATTGCCGCATAATCATTAAACCCAGCGTCTCTTCGAAACTGATTCTTGAATAATCAAAAAATGAAAGCACCTCATTAGCTGCTTTCCCTTATAACTTTCTCTCACAGCAATTTGTAATAATAAGTGATTTTCTCACAGTTTATCAAACGGGTCGGGCTTCTCAAAAATTTTTAAAAATCACTTATCACCTCAAATAAGCAATGCCAAACTGGCACTTAGTGTAAAGTTTGATGTTGAAAAATTGTGTGTCGACATATGGTTATTGAGGCCCAAAAAATCGACAGTGGGTGAGCACAAAAGAGAAAAAATAGCCCATTACCTCAACCAAAGTAGCCCATTAACCCAACTAAAATAGCCTAACAATTGATGAAGTTTGCCCATTTACTTGATAAACCAACTTATTGTCCTACAAGGCCCAAGCAACCTAAGAAAATACCTGCAAATCTCCAGCACCAAGCTGAAAAATAAAAGCCACGATGAAAGCCAAAATATCCATGTGTGTAAGCCGTTGGGAGGCTCCAGCACATAGGGGTGTGGGGGGAGGAACAAGTTTCAAGCAAAAACATCCAAAAAACCAAAGGATACTTGAGCAAAACACCTTTCAAACCAGTGTACATACCCATTTCTTTCCCCCTATCAGATCTAGCCATAGAAGAAAGGAGAAAAGAAGGAAGAAAGATGGTTGAAAATGGGATTTCTCCACTATGGCAGCTGCAGGAAGAGCATTGAGCTCCCAAAAATCCCTGATTTTGTGAGATTGGGCAGAGGGGATTTTTCCCATTATAAGGTAAGATAAAGGAAGGGAGAAGAAAGGAAGGGAAAAGCTTGGCCAAATTGGGTTTCTTGGAAAAGAATAGCTTCTAGTGCCTATAAAAAGAGGCATTTCCATCATAAACAACACATATCTGGAGAGCAAGCTTTATCTTTCACCTCTAAAACCTCTGCAATTTCTAGCCCCATCCTTCCATATCTTCCCATTTTCCCTTTTGGTAAACTTTTCCAAAGCTTGACAGAGTTTTCGTCGAGCTGCCATAAACTACCCAGCACACCCACTACTTCATCATTAGCTAAAACAACCACATCCAGAGATCAAGCTTCCTCTCTCACCTGCAAAACCCAGCAAATCCGTGCTCTATTTATCCTTTTTCCCCCAAGAACGCATAGCTTTCCCTTCAGTACTAAACTCATGTCAATTTTGCTTCCATGCCACAAGCCTCTCATGCCAAGCTAGAAAATCTATATGTAAGTTGTTGTTATTTTTGTTGGTTAAGGTAACCAAGGTGTTTCCTAAGGCATCTCTGTCCTTTCGAAGCTTTTTGGGGCTTGATCTTCGAACTTAGACACAGGGGATAATTTCATCCAACTGCTCTTTACGACAGCCCAGCCCATTTACAGCTGCCGGAAGAAAAAGACCCCTACAATGGTCTTCGTATCTTTTGTATAGTGGAGTAACCCTAACCTTCGAAGGAAGTAATCTCCTATTAGGTCACAACCAACATCATATCACAATCGACTAGAATCAATCTTTCTAATTGATTACCTTCAACGCCAAGTAGTCCATATGAATATCCCTTTAATTCTAGTAAATTACTATATGATAATAATTCTTTAATTTTTAAACATAAATTGGCCAGGATATTTAATTAATATTAAAGCTTGAGGCATGACTTGGCCCAATATGTCTTTAATCTTGATTGTGTAAAAACTGGGCCCAAACAGTATAAACTAGTCCAAGACATGCCCACACTTCTGACAACCTCCGTATTTTTGTGAGAGACCTTTATATTTTATTGGTTTGTGTTGTAATTCTTTTCTGACAACCTCCAATTAATTGGATTAATGGGTTCAAGAAAAAATTAATTAAAGAGTTAATTAATTATGTTGAATCATAAGAAATGAGTTTAACTATTAATTTGCTCCTTCAACTTGTACCCAATTTTCGTTTTACCTCTATCTTTTTTTTCCGCCAATTTCTCCAATGTCGTCTAAATCCTCAACATTTCATCCAATTTTTAGTAGCCTCACCAACAGACATCAATTTATTGCATAAAGAAAGAACAAATAAAGTATTGGAAAGTGAAAGAGAAGAGGAAAGGGCAACAGTGCCCGCTTTGGTCACAGGATAAGCAGCACCATTTGCATTAGCAACACTGGTGTGGCGGCAAAGAAAGGTGCTTAGAATATCATTTTGATCAAACGTCATACGGTTAGTCGCTCTAGAATCGATAATCCGGCCAGGAGTAGGACTTGAGGTAGAAGTATGAAATACAAAGTCACAGTTACCTGAGTCGCCCAAAATCTGGGAGTCATCAGAAGATGTCGAAGGGAGGGTGGAGGCCTGAGGAGCCAACGATAATTGAGGTTCGGTGGTGATGAGAGCTACACAACCATATCCAAGTGCAGCTTTTCGACCTTTGTGTCCTTCCCACCAATCGGGATACCCGTGTAGTTTGTAACAAGTTTCCCGATTGTGTTTAGGAATTCCACAGTGAGTACATCTCGTCCCGTATGTTGGAGCATTGGGTTGAGGATGTTGGGTAGTTGGGCAGGCAAATGAGCCAACAGCCATGGCGTAAGACTGAATCTAAAGGCGCACGTCTGTAGAAGAAGGTGGCTAGTCGGGCCGATCAGTCGAGGTATGGCCGACTAGCCGATGAGTTCCCTTGGCCGCCAACCAGCTGCAATCGATGCCTGAGTATCCATTACGATAGCTTGTCGGAGATCTTCGCGTTGGACAAAAGCATATGCCTGCTCGACAGTGAGAAATGGCGACATTTGAAGAATGTCTCTAAGGGCCTTGTCAAGTCGGTCATCCAAGCAATCCAAGAAGATATAAACACGGTCTTCTTGGAGATTGGCGTTGCGCTCCTTGATATCGAAGTCACACTTCATTTGATTCGAACGATGGAAGTCGATTTCTTGCCATAAGCTTTAGAGATCATTGTAGTTGGTTTCAATGGAGCCACCTCCTTATTGCATCTGGTAAGTGCGCCGTTCAAGGTCATACATTTGAGAGGCGTTAGTGCTATTAAAGTAGGTCGTGGCAATCGAATTTCATGCTGCCTTTGCAGTTGGAAAACAAATAAAGGTGCTAATCAAGTGAGGCTCTAAGGAATTGATTAGAAAGCCTTTCACAACTGCATTGTCAATGCGCCAGTGGTGGAAACACTGGTCAGTCAGAGTAGGGGTGGAAGTTCGCATGTGAGGTTTCCCAACTTTTCTTTGTCACCAAATTACATCTTGACAATTAGGGACCAAAAAGGGTAGTTTGAGCCATCCAATTTGATGCCAATCGACAGAAGCTTCAGAGGTAACAGTTAGAGTCGGGTTTGGGATATGTGCGTCAGTCGTGTTTGGGGTGGAGTTCGGGTTCGAATTCTGGTTCCGGTTATGTATCTTCAAGAACTAAGTTATCTAATAGGCCAATTCGATGAAGTTTGGTTGACAAGAAGAAGTAGAATCAGTGGTGCTACCTTCATGTTGGAGGAAAAGATCTTTATCCCTCATGATGGTTGTGATGTGTTAAAAAATATAGTAAATTTGGCTTACACCCTTCAAATTCAATTTGCCGTACCTAAAACCCTTCACTTTTTGTTCCTATAAATAATACCCAATTTGTATAAGTAAAAACCCATGACTAGGATTCAACTCAGCAAGTTACCTAATTAAGCATAAAATCTGATTTATTGTACTTTTTAGATTCCAAAAATACCCCCAACTAAGCCATTATTGCATTTTGTATATTAATGTAGGAATCAATATGGAAATAGTTTTTAATTGGATTGTATATAATGACAAATGTTGAATTTGGAAAGATCTCCAAATGGTTGTAATGGATGTAGGAATTAATTTTGAAACATTTTTAAAAAAAAATTTAACAATAAATTCAAATTTGGGTAATCGGTTTGTTTAATAAAATGTTTATGTTATTTTCTTTTTATGAATTATACATGACTAATAATCCACTTTATAATTGTTTATGAATAAAACTATACATACTAATTATGTTGAAAAAATAATGTACCTATTACTTGTTTGTTTTATGAAAAATATAATTTACCTAGTATGAAAAGTGTACATAATTATCTATTCCAATATACCTACATTATACGACATCCAATATACCTACATTAATTTTAATGTACTTACAATTAGGATTTAGGTATTATATGTCATCCAATGTACCTACCATTTGAATAATATACCTACTACGAATAAAGTACCTATTATTTATCTAAATAATGTTCCTATTTTTTATCTAAATAATGTAATTTTTTTTTCTATAAATAATATAGCCTTTTTTCTCTGAATAAAGTACCTATTATTTGTTTTATTAAAAGTAATTTTTTTAAATGAACCTATTTTCTCTCTCCAAATAACTTACCTATTTTTTTCCTCTAATAATGTACCTATTTTTCATAGGTACATTATTGGATATGTAATTTATTGGATACCTATATTTTATATGTGTATATTTATATTATAATTTTGGATATGTAATTTACAGATTTTTTTTTGTTTGCAATTTTAGGTGGCGAGATGTGAGAGGGAATGACAACTATAAGAAATGAGTAATGCTACACTTACCACATTAGTATCCCACATTTCTATACCACATGATGTGGCATGTCCATATCATATGACATATCAATTAAATGAATGAAGTGTATTTTAATAAATAAAATTAGAAAAACATAAACTAGTATTTTACATGATGTGGTATGTACACATCAACCGCCACATCATGTGGTATAAAATTGTGGTATAAAAAATGTGGTAAGACTAGTATTATTCATAAGAAATGGGGTGATTGATATGCTATTAATAGGGAGTATATTAATTACAATTATGACAGTTAATGAAATGCTTGAAATAAATTATAAATAAAATATGAAGTTTAGTGGCAACGATGTAAAAACATAGAAATACTACGACCTCTTATATTCTACTGGTCATTTAAATTTGAAATTGGGTTTTACACATAGATTTATAGAGTGATGGGTATATGTCTAGGAAATAGAAAATGTATGGATCTATATTGGACAAGCCCTAAAAAATAAGAGTCAGTAATTCCAAGATCATTGATAATTTGACACACCTAACGGCAGGACAATTTTGATTTGTTAGGTGTAACATAAAGGACTAATAATGTCATAACAAAAACATAAAAGACCAAAGGTGATAATTTGGCAAACCTCAAAACATATCTGAAACTCTACCAACAAAAACTTTTTTCCTTTCTCACTTTGTTAATTTTGAATTTTGAATTTTTTTAGGTTAAAATGTTCAAAAAAAGTAAATCATGAAGGTATAAACAAAAATTAACTCAAGAAAAATCAACAACAAAAAAAAGAGTCAAACAATTTAATAAAGTTGCAAACTCAAATTTTGAGTCTGAAGGGTTGAAAGGAAAAAAAGTTTGAGTCTGGTCAATACATAAATAGTTGCATTTTAGAGGGTGGAAATTAAGTTTAGCGCATTTATGGTTGGAGATGGCCTTATGTAATCTGGGAGTCATCAGAAGATGTCGAAGGGAGGGTGGAGGCCTGGGGAGCCAACGATAATTGAGGTTCGGTGGTGATGAGAGCTGCACGACCATATCCAAGTGCAACTTTTCGACCTTTGTGTCCTTCCCACCAATCGAGATACCCGTGTAGTTTGTAACAAGTTTCCTGATTGTGTTTAGGAATTCCACAGTGAGTACATCTCGTCCCGTATGTTGGAGCCTTGGGTTGAGGATGTTGGGTAGTTGGGCAGGCAAATGAGCCAACAGCCATGGCGTAAGACTGCATCTAAAGGCGCACGTCTGTAGAAGAAGGTGGCTAGTCGGGCCGATTGGTCGAGGTATGGCCGACTAGCCGATGAGTTCCCTTGGCCGCCAACCAGCTGCAATCGATGCCTGAGTGTCCATTACGATAGCTTGTCGGAGATCTTCGCGTTGGACAAAAGCATATGCCTGCTCGACAGTGAGAAATGGCGACATTTGAAGAACGTCTCTAGGGGCCTTGTCAAGTCGGTCATCCAAGCAATCCAAGAAGATATAAACACGGTCTTCTTGGAGATTGGCGTTGCGCTCCTTGATATCGAAGTCACACTTCATTTGATTCGAACGATGGAAGTCGATTTCTTGCCATAAGCTTTAGAGATCATTGTAGTTGGTTTCAATGGAGCCACCTCCTTACCGCATCTGGTAAGTGCGCCGTTCAAGGTCATACATTTGAGAGGCGTTAGTGCTATTAAAGTAGGTCGTGGCAATCGAATTTCATGCTGCCTTTGCAGTTGGAAAACAAATAAAGGTGCTAATCAAGTGAGGCTCTAAGGAATTGATTAGAAAGCCTTTCACAACTGCATTGTCAATGCGCCAGTGGTGGAAACGCTGGTCAGTCGAAGTAGGGGTGGAAGTTCGCATGTGAGGTTTCCCAACTTTTCTTTGTCACCAACTTACATCTTGACAATTAGGGACCAAAAAGGGTAGTTTGAGCCATCCAATTTGATGCCAATCGACAGAAGCTTCAGAGGTAACAGTCAGAGTCGGGTTTGGGATATGTGCGTCAGTCGTGTTTGGGGTGGAGTTCGGGTTCGAATTCTGGTTCCGGTTATGTATCTTCAAGAACTAAGTTATCTGATAGGCCAGTTCGATGAAGTTCGGTTGACAAGAAGAAGTAGAATCAGTGGTGCTACCTTCATGTTGGAGGAAAAGATCTTTATCCCTCATGATGGTTGTGATGTGTTAAAAAATAAGAGTCAGTAATTCCAAGATCATTGATAATTTGACACACCTAACGGCAGGACAATTTTGATTTGTTAGGTGTAACATAAAGGACTAATAATGTCATAACAAAAACATAAAAGACCAAAGGTGATAATTTGGCAAACCTCAAAACATATCTGAAAATCTACCAACAAAAACTTTTTTCCTTTCTCACTTTGTTAATTTTGAATTTTGAATTTTTTTAGGTTAAAATGTTCAAAAAAAGTAAATCATGAAGGTATAAACAAAAATTAACTCAAGAAAAATCAACAACAAAAAAAAAGAGTCAAACAATTTAATAAAGTTGCAGACTCAAATTTTGAGTCCGAAGGGTTGAAAGGAAAAAAAGTTTGAGTCTGGTCAATACATAAATAGTTGTATTTTATAGGGTGGAAATTAAGTTTAGCGCATTTATGGTTGGAGATGGCCTTATGTAATGTTGTGAAATAATATATGACTCTAAAGTATGAGTCTGTATTAACATTGTGAATTTGGATCGGTTGTGTAAGCACTGGAAGTAAAGTAAAGAAGATTTTGTATATTTTGTGAATTACGAGCTTCACGTCTTGGATTGTATATTTTGTTAATTAAGCAGGTTATCCTGATGTTGAAAATTCAGGGTGTTACAGGATGTTTCATGGAGACTAAGGACGATTGTGAACAACATTCATTATCTGAGTCCGACGTTTGAAGCCATCAACTTTTTGCATGTGTTTTGTGAGGCTAATTTTGTGGCGGATGCAATCACCTCTTGTGGTCACGATCTTAGGATAGACACATTTGGATCCGCTCTATCCGCCCAGCGGCATTTGTTGAACTCTGCCCCTAGGAGCTTTTCTTTGTATTCCCTATTTTCCCATTTTAAAAATTGATAATAATAATAATAATAACAACAGAATACATTCTTAGATTTACATTCCTATCATACACAAATTTACAGCCAAATTCTTCTTATTCTTATTATTAGACAGCTCCACAATACGAAAATATAAATAGAGATAGAACATTGCTTGCCTTCATTCCCTGGAAAAAGATACGCCTCATTCTAATAAATCACAATTTGACACATGTGCAAAAATAATGCATAAAAGACACACACAAAAAAAACTTATGAACATATATGACATTGGCAGGAATGTAGAAGTTCCTAAGGAGGAAATTTTTTTTTCCATAAAGATAAGCATCAAATTTGGAAATCATAATCCCCTTCAAATTAATAAAATATGTATGTCTCAACTAGTTTTTAGTGTTATATAAAGGGTGGTGATTTTTCCACTCCCCTTTTGTCCATTATACTACCTTTTGTTTTTTAATAGTTTTTACTATAACAAAAAAGGGAGTGTAAGTGAATAAAAAAGGAGTGGGAACATACAATTTATAACAAAGGGAGTGTAAGTGGATAAAAAATGAGTGGGAAAATCAGCTTCCCATATAACTTATATTTTTCCTTTTCCCGTAAAAGTCAAAAGCAAAATTATTTATAATATAAATAATATATAAAATATATTGGAAAGTCTTTTAAAGTAAAGTAAAACCAAGAAAACAAATAATAGGTAAATAAAAGTAAAATAAATTAATATTAAGAAAGCAAGCCTTGGATGGTGAGGCACGTCAAATATGTTGTCATTAAGCCTGTAGCCTCCCTACGTGCAGATACTGATGGTTTACAAAACTCCAAGATAGGCCCCCCAATACACAGGTTCAATGTCCACTATGAGTACGTTCACAATTGGATATGGGTCTCCAAGTCATAGAACTATTGCCCAAAAATAATAATATAAGTCGAGAAAGTATGAAAGGTAGAAGATGAGATAATCAGATTGTAGTGGTGGTTGTAGTAGTATGGTATTGTATTATTACATAAAATGTGAAGGAGGACTGGCCTTTTATAGGCATCAAAGAATATATAACCTCCACCATATTAAACCTAAAAATTAAGGCATGTAATATAGAAATAAAACTTGAAAATTAAATATTTATAACCCCCACTATGAATAAAATAAAACAACCAAAATAATTAAACAAATTAAAAGGTAAAAAAATTAAAACCTTTCAAAAATTCCAACATTTAGTACCACATGAATATCTATAATTTTTTAATTAATAGAAACATAAAAAATAATAATAAAATTTTTTTTTTTTTTTTTTTTTTTTTTTTTTAACCAATAAAGCTAGCATCCTATTTTTCATTTTCCCCTTCCGCTTTTTTATTTTAGAGGCAGAGTTTAAAAACAAACTCCAGTTTTAATTATATCATCCTCATGCTCATCCCCCAACTACTCGTAATTAAGCTACAGTCTACAGAGACTTCTAAACCAAATAACCAGGAAGTGAAACACATCACCAACCGTGCAAGCAACATGTTCCAGAGTTCAATAGCCACAGGAGCAACTGGGAGATGCCTTGTTGGCTTATCAGAGCAACAGGTGGGCCCCGTTACCCTCGGACTACCGTTGGGGTGGGGTTCCACATGACGTCACCTCAAGGCCCCACTCTTTTAATCCCCCACCTCCCATCTTTTTCTTATTCACCACTTGAATTACAAATTTTTTCCGTTTTTATCAATTCACCACTTAAATTACAAATTCTTTCAGTATTATATACAAATTTAATTTAATAGATTGTGTTTGATTTTGATAAATGTTCTATGTTACATTATCATTCTATCAATTTTTATTTGTTATATGTCCATATATAATTTAGGTATTGTACTATAATGTTAATCGTGATTCGAACTTAACCTCTAGAATTATTTTATCCGCCAATTTAGTCCTCAAACTCATTATAAATATCCAATTTCAATCTTACTGTTGAATTTTTTGAATTTCATCCAATCTTTTGTTACCACCTCATATTTTTGGCATGTGACCAATTTTTAAAATATTTAAATACTGAAGAATTTATAAATGAAATTTGCAAATAAATCAAGAAGATAGCTAAGCAGCCATTGTTGGCATTGCTGGAGGTTCTTTGTGCAAGGGAGAGTGAAGGAGTGGGTCAGAGGGGGATGCGGATTGAGTGGGCTGATTTAATTTTTATTTTTTTAACAGTGTTATTTTATTTTTTATGATTTTTTTCTTTTGGTTTTATGTATTTTACTTTTATTTTACTTGAAATTACCCTTATTATTAACGGAAACATTGGATCAAATTTTAAAAAAAAACTTAAACGACAAGGGCTAGTGCTAAATTGATTGATTTTAAGTTCGATTAGCATGATAATTGAGGTGGAGAACGGCACTTTACCCCCACGAAGTTTTTGTATCGTACAGCTTGAGTGGCAATTCGTAATTACAACCAGAAAAGCAAAATAGAAAATAAAAACAAAAATCAATTACAATTTCCCTGATTATTCACACTAGCTTCTCCGCACGCACTTTCCATAATAGGTAGTTGTGTTTCATAAAAATATTATCCATTATCTGATTTTTGTTTTAATTTTAATTTTTTTAATATGAAAAAGTGTGAATTTAACATATTATCCTCATTTAATTAAGGCTTTTTATCACAAATGGTCCTTGACGTTTACAAAATTGTCACGAATGATCCTTGAGCTTTTTTTGTGACATTAATAGTCTTTAACGTCATGGCTTTTTGTCATAAATAGTCTCTACCGTTATAAATTCTGCTAAGCCCTAACGTTAATGACTATTAATTTCACAAAAAACTATCATTCGTGATAATTTTGTAAACGTTGAGGATTATTTGTGATAAAAAGCCTTTAATAATTTCAATTCTTAATGTTTGCATTAATCAAAGGCATTTTATGGTATTTTGAATGTTTTACAATTATCTACCCTTTGCTTTATATATATAGATTATATATGCTGACGAGTTAGTGTCTCACGACCAGAAAAATATAGTTCAACTCTAGGTTGTTAATTCATTCATGACTAATTTGCGCAGGCATGAATCTCATAGAATTCTCAATTATCGCAATGAGCTTGTAGCTCAGAAAGAGCTTATGGCTCAAATTATTAAAAACATTTACCTAGAATCTAGATTATGTTTGTGCCATATAAGAAAGTTATTGTTTATCTTGATTTCATTATTGAGAGCGAAGTAGGAATGAAAAAGGAAAATTTTCTTTTTGTCTCTCCTTGGTACACAAACAAAATTTCAAACCTAACCATACATTAATACACAATTACTAGATAACACTAACATCAAGAACAATACAGGACATGGACAGCTCTAAAAACATAACCAGAAATCTCTACCAACTAAGTTAGAAAGGAACAAAGGAAAAAAAAAGGAATCAGTCTCGACATTGACTACAGACGTGGCCCAAGAATGCTGCATGAGTATGGTATGGTATTAAGACAGTTGCATGGTCATCATAGAAACAGCATCAGGTTCATGGCCATGCACTCTTAATCGATATATGCATGTATGAGAAGCGCTTCCATGGTTGGATGTGAAGTCCAACCTCACTGTGTCAACTAGGCCGGACACCGCTGAGTCCAAGATATCGAATGTCTGAGCATTGCTCTTCTCAAGGTCGTAAGTGAATTCAGCAAGACTGAACATTTTCTCTGTATCAACTTCTAGATCATCATGTGCTCGCAGCCACCCAGAGACCCTGCAGTCCTTAGGAGCACTCCGTCTGTCATAAGCGACACTCTGTAAAAAAATAAAAATAAAAAATGTGTTAGCAAATGGGGGATGTGTTCAAGGACACTATCAATAAACACAATCATAATAAACACGAGCACAAAGATCTGTTAAAAATACAAAGAGAGAGAACAATGGTGCTGAACTCAAGTCAGAATAAATATCCAGAGAAGAAATTGCCTTTCCATATTATTTTGGTTCACATGCTCTACGATACTTAAGCACTGCAACAGATGCTATTGGTGCAATTAAAGCAACAAACTAGTGAAGCCATAAAAGGAACTCAAACTAATCCTAAATTACTTGCTTTGTAAAGGAAGTCTGCTCATGCAAACAGGTCCAGTAATTATTTTTTCTATTTAGATTGGACTCTCAACTTCTCAGCACTAATTATTTATCGTACAGAATGTTAAATACAGTGTGCAGTTATAAGACAAGCAAGAACTATTTAGTTTCTTTTCTCACTTAACAAAGGCCAAATATGAGTAATAAAGATATTCAGAAATATTTAACGAAGGGAATGGAGTTGCATCAGATGTAGATATAGACTAGGCTAAGGTATACAGTGATTTTTGTGTAAATGCAAATAATCGAAATGGAATGGGTTGATTAATTATATGGTCTAGTAAACAATGAACTTTGAGAAAGACATAAAATAAACAAAATATAGAATCAGAACTCATCCTAATGCTGGCTAAAAGAAAAAACCAGAAAAATGCTCACAAAGAGTGACATTTGCACATAATTATATTGAATTTTTGACATATACAAACATAATATTTTTTCCTTTGTAACTTTTTCACATTATATGGTACTACCCCTCAACTAATTTTCATTACTAAGACATTATTTATTCAGAGTGAAAAAAACTTTTCAATAATTATCCTCGGTTCAACATCTTTTATACACTAGTACTTGTTGAAATTTCCAGTTCAGTCTCCTAATATCACATGAAGCCTATCGTAAGCACCTATTGAACCAACATATGACATCCATTAATTGTTCAGAATTTTACAGCCAAATCAAACATGCTTCCTTCAGTTGTAGAGCTTGAGACCGATCAAATAAATTCACACCAATTTGCAAATAATAAGTCCTTCACCTGCTATGACAAGTCTTTCTACAAAATGACCTAGTTATACAACATAGGTACCCCAGTTCACCCATCACAAATTAGTAAACTAGGCCAAAACAAAGCAACCTAATGGACAATAGCAAATAAACGAAGCATCAATGGTTATTATTGTCAGAAACGTGCACATACAACTCTGGCATAATTTTTTACCACATGAATATCCTAAATCCTCCACACTAATAATACCAACCTTACTCTTGATCCAAAAATAAAAAATAAATACCAACCTTACTAAAGATTCTCTATGTAAGCTGCAGCCAATAATCATATTCAGAAGAAAATGAAAGAGGGAAGGGTTCGGTGGCAACCAAGCTATCATCCCCTTCTTTAACTAAATAAATTCCAGTTCAAGTGTATCATCCGTGTTGACAACTACTCAAAAACCACATAGACTTCTTACATCGAATAAGGAGACTTTCCTAGAATTATTCTACAAAAATAAGTATAATTAAGAGGACACCAGTAAAACCTTTTTTAAAAATGAGAAAAAAGACAAATCTGAAGCAAGCCCTTCTGTTGGGCTAAAAAAGGAGTCAGTTATAGACTTATCTGTATATCTATACATATCTGTTAAGTCAAAAATTGGCGGTTGAAGCAACATTACAAATCCCAAAACCTTCTATTGCAATGTAGTAAAAATAAAATTAACTATATCTTGAGAGCAAACTAGTAAAAATTTTAAAAAAATTTTAAAAAAAAGGAATTGAACTTTTCAACTTTTTTTTGGAAGTACATATGTGGAGAGCAATCTCCAACTTCGTGTGGTATTCTCAGTGTGTGTATGCGTGTATGTCTGCAAAGCGAAGCCATGATTTTGCTGGCTCCTTACTAGTTCCACAACCAAAACCTTTGAGCCAAACTAAAGGGGCTCTGGTTATGTCCGTTCCTTCCTTTTCAACATTGTGACAGCATAACCACATTGATTAAAGCTAAGGCAGTAAAAGCTGAGTAAGAGTAACCTAACCAGAAGAGGTAGCAAGAGAACTCAAATGAACACAACAGCACTGTAATGAAACTTGTCACATCTGGGGAGAGGTACATTAGTGCAAAAACCTTCTCTGCCTCTTGTATATCTGTTTCTTGAGTCTTAATAAAGCTTTCGCGCTAATACAAGCTTATTTCAATTTTAGACATAAAACCAGCTTTTGACACAATGAAGGCTAGTAAAGTCTTCTACACGAAATCAGACAGCTCTACTTAATAAATAGTCCATTTAAAATCTCTTCACCCATGTTACCTAAAAAGTGGCCCAGAATTTCTGCAAATTTAAGTTATTTGCAGTAATAATCCAAAAATTAACTATCTAACATGATCTACATACTCAAGAATTCTATCTTTATCTATTCTGGAATCCTGTAGCATCCACATTACTTTAACATAACAAATAACCCAAATAACCTGGTCAGAAAAGTAAACCCTTAGAAATTCGATCGACAGTTACTGAAATAAATGTACTCTAGCCTGAAGGTTCTCTACTTTCAATCCCACATTCCTAGACCACTATGAGTTAAAATCAGCAGACCTTTGAACAATCTTAAACAATCTCCATATAAGTTAACTACCATGGTAGCTGATCATTAGATTCATCAACTTGAAGGTTCAAAATTAATTCTAAATATCAAGATTGATAGATTTCGAACCTTTAATTTTCAACCAAGATTATTTTTTTTATTTTTTTATTTTTAAACACAATCGAGCAATGCATCAAGAAATAAAGACAGAATAGTGAACAAGAACATCACCTTTGCAACATGTTCCAGAGTGATAGCCTCAGGAATAATTGGGGTCCGCAGCTTAATCTGGACAAACCCACTACTCCCTTTCAAGGGAAAACACTGCCCAGGCTCTCCAAAACTCGGTCTTAGCATCTTCTCGGCATCACCGTGAACCCCATTTTTGGTGCTCTTCAAGAACACCCAATTACTCGCTTTCCCAACCAAATATGGCTCTGAGTGCTTCACAACGAAAGCCCCACTACTGGCCAAAGCATAATCCACCCTACCAAGCCCATCTGCCGCATGCTTCTCTATCTCCTTCTCGACAACATTCCTCGCATACGCCCTTATATCATCCAACCTAGCACCGAATTCTCCATCCTCGCCGCTCTTCGCCGTCTTCTTCAACTCCTCGTACACCCTTTCGAATTCTTGCTTAGACAACCACTCCACGCTCCTTAAATCGTCCACCGACCTCTCCAAACCTTCATTTCTCGCCTCCAATTTCCTCAAATCCCTCTCCAACACAACCCCCTTGTCCTCGATCTTCTTCTCCACTTCTCTCCTCAAACCTCCAACCTCACTCTCGATCTTCCGGTCCACAACCTCCACTTGAACCTGAACCATCTTCGTAGTCTTCTTCATAAACGATTCAACCTCCGCAATGCGACCTTCCAACTCCGAAAACGCCATAGGAACCCCATCCCCGGACCGCAGAGCGAGTCTTCTGACAATCTGAAACAAACCCACTACCAACAGAAGAAGAATGAAGTTCTTGGCAAAGATTCGGAGAACGGTGACCCATCGAGGATTGGGATCAACGGCTACGCTTCTGCGAGAGCGACGATTGGAGGGTGGTGAAATGGTGGAATTGGGAGCAGTCTTCTTGCCATGGGCCGAGCGGTCGAGACCCGGTTCGCCCCGGATCGAGTGGTGGCTCAGATCCTTAGAATTACCGCCGGTTTCGGCTTTGCCGTCGGCCTTTTCGGCGGAGACAAGTTCGATGTTTGTCGACTTTTTCTCGACGGCCACCACGGTACGCCGCCGAGTCGTTGTGGCCGGGTTCGCCGTTATAGATACGGTCGAAGCCGACATTTGATTGAATTTTGGGATTCGAGAAATGTTTGAATTGTAGGGTTCAGGAGACTGAAAACGAGGGAAAATGGGGAAAAAGCGGAAATGAGAAGAAAGGAAAATTTGGGATTTTGTTTGAATTTGATTGAATAAATTGGAGATCAAGTGATTTGGAAAAAGAGGGATTTACGCGAACCGACGCTATGGTGTTTGGGCGCTTCGGTGTTTTGAATCTTCTTGTAATCTCTGTACTTTTGGCAAGTTTGGATCATGAGTTTATGGATCAGTCTCTACTCATGGGCGGCCCAGTTCCAACCTTGACAAATTTTAACCACCACATCCACAACAAGGGTTTGGGCCCAATTAATTTTCTTTCATGTTACCGGGTTTATTTGGGTCGTACTTTTTTTAAAGGGCAAAAACATTTTTGATAATTAGGGTTAGGGTTGAAAATGATTTCGATCATTATAATTTTAATTTTCAGAATTTGGTCACCACATTTGCAACAGTTAGCAAATCAGGTCAAATGTCTCAATTCCGTCAATTCCATTAATTTAAGAATATTTAATATTACATTAAAAATAATTACTTCAATATAAAATAAGCTGATGAATCCAATCAAGAAGAGGGATATTAAAGAGGCTATGATGAGAGCAGATCAGCTTGAATTAGAGTGTACTAACCTAAAGAAAGAAATGGCAACTTCGATTTTGCAGAAACAAACAGCAGGATTGGAGCGTTGTCGGGTGCAAGCTTTGGCTGAGGACTTGGTGAAAAGATTTGCTCAAATGAATTCGAAGACAATGACTCTCTCTGAAGGTGACTGACAGAAAATTCAGGAGATGAGGATTGACTAGGTTAGGGTTGCTAAGTAGGGAAGATGGTGGTTCATAGTGTGTGATTTCTCTTATTCTCGGTTTCTTGGAAGTTGTGGGATTTGGAATTTGATTTGCAAATTGCAAAGGGGGCTACAAGGAGAACATTGGGGTAGGGTTTTTTTTAAGTATTAAATTTTATATTGAAGTAATTATTTTTTAATTAATGAAACTCATAGAATTGAGTCATTTGACCTGATTTGCTAATTGTTGCAAATGCGGTGACGAATTTCAGAAAATTAAAATTATAATGACCAAAATCATTTTTTACCCTAACTCCAATGATCAAAAATGTTTTTTTTTTATCCTTTTAAATACAAACAATAGTTTAAACTATAATGAAGGGGTTTCTCATACACACACACACACACACACACACACACATACTACCAAGGGGGTTCGAACCCGATACCTGACCTGCAAGTTAGAGTCATTTTCCATTGGGTTAGACATCGTTGGCTATTTGGGTTGTATTAAAATAGAAAAATTGACTGAAATAGACCTCCACACAAAAATTTATTCCAATATAGACTTCATGACAAATTGTATTAAAAAAATGTCGACGCAAAGTAGCAGTGCCTCATTAGTGATCCTATTCATTTCATCTCTCTAAACGACGATTGAATTGAGATGATGCACCATAAACAGAAAAGATGGGTTGAAACTTATTGCTCTGGGCATTTCTTTTATGGTAACATCACCAAGTGACGTACTCACGATATGCATAAGAATTTGAAGAATGGATTTGGTATAGGGATGAAGTTAGTCAAGTGTATTCAGCGGATTGATACATCTATGTTGAAGTTGAGAAATGAGAATGTGAAGGATGACTTTGATTCAAAGAATTTAAACCCCCTCTCTCTTATACACTTATGAAGTTTAGTTATTTTCTCAATATATGTATGTATTGCATCGATGGTTTAGTTTGTTGTGTAAGTTCTTGCTTATCTTTGATCTTAAACACTAACCTTGGTCAAACATGGCTTTGGTGAAGGTAGAGAAATCTTCTTCTCCTATGCAATCCTTTAACTCTCTCTAGATGGGGTGAGATATCAATATGAGTGTGTTTGACCGCTGGGGAAAGGATCTCTATATATATGCTTTGTCTAAATATTTTGCCCATCGAAGAACACTTAAACAAATCCTGATTGCACTAGGATAGAATGTTTTAATCCATTTAGGACTAGGAATCCTCAAAGCTCTAGTTTTCTAATTAAACTGCACTTTAAACTAGAACTGCAAATATGCTCGAAGTCTGTTTCTTGATTAATACTAAATTGCAACTCCTAATTATGTGATTAGAAGACGATTCCAATATGGTTTAAAACAATGTAATGAGCATTCTCCCACTTGGTCAAATAATCACAACAATTAATAATATTACTCACTTTAAGGCCTTGTGAAACATAACTGAGCAAAAATCCCTTCTAAGCCACTATCAATTATGAAGAACAACAACAAACTATCGAAACTACTTGAACATATGTTATTTCAAGGTTCCTATAATTACCTTTGAGATTCTTCAAAACCACATAAGGCTTCGATCAAGATTAAAACTGTAAAATGTTCATGACTAAACTGTCTATGCTAATAGATATGTCATGCTCATTCATAGTCCCCTAAATGACTGCCAAGGTCTAGTTAAAATTGAAAAATGCCATGAATATACTGTACCATCACAACTACCTTGGCAGCCCTTTTAGTAAGAGGATCTGCAATAATCTCTGTAGTACTGATGTGTTCCAAAGTAGTGCAACCATCTCTTATCTTTTCTTTAACTATAAGAAACTTAACATCTATAATTCTTGAAGCCTTTATCCTTTTGTTTCCCTTTGCAAACAAAACGGTTGCACTGTTGTTTCCCTTTGCAAACAAAACTGTTGCACTGTTGTCATTCCATAGTCATAATCCAATAGTCCTAGAGAAATAGCCAAATCTTGTTTTCACTTTGAATAGTTTGTTCCAGTCAATGTTTCGATAGAGTGATAGTTTGAGGTATTCACTGTAAACAATAATCAGATAAATAAAATTGTCCTTATGAAAAAATGTATTTAAACATTATTAATTCATGTCTTTGGATCATGAGTTAAACATGTTTCAGAACACTGAATTATTGTAGTTTAACATAACTTCCTGCATAAGAAAACTCTCATCTTTGGATTAAAAAGGTTTCTCGTTAGTTTATATAAACTTTCTCTTCATGTTACTCCACCACAGTCATCATCAATCTATACATTTCCCATCTTTAGATTGAGAAATGTGTAGAAGGCTATTAATTGTGGTGTTTTTTGATCAATATGTCAATTCAAAACTATATTTGCAATAGTTAAGTTGCTTTGGCTCGCCTAACTTATGCAACTGCAATTTTTATTCTTTGATCAATAGACTTTCAAGCATGATCGAGTATGGATTCCTTATACCCTGGATCATACATTATCATATAAGATATGCAACTGTTTAATCTACATGCTAATATGACTAGTGATCAAAATTACATGAGAATGGTAAACTTTTATGCAGAGTTTGAAAATTGACAAAAATTTAGCTTTAAAGAACAAAATCTGGCTTTGATACCACATGTAAATTCTTGCTTGTCTTTGATCTTAAACACTAACCTTGGTCAGACATGGCTTTGGTGAAGGTAGAGAAATCTTCTTCTCCTATGCAGTCCTTTAACTTTCTCTCTCTCTAGATGGGGTGAGATATCAATATGAGTCTGTTTGACTGCTAGGGAAGGGATCTATATATATATATATATATATATATGCATTGTCTAAGTATTTTGCCTATCGAATAACACTTAAACAAATCATGATTGCACTAGGATAGAATGTTTTAATCCATGTAGGACTAGAAATCCTTAAAGCTCTAGTTTTCTAATTAAACAACACTTTAAACTAGAACAAATGATATGCTCGAAGTTTGTTTCTTGATTAATACTAATTACTGCAACTCCTTATGTGATTAAAAGACCATTCCTTTATGGTTTAAGACAATGTAATGCCTTACATGTTGGCCTATATACACAAAAAACCTTTAGGAACTGACACTGATTTTGCATTATTCTCAAGCCTTACGTACAGTTGAAGTATGGTCAAAAGACACTTGACCACCAACACGCCAAATCCCCCAGCACATAAATGGGTAGTGGGGTCATGTTGTTACATATCGGTCGAGGCTAGATAAAGAGCCCACTTCATAGAGCTAAATATAGTGAGTACTTCGCGACCCTTAGACTTGGCACAACTCCCTAAAACCCAAAACTCTGGCGGATAATTCGTTGTTTGACTTAAAAGGATACAAATACAAAAAAGTGAAATCCATCGAATCTTATTGTACTTGTTGATGTCACTCAATATCTATCCTACAAGGTATATAACTAGTGATACTTAGTCCACATATGGATGTTTATAGGTTGTTGGTGAGATGTATAGATGTGGATGTATTACAATTTTATCCTTTTATGCATTCTAAATAATTCTATTTCATTGGTGTCATTGTTTAGCTATTGCACTTTGAGTGATGCATAAAGTTTGTTCTTTCTTTGTGGATAATTTTGTTTTTAACACTTGCATAATATTGTGAAGCACCTCAATGGATACAAAAATCGCAAGCTATGTGGTGTATGATATAATAAGTTTTTGCTGGATGCATTAAGGCAAAATTCACACCAACAAAATTTAGGGACTGAGTGAAGCAACCTGCAAGAAAAGGAAGATGAGCCAAACACTTATCACATTAGCGAAATGATGGTAGGTCATACATAAGCTTGATAAGGTCATGGAGCTTACAATGAACCCTAAGGACTTTGGAGTGATTACATGGTTGTCGATTTTAGGGAAGCCAATAGAGTATGACATGGAGGTACAGTAAAAAACCGTGAACGTTACAAAGCTCTTCCGAAAATCTATTGCCAACATTAAGAAAGCAAAAATAAAGTATTATTGATATAGTGGACATGTATTTTAATTCAAAACTAAAGACCCCTATAGAGAAAGATGTGTTGACACAGATCTTCACACTTGCATTACTCGGCTCCACATTATGCACCAATAATACTGACAATGTGCATCTTTACTACATGTCATGGATAACATGAGATTGAGACTTCAATTGGGTCGGGGTTAGATTGGCATGCTTCTATTGGTTGATGAACATTATTTTCACGAACAAGGTCAATTGGATAATCAAAATGAATATCATGTTGGGTATAGCTCCATGTATAATTATGAAGTGTCATTGTTTCTATGACTATCATCACACCACTAATTTTGAATCATCAAAATTTTTAGGTTTTTATACTTCAATCATGATAATAATTGATTATCAAATGATGTGGTAGAAAGAGATGAATATATAATGCATTCACTTGTTCAAGCCCAAATTCCTCATTGAGTTTAAGCCCAAATTTTGTGAAGTTAAACCCAAACTAAGGTAGATGATATCTCGAGCAGCAAAATCCAATTTTAAATTTCAAATGACATAAAAGAAGAAAAAATAAATAAACATTGTGGGCTTCAATTTTAGCGCATGCTGACCAAACTAACAAAAGCATGAAAGCCATTAACAAAAATGTTAAAAACACCCCTTGTGGGTTCCGAAATCATCATGTTCCTAGCAGGTGCAAGATTCTCCTTTACCATACATGGGATACATGAACTTTTTCCTCAAGTAGTAATTGTAGCTACCCTTACGAAATGGTAGATTATGGGTTTTCAACCCTTTGTGCATGTCAAATGTAGATTGATAAGCTGCACAACCCACTTTAGAATGACTATCGATGTGTCACAAGTATGAGTATGTATCTAGGGTAACCTCAAATGTATAAAAGTTACATTTCATTTTGTAGGAGAATCAAATTTGTAATCTATTATCAAATGAATTGTTTTAAAATTTGCATGATTAAGGAAACAGGTACAAACTAAAATTGTTAAATTTTATGCTTTAAGAGT